GAGGCGCTGACGTGAGCCAATCAGGAGGGCCTCAGTTTTGCGCACGTTGAGCTGAAGAAAGTTGTCTCTCGTCCAGGACTCGATGTCGGACAGGCAGCTGTCAGGACATCGGGGGTCGTGGAGTTGAGGGTAGAGGAGGAAAGGTAGAGTTGGGTGTCATCCGCATACATGTGGAAGTTAACCCCATGTCTGCAGATGATGTCACCACAGGGGGAGCATATAGAGGGTAAAGAGGAGGGGACCGAGGACAGAGCCCTGAGGGACACCGCACGAGACAGTGCGGGTGCTGGAGGAAAAGCCGTTTCAGCACCTTGGGACGTCCTCCCGACGTGAAAGGCGCTCAATAAATGGAATCTTGTTGTTGTTGTTGTTGTTAGCGGAAACAAAATGAAGACGGTGGGAGAGGTACGACCTAAACCACTCAAGGACAGGGCCTTGAAACTTGAGAGGGAGGACAAATGGTGAAGGAGGATAGAGTGGTCGACCGTATCGAATGCGGCCGATATGTCGAGGAGGCAGAGGGAGCTCTGATCGCAGATGGTCAGGATGTCATTAGTGACCTTGACCAGGGCGGTTTCTGTGCTATGGGCAGGACGGAAACCCGACTGGAGGGGTTCAAAAAGTGAATGGGTGGAGAGGAAAGAGCGCAGCTGGGAGGCGACAAATCTTTCGAGAACCTTGGACAGGAAGGGGAGATTGGAGATGGGCCGGTAGCTTGATAGCTGCGACGCATCAAGGGAGGGTTTTTTCAGTGTGGGAGTGAGGGTGGCAGTTTTGAGGGGAATGCAAACAGAGCCAGAGGAGAGGGACAGGTTAATGTTGTCTGTGAGAAGTGGGACAAGGAGGTGGAGCTGGGAGATAAGGAGTGGAGTGGGGATGGGGTCCAAGGAGCAGGTGGTGGGTTTCAAGGACAGGATGAGGTTGGTGACAGAGGGTGGGGAAACGGGTTCGAAGGTGTGTAGGGGAGGATGGGTAGGATTCGGAGTGTGGGAGGGAAGGGGTGGGTGGAAGTTGGAGGGGCAGTGACCGCGGAGTGGATTCCCTTGATTTTGGATTCAAGGAAATCCAGCATCTCCTCGCAGTGAAGGTTGGAGGAGATAACCTGCGTGGGGTGGCGGGGGGGACGGAGGAGTCGGGATGTGGTGGAGAACAGAAGCCTGGGGTTGTTCTTCGCCTCCAGGATTATCCTGGAGTAGAAGGACGACTTGGCCGAGGCTAGAGTAGAGCAGTAGGTTTTGAGGAGGTCCAGCCAGATTTGCCGGTGGACCGTTAGGCCAGATTTGAGGCAGGTGCGTTCAACGGCCCGCACCTGGCTTTTCAGTGAGCGGAGGTGGGTGGTGAACCAGGGGGAGGAGCGAGAGTAAGAGACAGTACGGGAGGTGATGGGGGCAAGAGTGTCGAGTGTGGAGGAGAGGGTGTTGTGGAGGAGGGTGAGAGCAGAAGAGGGGTCAGTGAGGGATGAAGGCCAGAGGGAGAGGAGTTCAGAGGACTCTAAGGCAGCGGTTAGAGATTGTGGGAGTAACTTCTTCCAGGAGCAGTAGAAGATGGTGGTGGGTCTGGCCTTCATCCCTCACTGACCCCTCTTCTGCTCTCGCCCTCCTCCACAACACCCTCTCCTCCACACTCAACACTCTTGCCCCCATCACCTCCCGTACTGTCTCTTACTCTCGCTCCTCCCCCTGGTTCACCACCCACCTGTAGCTTAGTGGTTAGAGCACTCGCCTTGCAGGCGAGAGGACCTGGGTTCGATTCCCGGGCAGGGCGAAACACTTGCCAGTTTCCTTACTCGACAGACGTGTTTACCTAACAGTAAGTAGGGACCCGGTTGTTAGTCGATTGGCGGATTGCTTTTCCGGGGATAATAATTCCTTCAAAATAAATTAAAATAATTTGGCCACTCAATCCATGACCGTTTGTGAGACACTGCTGTGCACAATTGGCTGCCGCATTTTGCCCACAAAATACAGAGTCAATTCACTTTACAGTATCGAAACACAAATTACTGCAGATGCTGGAATCTGAAACAAAAACAGAGAGAGCTGGTGTGTTGCCTGTTCTGCACCATGAACACCTCTTCTCCCCCCTTTTGTTTTACGCCACTATCACCTCTTTAACCCATCAACTAACACATTCTCTCCTTTGTGGGTTTTTTGTCTTCTCCGTCGTCCTTGTCCTGCTCCGCTTCTCAACTTGTCCTTGAAAACCTCTCCCTCTCAACATGCCCCAGTTCTGATGAAGGGTCGTGGATCCGAAACGTTGACTCACTTTCTTTTCTCTCTAGATGCTGCCTGACCTGCTGAGTTTTCCCAGCTCTCTCTGTTTTTGTTTCACTTTACAGTATACTCTGTGAAGCGCTTTCAGACGAAGATATGATAAGGCGCTATATCAAATGCAAGCATTATTATTGTTGGTCCTCTCATTTTCAATATCTACATGCTTGGTGACATTATCTGTAGACGTGGGGTCAACTTCCACATATACGCGGATGACACCCAACTCTTATCACTCAGCCTCCACTCTCAACTCCAGGACCACTGCTGTCCTCACAGACTACCTGTCGAACATCAAGTCCTGAATGAGAGCTAACTTTCTCCAGTTGAACGTCAACAAGACTGAGGCTCTCCTGCCTGGCTCCCGTTAGTGACTCCAGACTTCGGGCACTGACATCATCATCCTTCATGGATGTGAAGCCTTGGCATCCTGTTCGACCCTCAAATGTCCTTCACCCCCCCATGTTTGTGCCATGAAGCAATCCGCCTTTCCGCAACATTGCACTGTCTCTCACCACAGGCCACTGAGACCTTCATCCACGTGTTCATCACATCCAGACTCGACTACACAAATACCCTGTTTATCACCTCCACAGACTATAGATTCTCTGGAATTCTGCAGCCCGTGTCCTCTCCCGCACTAGGCTCTGGAATTCTATCAACCCCATCCTCACCCGGCTCCACTGACTCCTCATCACTCAGAGGATACAGTTCAAGATCTTCTTCTTCAAAGCCTTCCATGGCCTTGCTCCTCCCTACCTCTGGGACCGCCTAACCCCCTACCAACCTGTTCGCTCCTTCCGCTCAGTGGGCTCCAGCCTGTTTTGCATCCTCCATCTCGCCCATGCAACGATTGGCAGGAGGGCTTTTAGCCTCTCTGCCCCCATCCTCTGAAACTCCATCCCACAGTTCCTCCACCTCATCCCCTTCCGTGCCTGGTTCAAGAACCATCTCAAGACTCGTCTTCAACAGTGCCTTCGGTCACCCTCCTACACCTGCCCTCCCCGCCTTCCATCCCTTCTGATCTCAACCACTAGCTCGGACACAGATCTCTGACTGTCCAGGCCCTTGGGACATCCTGCTCATGTGAAAGGCGCTATACAAATGTAATTTGTTGTTGTTATTATCAGTGTCCAAATGCGCGTAGTTACAAGCCTTAAAGTGGAGTCTGGTTCCTTACCTCTGTGAGTCTCAGTGTTGCTTTGAAAAGCTCCCTGATCTATCACACACACACACACCTATATAGTAAGTCAAGGCAAAGCTGTTATCTGGATATTTTAGAAGTCAAAGTTCACCAGAGGTTAGTCAATCATTAACAACTATATAAAAGCCTGACCACCGCTGTCCACATCAACTCCAGGTGTGGCTGACCAGAGTTGTCCACATCAACTCCAGGTGTGGCTGACCAGAGTTGTCCACATCTACTCCAGGTGTGGCTGACCAGAGCTGTCCACATCTACTCCAGGTGTGGCTGACCAGAGCTGTCCACATCTACTCCTAAGTGTGGCTGACCAGAGCTGTACACTGTTCTCCAGGTGTGAGATGATCTCTCAAGGAGAGAGTCTGTCCACTTGGACTTGGGAAGCCGAAGCCTTCCTGAGGTGAAAAGCACTACAGTAAAAATGGCTCAGTGACTAGGTATTAGGAGCGCTGAGTTAGGCAGTTTATAAATACATAAATAAATGGGGCTGGAATACTGACAGAGTGATGAATTAAGTGGTGGTGACGAGTTAAGCCAGGGTCAGGGCTACACGTCAGAACTTGGAATCACACAGGCTAAGTGCCAGCACAACGCTGGATGTGTGCTACGTTGTCAGAGACGCTGCCCTTTGGATGGAGTCCTGTAGCTCAGTAGTTAGAGCATTTGCCTCGCAAATGAGAGACCTGGGTTCAATTCATGTTAGGATGAAATGTTGGGCAGGTTTCCTTACTCCACATGCCTCTGTTTATCTAGCAGTAAGTAGGAACCCGGTTGTTAGTCGATTGTTGGATCGCTTTTCCGAGGATAATAATTGCTTTAAAAAAAATTAATAAATTGTGGTCACTCAATCCACGACTGTCTTGAGGACACTGCTGTGTGCAATTGGCTGTTGGGTTTCGCTCACAAAATATAGTCAATTCACTATTCTGAACATTCTGTGACGTGCTTTGAGACGTCTCAAAGACATGATAAGGCGCTATATCAAATGGCAGGATTATTATTATTATGAGACGTTAAACCTCACTCACTCCCTGTCCAGGCCCTGTTCAGGGCGGACGTCAAAGATCCCCCACAGTGCTGTAATGGAGGGGAAAAAAAGGGAGTTTCTCTCTCTTCTGTTGTCCTGGCCGGCAATCTTCTAAATAAAATTGCTTGCTAGCCCCGCGGCTGTTTTCGGGGATGTTGCTGTGCCCAAACTGGCTGCCGCTTTTCTCCCACAAAACACACAGGCACTGCCCCTTAATAGTGAGGGGTAAAGCGGTTTGAGACATCTCGATGACGTGTTAAGGCACTATGTCAAATGCACAGATTATTATTACATTATTGATATCATTTGAGACTCTTAAGCACAGCATGTCTCAGACACCTAGAGGGAGAGAGAGCTTAGTGTGTGGCTGAGGGAGAGGGGGTGGTGAGGTCTTGCTTCTTGGCTGTTAGCTGGAATTTACACTGATTGACAGATGTTAATGATTACCCCCAGTTCTCGGTCGAAGTCTTTCTTTTTGTGTGAACAGAACACGCTGTCCAGCGATCGGGTACACCACGTTTAATGTCTTGTTAATGGTCCACATTCACCGAGATGTGGAGGAACATAAACCAGGTGAACATCAACCAAGAGTGTGTGTCTGTGTGTGTGTGCGTGTGTGTGTGTGTGTGTGAGCGTTTGTGTGTGTGAGCGGGTGTAAACACTCTACTTCTGACACAACAACAGTAACTTGCATTTATATAGCATCTTTCATTGCTCCCAAACTATGGCCCACCTCCTCCCTCCCCACGGCTCAGAGCCAGGCTCCGCCGCTGTTAACAACTTTGTGAAGCTGCGCGAAGAGCACTGTGTAAACACAAGTCGTCGTTGTTATAATAACAATAATCCTTGCGTCGGACACACCGCCTTGTCATGTCATCTAAACATCTCAAAGCGTACCACAGGATACACTGCAAAGTGCAGTGAATGTGTATTTTTGTGGGCGAAATGCGACAGCCAGTTTGCACCCAGTGACGAGCCCGCTAACAGTCATGGAGTGAGCAATTTTATTTGGGAGATTGTCAGCCAGGACACTTAGAAAGAGAGAGAGGAATTCCTGAACAGTGGCAGCTGAGCGGATTCCCTCGATTTTGGACTCGAGGAAGTCCAGCATTTCCTCGCAGTGGGAGTCGCAGGAAAGACTCTGGGAAACATGGCGGGGAGGGCAGAGGAGCCAGTTGGTGGTGGAGTACAGGGGCCTGGAGATGTCCTTCACCTCCAGGATTAACCTGGAGTAGAAGGACAATTTGGCCGAGGCGAGAGCAGAGCGGTTGGTTTTGATGTGGTCCAGCCAGATGTGCTGAAGGCGGCGGATTAGTGGGACATTGTCAGTTTGCAGGGGGCTGTGGAGATGTTCGGTTTGACAGGAGTTAAACACTTCATGAAATAATCTAGGCTCCCAGTCTCTCTCTCTCTCTCTCTCTCTCCCAGTTGTTCTCTCTGATGTGTGTCCAATTCTTTGGAGGGACACCAGGTCTGGTGTCATTGACAAAGAGAGATGCTGGTGTCAACTGCTTTTTTGCCCGGTCAGTCATTAACAACTCCCGAGCAGAGGAGACAGACTCACAGACTCCAGGAGGTAGCACAAGGTTCCAACACAGATCTCTAAAGGCCATTTGGCTTTGAAATGCAAAATGGGTCAAATTGTGGACAAGTGCCCAGATTAAGAGTGAAGAGTTCTCTACTCTAACTCCATTCCCCTCCAGTCCCCCCACTCACCACTACCTTATGTGTCTATACTGGTGCTTGCTCCCCCCACACTGGAGCTCTCTACTCTAACCCCATTTCCCTGCTCTCCTTCCCCCCAACCCCATCTGTTGTGTGTATATTAGCGCTCCTTCCCTCCACACTGGAGCTCTCTACTCCATCCCCATTCTGCTGCTCTTTCCCCCCACAATTCGATCCATCTTGCATTTCAGGGCTAAATGGCCTTTAGAGATCTGTGGTGGCAACTTCTCTTACCTCCTGGGGTCTGTGAGTCTGTCTGCTCTGGAGTTGTTAATGACTGACCAGGCAACGGGACAATTGACCACAATATCTTTCTTTGCCAATGACACAGACCTGGTGTCCCTCCTATTGGCCACACATCAGAGAGAGCAACAACAACAACTTGGCTTAATATAGCGCCCTCCACGCCGGACGGCGTCTCAGCAACTGCGAGAGAAAGACTGGGAGCCCTTTTACAAAGTGTGTCTCCACTGTTGTTTCTGGAGACTTTGTTCCTGACAGCAGGATGCTGAGGGCAGATGTTTGGTCGCTTGTTGCATTTGCCCTCTGGGGGGCTTCAGGTGGGTTGAGACTGGAAATGAGAGACCTTTCAGCTCCACAGAGGTTGATGAGAATGTGGACTCCTTATCTCAGACCCAAGCTGAGGTAGAGGTGTTGGTTAAGCGAGAGTTGGATAGTCACTTGTGAGCCTGTCCACCAAGGAAACTCTTACGCAAGCGTTTCGCCATCAGGAACTCTTAAGCTAGCCTGGCTCTGTCACTCACACTCTCACCTCTGAGTCAGAAAGTTGTGGGTTCAGACCACACATCAGGACTTGGAATCATACAGCTTAAGCTGACGCTCCAGCACAACGCTGGGGGGAGAGAGCGCTGCATTGTCAGAGACTCCAAGAACCATGCTTATGGTCACCTCTTCCCTCCGCCCGGCTCAGCGTCAGGCTCTGCCAGTCTGGAGTTAAGTGCTCCAAGACGCTGTCTCGTGTGAAGGGCACTGTGTAAGTGCAAGTTGTTATTCTTGTGGAGTCTTGTATCTAGTGGTTAGCGCACTCGCCTTGCAAGCGAAAGAACCTGGGTTTGATTCCCAGGCAACAACAACAACAAAAAAATTACATTTGTATAGCAAAATGTTGGGCAAGTTTTCTTACTCCACATTCTCCCCCGGCTCGGAGTCAGGCTCCGCCACTGTTAAGCGCTGTTGTTGTTGTTGTTTTTGTATTCCTCTGTTTACCTAGCAGTAAGTAGGAACCCGGCTGTTAGTGGATCGCTTTTCCGGGGGTAATAATCCCCTAAAAATAATAATGCCTTGGTCACTCAAACCTCGACTGTTTGTGGGACCCTATTGTCTGAAATTGGCTGCCGCGTTTCACCCACAAAATATACAGTAAATTCACTTTGCAGTATATTCTGTGAAGCGCTTTGAGACGTCTTGAAGACGTGATAATGGGCTATATCAAATGTAAGGATTATTATTATTACTGTTTTTATTTTTCATAATTCGAAGCTTTCCTCATGACAAATTGCCAGCAAAGCCTGGGAAAGAGGTCTCCGGAACGGTGCCCAACTGAGTGGAAGACATATCAAAATGAAAGACGGTGTTTTAAAGCTTTCCATGAGCTGCTTAGCTATTCAAGAGCAATGGCAAGAACTCTCTACACATACATATAATATATATTTAATGGGTATGGTAGGGTGGTCCTAGCTGGAGAAGCAGCGGAAAAACTTGCCGGCAGCGCTCTCAATGGGAAACTGCGGTTTTAGTGGGGGTTGTGAATTCGAGCCCCATGTCAGGGATTTGGTATCGCACAGTCTAAGCAGACGCCCCAGCACAGCGCTGGGGGGAGCAGGGCGCTTTGAGGTATCTCGACAACATGATAAGGCACTCTATCACATGCAAGGACTATTATTATTAACTTTGTTTCTGCAGCTGGTGTGTAAGACTTTCCACGAAAAGGGGAATCTGGTATCCATCCATTCAAGCAAAGAGAATTCATTTATATTTCAACTGATCACAAAAGTGTTTGGATTAGCAGACGGAGCCTGGATTGGAATGGATACTCTTACATCTGTGAGTTTTATAAAGATGACACATGTCTGGACTTGGAAACACACAATCTAAGCTCATGCTCCAGTGCAGTGCTGGGGACAGAGAGTGACGCATTGTCGGAGACACCGTCCTTCGGATGAGATGCTAAATCTCACTCACTCCCCATCCGTGCCCTATTCAGGAAGGACATTAAAGATCTCCCACCTCACTGTCGGGAAAAGAGAAGGGAGTTTTCTCTCTCCTTCAAAATCTTCCTTATTTATCGTGCTCCCAAACCACCTGGTTCCATCTTCCCAAACATCTCCTCTCCTCTCCCATCCCTCTGCTTCTGCACTAAACACCTGATCATAATGAGTTATTTCAATCTTCACCTAAACTTGCCTTGCCCATCTCCTCTGACTTCACTGCTCTCCTCTCCACACTAAACCTCACCCTCCACATAAACTTCCCGACCCACAAACATGGCTACCCACTCAACCTCATTATCACTCACGGTCTTGACATCTTCGACATATCCATCACAGACAAGACCATCTCAGACCACTTCCTCATCTTCACCCCTTGCATTCTCCTACCCTCATCGAAGCCCTTCACCATCTTTTTCCAACTTTGGCAAAAGCTTCTACCCAAATCCCTCATGATCTCTTCTCCCTCTGGACTTCCACCCGCAGCGATCCTTTGTGAGTCTCTGCAACCCTCAACTCCCTTGCTCTCCTGAAACCCAGGTCTGTCTCCAAATCTACCCACACCCCCTGGTAAAACAGTCACCTCTACTCCCTCAAAACTAAAACCTGGACGCTCGAGTGCAGATGGCACAAATCCGGCATCGCAATCCACCGCCAGCTGTCGATCTCCAAAATGATCACGTCTCCCTCTCACAGGCCAAAACTGCCTTTTACTTCAAAACCATTTTGTGAACCAAAAACAACCCAAAGGCCCTGTTCTCCACCATCCATCACCTCCTCTGCGCACCCCCTCAAGCTGCCTCCATCCTCACCTCAAGCACGAAGAGGTCCTACACTGTCAAAGATTGAAAATATCCACTTGGTTGCTTCTTCCTTCCTTACATCTCCTTCTGCACCCCCCAGACCATCTAACCACCCCCTCCTTCCACCAGGGCCCGTACCACTCCCCCTCTCTACCCTCCATTGCCCCAAATACTCCCACCTCTCTCTCAATCAACATCTCCCAGATGATTCCCACCACCTGCTGCCTAGATCCCTCCCCACCTAGCTGCTCGTCACATCTGCTCCTCGCTGTTGGTCAACCAGTCGCTCTCCTCAGGTTCTGTTTCACTCCCCCTTAAAATGTCTGTCAGCACTCCCCTCCTCAAAAAAAAACATCCTTGACCCCTGCAACCTGCCCTTCTTTGCCAAGGCTCTGGAACAGGTGTAGCAACATAAAGTTGGGGAAGCATTAAGCAACAACGATCACAATGCAATCGTATTTGACATCACAAGGATTGGTGAGGTTATAAAAACCCAAACAAAACTGCCAAATTTCAAGAGGACCAACTTTGTGCACTTGAGAAGTCTTATTGGCGATATTGACCTGCTTCATGTCCTCTGCCTTGCTCGCTCCACTTCTGCCACTCTGCACCCACGCTCTGGAACTCCATCCCGCAGTCCCTCCATCTCTTCCCCTCCCTCGCCATCTTCAAGACCCACCTCGAGACCCTCCTCTTCGACTGTGCTTTCGATCTCCCTGCTTCGACCCCTGCCCTAAACCCTCCCCCACCCCGACCCTCAGCTCAGGTCTGTAACTCTGTCTGTCCAGCGCCTTGGGACATCCTCCCGACGTGAAAGGCACTATAAAAATGTAATGTTGTTGTTTTGTCTGGATGGTAAATCTCAAATGTAGCATGTAACGTGGATTTTATGCATCAATTCACTTTATCACACACATATATTACACCAACACACAACCCGCTGCCTCCACTTGACTGGCTTCGGCCTTCTCCATATCCCTTGTGCCCTTGGTTCCAACATTGTTGGCCACGTTTTCAGCCACAATGCCCCAAAACTGTGAAACACTCTTCCTTGCCCTTGCTTGCCCATCTTCTGGTTGCTTCTGAAGACCTTTCCATTCGACCATTTGTCACCTCCCACCTGGTTTATTCAAAAGCGCTCCTCGACGATCTCCCCAGCTCCATTATTCAAACAATTCAGCTCATTCAGAACTCTGCCACCGGCATACTTGACCCGGACCAAACTCTGTACCCACATCTCACCAGTTCTGGCCAGGCTCCACTGGCTCCCCACCACCGAACGGATCAACTTCAAGATCCTCACACTCGTGTTCAAATCCCTTCACTCTCTGGCACCACTCTAACTCTCCGATCTCCTCACTCCCCAATCCGCCACCCGGCGCCTCTGCTGACTGGCACTGGCCTCCTGCTCGTCCCTCGCACCCTCCACCCCACCATCAGAGGTTGCGATTTCAGCCACTATGCCCTGAAACTCTGGAACACTCTCCCTCAATCCCTCAGCCTTGCCCCCTCTCTCCCTGTTTTCAGGTTCCACCTGAAAACTTTCCTGTTCGACCGTGCTTATGGCCACCTCCCCCCAACCCCTACTGGCTCAGTCAGGCTCCGCCACTGTAAGCACTCTGAGACACTACCCTGGGTGGAGAGCGCTTATAAGTGCAAGTGGATGTTGTTGCCTACGGTTACCTGCCCCTCCATCTGGCTCAGCATCGTGCTCCATGTCAAGCGCCCTGGGACTCCACTCTGCGTGAGCTGCACTATATAAATTTTAGTTGTTGTTGGTGGTGTCTTGGTCGACAATCCCCCAGATAAAATTGCTCACTCTCTCCGCAGCTGTTTGTAGGACATTGTTGTGTGCAATCTGCTGCCGCGTTTCACCCACGAAACGCACAGACACTACACTTTCAAGTGTATCCTGTGAAGCTATTTGAGACATCTCAACGACATGATACGTCACTGTGCCAAAAGCAAGGATTGTTACTGTAAATAATAATTTCCCTCTCGTTGCAGTGTGAGTGTGATAGCTCTCAGCGATGACACGGGCTGCCTCTCTGCTCATTCAAGACTTTGTCAATCTGTTCACAGAAAGAATTTCGATGGCAAGATAGGAGTGATGTGAAGTACACCAACTGGAGGGATATCGAGGACTCCAACTATTGTGCATGGATAAAGCCAAGTATAACAGGTAAGAGAGAGACTGAAAGGGAGAGACACTGAGAGAGAGAGAGAGAGAGAGACTGAGCGAGAGAGAGAGACTGTGAGAAAGAGACTGAAAGAGAGAGGCTCAGATAGAGAGACTGAGAGAGAGATTGAGAGAGAGACTGTGAGAGACAGATTGAGAGAGAGAGAGACTGAGAGATCGAGCTATCATTGTATGTAACTGCTGAAAATCTTTTTGTTTCAGACATGAAGTGGGAGCAAGGTTATTGTAATTTCGCGAGGGGATTCGTGTGTGCCCAACCTGTCCGCACCAACTGAGGTGTGGAGCAGCGAGCGACAGTCACTACACCGGTCACTATTTGTGTGTATGCTTGTTTGACCCTCAACTATCCTTTCTACCCCACATCTGTGCCATGACCCGCTCTGCCTTTCACCACCTCCACAACATCGCCCGGTTCCACCACTATCTCACACCGCAGGTAGCGGAAACCCTCATACATCCTTTCATTACATCGAGGCTTGACTATGTAAACTCATTGCTTGTTGGCCTCACCAACTCCTCCCTCCACAATCTGCAGATCATGCAACCCGTGTCCTCTAGGTTCCGTGACCCTATCACGCTCATCCTCGGCCAACTCCATTGGCTTCCCATCACACAGATACAGTTCAAGGTCCTCGTCCTCACCTTCAAAGCCCTCCATGGTCTTGCTCCCCACTACATCTGTGACCTCCTAACCCCCTACCATCCTGTTCGCTCTCTCTACTCAATGGGCTGCGGCCTGCTTCATGTCCCCCGCCTCACTTGCCCCATTATTGGCGGCTGGGCCTTCTGCCACTCTGCCCCCACCTTCTGGAACTCCATTCCGCAGTCCCTCCGCCTCACCCCCTCCTTTGCCACCTTCAAAACCCATTTCAAGACCCTCCTCTTTGACATGCTTGCAAACTCCCTGCTTCCCCCCCTGCCCTCCACCCTCCCCGACCCTAACCCCCAGCTAGTCTGTAACTCTGTCTGTCCAGCGCCTTGGGACATCCTCCCGATGTGAAAGGTGCTATACAAATGTAATTTTGTTGTTGTTGTGTGTGAGTGAGGAAGGAGGGAAGGTCAGAGACAGAGTAAATCTCCCCTGAGACTGTTAGCGTATGCGTGAGTGTGTGTGACAGAAGGAGATAAACTGTTTGTGTGTGTGTGTGTGTATAGAGTGTAATGAACCTCTGTATTTATTATTTAATTAATGATGAAATAGTGGGTGTACAATTGTTTCCTTTATTATAGTTCCACAGTCAATGATTATATAAAGGGCAAAGTAGTGATCAGTTATCATATCCCCTGGGAAGTCGGGTCAGATCTGTATCTCACCAACACAGCTTGAAATACTCACAATTAAACCCCAAATCTCAATCACATTTGTGGATGTGTTAACAGTATTCCCACCACTAGAGCGCTCCCGACCTGCAGACCATGAGTAGAAGTAGCCCACATTCCTGTCCTTGTAGAACAACAACAACAACAACAAATGCCATTTACACAGCGCCTTTCACGTCAGGACGACGTCCCAGGGCTCTGGACAGTCAGAGATTTCGATCTGAGCTCGGGGCTGGGATCAGGTGGGGTGGAGGGCAGGGAGGGTGGGGGATAGGAGAATGACCGAAGGCATGGTCGAAGAGGAGGGTCTTGAGGCATGCCTTGAAAGATCAAGGGAGGGAGAGAGGAGAATGGACTGTGGGATGGAGTTCCAGAGGGTGGGGCCAGAGAAGCTGAAGGCACAACCGCCAATGGTGGGGTAGTCGGCCCCTCAGATAATAAGTGCAACACAGCCACCAGCTGTACTATTATTATCATCATATGCTTACCTTCTGCTTATCATCATTACCTTCTGCTGTTGCAGATCACGGTAACTGAACACATAACTTTGACATAATTTAATCAAAATTATACACCTGAACTATTATGTCTCAAATTTTAATATTATATCAAAACTACAGTAAGGTTACATTAAAAACTATCAAACGTGTTACATTTCTCAATTTAAAATGCTCGCAAACCTCATTGTACACAAATCATTAGCAATGTGAGCATTTGCCCTTGTAAACCAGCAAATTAAAATGAGAACAATGTCCAAATCTATAATAATAAATAATAATAAGCCTTAAATTTGAAACTATTGTCAGTGCTCCATTAGCTTCTGGTTATACTCCTTTAACTACTCGTCACTACTCAGATGACATAAACTGAAACAGGATTGTTCGCAACAAGAGGTTTTCACCCACAACATACACACTACACTTTACAGTATATTCTGTGAAGCTCTTTGAGAAGTCTCAAAGATGTGATAGGGCGCTATATCAAATACAAAATGCATGGATTATTATTATTTTAAAAGTGAGAACAGAAGTGGTGGCATTCAGCCTGAGAGTGGTAAACCACCATGTCTCTCCTCCACTCCCTCCACCCGAGCACCTTGCTTCAAAAGGGCGTTGGCTTCACAATTTTCAGAGTGACGGGCAAACTTGAAATAATTCTATACCAGCAAAGGGAAGTTTGGGGTAGGACTGAGCACAAATGTGGTTTGCAAGAACAGAAATCGAAAGGGAGAGGATTATGCATATCAATTCCTGTATGTGACATACCGGCGAGATAAAGGTTGGAGCCGTTGATGAAAACCGCACAAAACATGAAAGGTTAAGGTCAGGGATACGGGGAAGAAAGAGAGGGGAGAGGGAGGAAAGGGTTGAAGGAGGGTAAGAATAGTCAAGACGGGTGCTGTGGAACAAAAGGTTTTCTGCACAAGACTGTGCCAATTCCTCCAGAAGGACAATATAATCGCTCTTTACAACCTTTGCCTTTTCTGCTGACTTCCTGTCCTTTTTCACATTGCTTTTCTTTCACTTGTGCCTGTCCTTACCCACGTGCCTGATAATAATCCCTCAAGAAAAAAATAATAAATTGGTCACTTCAACTTCAATCCACGACTGTTTGTGGGACACTGCTGTGCGTAATTGGCTGCCATGTTTCGCCCATAAATATACAGTCAATTCACTTTACAGTATATTCTGTGAAGCGCTTTGAGTCATCTGGAAGACGTGTAAAGTGCTATATCGAATGCAAGGATTATTATTATTATCCAGAACATCAACAACAACCACCACCACCAACAAATGACATTTGTTTAGCTGCTTTATTTCACGTCAGAAGGCCATCCCAAAGGAACATGGACACAATTTGGTTCATAATCGTTGCATTTGCTATAGCACCTTACTCTGGTTTGTACTCTGTGTCCAGAGCAAATGTTCTGTTACACACTTCAACGCATAAAATACATAATACATACACTAACATTATTGGCCATTTTGCAACTACAAACTACAGGTAATACACTTCAGAATATAATAATTCTTGCATTTGATATAGCGCCTTAACATGTCTTCAAGACATATCAAAGCGCTTCACAGAATATACTGTAAAGTGATTTGACTGTATATTTTATGCGTAAAACGAGGCAGCAGTGTCCCACAAACAATCGTGGATTAAATGACTTATTTTTTTGAATGGATTATTACCCTCGGAAAAGAGATCCTCCAATCGACTAACAATTGGGTTCCTAACTATTACAATACAAAATTACAGTTGTATAACCACTTTCACGTTGGGGAGATGTCCCAAGGCACTGGACAGTCAGGGATATGGACCCAAGCAATGGGGGTGTTGGGATCATAAGGGGTGGCGGGGAGGGTAGGGGTAGGAGGGTGACCAAAGCCATGGCCGAAGAGGAGGATCTTGAGACGTGCCTTGAAGGAGGCAAGGGAGGGAGCGAGATGAAGGGAATGTGGGATGAAGTTCCAAAGGGTGGGGGCAGTGAGGCTGAAGGCCCGACCGCCACGGCTGAGCGGGCCGGAGCCTGCTGAGCAGAGCGAGTGGACAGATTGATAAGGGGTTAGCAGGTCACAGTGGTAGGAAGGGGAAATGCCGTGGAGGGCCTTGAAAGCGAGGACAAGGATTTTGAACTCTATCCTCTGAGTGACGGGAAGGCCAACAAGCAGGAAGTTTGCACAGTTGAGTCTAGATGTAATGAAGGCACGTTTGAGGGTTTCAGCGGTCTGAGGGGTGAGGTGGTGGCAGAGCCGGGCAATGTTACAGAGGTGGGGGAAGGCAAAGCAGGTCATGGCATGGATGTAGGGGAGAAAGGACAGTTGAGGATCAAACAAGACCTCAAGGTCCCGGAGAGTGAGGCGGAGTGTGCATCCATTGATGGGTTGCTGCCAGTACCTGAGGTGTGGAGGTGCTGACGGGAGCTGATCAGGACTTGTTGACGTTCAACTAGAGAAAGTTAGCTCTTATCCAGGACCTCGCCCCCTCCCTTGCCTCTTTCAAGACCTGTCTCAAGACCCTCCTCTTCAACCATGCTTTTCATCACCCTCCTAGCACTACCCTCCCTGCCCTCCTGATCCCAACCACCAGCTCGGGTGCGGATCCCTGACTGTCCAGCACCTTGGGTCGACATGAAAGGCGCTATACAAATGTAATTTGTTGTTGTGATTTAAATGAATATTTAAATGAACTATTATAATTATTTAAATGATTATTAGATTAATTATTATTTAAATTAATTATTATATCAACCACAGAACACCATCACTGCACTTTACCGCGTATCCTGTGATGCACTTTGAGGCATCTCAACGATGTGATAAGGCACCCTGTCAAATGCAAGAATTATTATTAGTATTATTCTCCTTGGTATTTTTATTTTGCCCATAATAATAAGTAACATGATAATGTGTGAGGTGGTACATTTTGCTAGAAGGAATAAAGAAGTCACATATATCCTGGAAAATAAAAACCTAAATGGGATAGAGGAGTAAAGGGACCTAGGGGTACACATACACAATTCACTAAAAGTAGCAACCCAGGGTTATAAGGCCATAAAAAAGCAAACCAGGCATTGGGGTTCATTTCTAGAGGGACAGAAATGAAAATTGGGAAGCTATGGTAAACCTCTAGGTTAGACCACACTTAGAATACTGTGTGCAGCTCTGGTCCCCACATTATAGAAGGGATGTAGAGGCACTGGAGAGGTTGCAAAGGAGATTCAGAAGGATGATCCCAGAACTGAGAGGTTATACCTATCAGGAAAGGCTGAACATAACTGGACTCTTTTCACTTGATAGAGGTCTTTAAAATTATGAAAGGTTTTGATAGGGTAGACATAGGGAAGATGTTTTCAATTGTGGGGGAGACCAAAACCAGGGGCCATCAATATAAAATAGTCACAAATAGATCAAATAGGGAAGTGAGAAGAAATGTCTTCACACAGAGAATAGTGGGAATGTGAAACGTGTGACCACAAGGAGTTGTTGAGGCAAATAGCATAGATGTATTTAAGAGAAAGCTAGACAGGTACATGAGGGAGAAAGGAAGAGAAGGTTATACTTGAAGGCTTAGTTGAGGAAGGGCAGGAGGAGTCTCATGTGGAGCATAAACACCGGCACAGACCAGTTAGACCGAATGGCCTGATTCTGTGCTGTATATTCTAATGTATTCTAAGGCGCTGTGTCAAATGTAAGGATTTTTTATATGATTATTTCAATTATTGTTAAAATTTAAATTATTATTAATTTAAACAAATTATTATTATGCTCACAAAACACACAGTCACTGTACTTTACAGTGTGTTCTGTGAAGCACTTTGAGATGTCTCGATGATGTGATAAAGCGCTGTGTCAAATGAAAGGATTATTTAAATTAATGTGTTTACATTCTCTAATGTTTTCTTGGCTTCAGTTACACTTACTGGGACATGGTTTGGGACATCATTTCAATTTATTGTTAAATAATTCATGAATAACAACTGAATAATAACAGAATATACTGTAAAATGAATTAACTGTATATTTTATATATATTGTTAACTATATCATTTTCCTGTGTAATAATATGTAATATGTATAATATTTATATTAATATAGTCTTATAATAGCCTATATGGTATTATATTACCAGTTACATTGTGTAAACTATGATATTGTTTATAGGGTTTTCCTGTGTAAAAATTTGATATACAGTATATTATATTTATATTAACATACGGTATTATAATAGCCCAACACAGAGTGGTCTAACCTTTTAGCTGCCATGGGCCGGATTCCCTATTTGAGAAAGGTCCGCGGGCCACATCCAGCATGGGCCAGCTGGCCTGGCCAATGACTATATCCGGCCCAAGGTCAACATTTCAATTTCCACTCCCTCCCTCCCTGGTGGGCAGCGGCAGGAGCCGGCAGTTGGGAGGATGCAGCACGAAGAGTGGAAGTAACACTGGCCATTGTTGCAATCTGTCAGGAAGGTAAGTGCATCTCTTACCAACCGCGTGTCCTTAGTAACTTGGTCCTGCCGCTGCACACAGTGAACCGCATGGCTAATTGGAAGAGAGATGGATTAAAAGAGGGGAGGCGGAGAGAGAGGGGAAGAAAGAGAGGGGAGGGGGTGAGGGAGAGAGAGGGACAGAGCGGGGAAGAGGGACACTCTCTTTCTCCTTCTCTCCCCCTCTCTCTCACTCTCTCGCACACAGACTCACTCCCTCAATTACTCTCTCACTCCATTTCTCTTCCTCTCACCAAACTCATCCTGTCCCTGAAACCCACCTTGACTGCATCCCCACTCCACTCCTTATCTCCCAGCTCCACGTCCTTGCCCCACATATCACAGATATCATCAACCTGTCCCTCTCCTCTGGCTCTGTTCCCATTCCCCTAAAAACTGCCATCATCACTCCCACTTTGAAAAACCCTCCCTTGATGCGTCGCAGCTATCAAGCTACCGGCCCATCTCCAACCTCCCCTTCCTGTCCAAGGTCCTTGAAAGAGTCGTTGCCTCCCAGCTGCGCTCTTTCCTCTCCACCCATGCATTATTTGAACCCCTTCAGTCGGGTTTCCGTGCTGCCCGTAGCACAGAAACCGCCCTGGTCAAGGTCACTAATGACATCTTGACCATCTGCGACCAGGGCTCCCTCTGCCTCCTCGTCGATTCACTATATATAAAGTCAATTCATTTTACAGTATATTTTTTGAGACATCTCAAAGATGTAATATCAAGTGCAAGGATTATGATTATTATATTCTTAATTTTTAGCGTTGTGTGATGGTCCAGCTGCATGGTGTGAACGATAAATTCATTCAGCCACTACACCCTGAAACTCTGGAACACGCTCCCTCAATCCCTCTGCCTTGCCCCCTCTCCCCTTTTTCAAGTCCAGCCCGAAAATCTTCCCTTTCGATCATATTTATGGTCACCTCCCCCACATCCCCGGCTTGGAATCAGGCTGTTAAGCGCTCTGAGAAGCTACCCTGCGTGAAGGGCGCTATATCAGTGCAAGTTGTTATTGTTGTTCCCAAGCCTCCTCCTTGTGGCCGGGCCTTTGTACGCACAATTGGCTGCCACGTTTCACCCACAAATATACAGTCAATCCACTTTACAGAATAACCAAAAGACAAAATTCTGCAGATGCTGGAAATCTGAAACAAAAACAGAAGTCGCTGGGAACACTCAGCGGGTCAGGCACCATCTATGGAGAAAGGAAAGTGAGTCAACGTTTCGAGTCCATGACCTTTCGTCAGAATTGGGGCATGTTGGGAGGGAGCGGCTTTTAAGGGCTAACAGAGAAGGGGGAAGCAGTGCAAGGAAGGCAGAGGAGAAACTGGGGTAGAGAACAGAGGATGATGGGTTAAAGAGATGTTAATGATGCCAAACAAAGTGGGGGGATTGCAACAAAGCAGAGGAATAGAGGTGTTAATACTGCAGAACAAAGGGGGGATGGGGGGGGGGGGGGGAGAATGCAGCAACATTTTATAGTATTGCAACAAACTTTACAGTATTCTGTGAAGGTTTTGAGACGTCGAAGACATCAAAAGCACTATATCAAATGTAAGGATTATTATTATTAACTCTGGCTTCCCTCCGCCTTCCAACTCTTAATGTTTCGGTCACTCTCTCCAACCTACGAGTCTCAGGAAAGTGTGAAAGGTGAGGAGTCAGGTGTGAGGATTATTATCATTGTTGTTGTTAATTACTAATTTGTCACAATTGGGATAAACACCATTTGCATCTAAGGTGGCCGCCCCTTCAACAAGATGGCCGCCTCTTTACCAAGATGGCCGCTTCTTCGCCAAGATGGTCGCTTCTTCACCAAGATGGCCGCTTCTTTACCAAGATGGTCGCTTCTTCACCAAGATGGTCGCTCCTTTACCAAGATGGCTTCTTCCAGTCACATCCACATGGGTTGGGACAGGAAGTGGGTCTGCGAGAGGTCAGGAGACAAAGCCTGAGCTTCAGCAACAGGTAAATACAGAGTAAATTCAGTTACGTTGTAAATACAGAGCTACATTATAACTATAGAGTAAATTCAGAGTTACATTATAAATATAGAGTAAATTTAGAGTTACATCGTAAATACAGAGTACAATACGATACAAAATTACATTTGTAAAGCACCTTTCACTTTGGTGGATGTCCCAATGTGCTGAACGGTCAGGGATTAGGTCCTGAGCGGGAGGGTTGTGTGGTTGTGATCAGGGAGGGTGGGGGGAGGGTGGGGGTAGGATGGCGGCCAAATGGTTGAAGAGGAGGGTCTTGAGACGTGCCTTGAAGGAGGCAAAGGCAGGGACGAGATGAAGGGAATGTGTGATGCAGTTCCAGAGTGTGTCTGACAGACATCACGGCCTGGATGAACGCAAATTTCCTGCAGCAAATTTGGTTCCCATCAGTGTCTTCTTTCCTGCGGGTCTGAACTGTTCAACCTCTCTGGGCTCTCCCTCAGACTCACCAAACCCATGCGCAATCTTGGCGGCAGGTTCGATCCACAGCTTTCCTTTCTCCCCCACGTCCATTCCCTGACCAAGACCACTTTTTTCCACCTCTGCACATTGCCCGCTTCGTCCATAGCTAACACCCACAGCAACCAAACCCCTCATCCGCGCCTTTGTCACTTCCCGGCTGGACTTTTCAAATCCCCTTCTCACTGGTCTCCCCAGCTCCACCATACATAAAATATGATTAATTCAGAACTCCCGCCCAGATACCAACACATACCAAACACCGGACCCCCATCACACCAGTCCTTGCCAGACTGAACTGGCTCCCAATTTCCAAATGGATCAACTCCCAAGATCCTCTCTCTCATTTTCATGCCATCGCACCTCCCTACCTTTCCGACTTGCTCACACCCCACTCCACCACCCACTGCCTCCGCTCGGCCAGCTCCGACCTCCTGTTCGTTCCTCGCCCCCTCCGCTCCACCATCGGCGGCAGTGCTTTCAGTCACTACGCCTCGAAGCTCTGGAACTCTCCCCAATCCCACCGCCTTGCCCCTTCCATCCCTACTTTCAAATCCTGCCTAAACAACTTTTATTTTTCATCGTGCTTACGGTCACCTCCCCCTCCCTCCCTCGCCCCCTGGCTCGGGGTCAGACTCTACCACTGTTAAGCGCTCCAGGACGCTATCCGGCCTGAAGGGCGCAATATAAATGCAAGTTGTTGTTGTTATAAACCTCTGAGACGTGCGTGCGGTGCAAGCAGTTTTGTAATGAGAGACTGTCAGACCATCACGGGGTTAACCTAGTTTTGTGTTTAATCAAAAACTGCTGATAACCTTCACGGTTTGTCTCGTGTTACAGTCCCTGATCCCTCGCTTGTCTCAAGTCGATTTTTTCCCTCTTGTTTGACTCCAGCTAAAAGCTCTCTGGTAATTTTAAATGTTAAAGCAACCAAAGTTTTGACCCCAGTTGTCAGCCTGTGGCTCAGTCTCTCTCTCTCTCACTCTCTCTGAGTCTCTCTCTCAGTCTTTCTCAGTCTCTCAGTCTCAGAGAGAGAGAGATTGATCGAGAGCGAGAGACAGTGAGAAAGAAAGAGTGAGAAAAAGAGCGACCTCAGCAGTTTTGTTTTTGGAGCGAGATACATTTGGCGATGAATTCCCACATTCCTGGTCCTGGCTCAATCTCACTCTATGTTGTTTTTTCCTCCAGGAAACGAAGATGGGAATCCTGCATTTTTACACGGGCCTGTGTTCCCTGCCGCCGACGGACCCAGGCAGTCATCTCTTGCACCACGAAAGTGGCCCGGCGGGGAAAGTGAGGGCTGTCTCCCTCGAGTTGTGTTACAATGTGGACTGGACAGGTAGGCAGGTGGGGGGTGTGAGCGAGTGGGCTGGTGGGGAATGGGGCAACGCAAGTGGAATTTGTTACCCGACATACCCCATTCCAAAATCTAAACTGAGGGTCGCTCACATGGGTATGTCTCTGTGTCTGGATTGGAGAACTCTCTGTTTCTCACACTCTCTTTCTCGTACTCTTGGACTCTCTCTTTGCTCTCTCTCTCTCTCTGTCTCAGTCTTTCTCTGACTCTCTTACCAAATTCAGGAGAATATTAGGCGCAGGTTGGCAAGAGACAAGGCTTGAGGCTGGAGTTACTGCTGGAGTCTTAACCAGTTAAGACCACATTGTATGGCATTGATAGTGCTGTCCAGCAAACTTTCCCACTGCTTGTCCATTTAGGACCACCCTACCTGTTAGGGTTTTGGCTTGCAGGGTTAATGGGAGTGGATTGGTGTCTCAAGGGTTTCTCACACTGTGCTTTGGGGGAACAGAGGCCACGGACCCCAGCGATGAGCAGAGACAGAGGCTACGATGGCTTTTCACCTCCCCCTTTGACCCAGAAGCTATCAGCACCGACCCCTCCTTGAGAGATGTTCCCAACAGCTTCCTGGTGGAAATCGGACCTCGGTCAGTCTGTGTGTGTGTACATGTGTGTGTATGTATGTGTCTTCAGCTCATTCAGATCTCTGCCGCCCACATACTGATCCGGACCAAACTCCGTACCCACATCTTGCCAGGTCTGGCCCGGGCTCCACTGGCTCCCATCACTGAATGGATCGACTTCAAGATCCTCACACTTGTGTTCAAATCGCTTCACTCTCTGGCACCTCCCTATCTCTCCGACCTCCTCACTCCACAATCCACCACCCGGCGCCTCTGCTCGACTGGCACCAATCTCCTGCTCGTCCCTCCCACCCATCGCCCCACCATCGGAGCTCGCGCTTTCAGCCGCTGCACCCTGAAACTCTGGAACACACTCCCTCAATCCTTCCGTCTTGCCCCCTCCCCTTTTTCAAACCTGAAAACCTTCCTCTTCGACCATTCTTACGGCCACCTCCCCCCACCTCACCTTCCCAGCTCGGAGTCAGGCTTTGCCACTGTTAAGCCACTCTAAGATTCTATCCTGCATGGAGGGCGCTATATAAGTGCAAGTTGTTGTTGTCTCTGTGTGAGTCTCAGTTTGTGTATGTGTGTCTCTGTCTGTGTGTGCATCTCAGTGTATGTGTGTCTCAGTGTACGTGTCTCAGTGTGTGTGTGTGTCTAAGTCTCTGTGTTGATATCTAAGTCATCAACCAGTCCCTCTCCTCCGGATCAGTCCCTGCCTCCCTCAAAACTGCTGTCATCACCCCCCTCCTGAAAAAACCCTCCCTGGATCCCTCAAACCCCAGCCATTACCGCCCTATTTCTAACCTGCCCTTCCTCTCAAAAGTCCTAGAACGCGTTGTTGCCAATCAACTCCGCGCACACCTCTCCTCCCACTCCCTCTTCGAACCCCTCCAGTCCGGTTTCCGCCCACATTACAGAGACTGCGCTTGTGAAAGTCACAAACGACATCTGTGACCAGGGCTTCCTCTGCCTCCTTGTCCTCCTGGACCTCTCCACCACATTCGACACAGTCGATCACTCCATCCTCCACCGCCTTTCCTCCATCATCCACCTCAATGGGACCGCACTCGCCTGAGTTCTACCTCACAAACCGCTAGGAGTACATCTGCACAAACGGCTTCTCCTCCCACTCTCACCTGGTCACCTGCGGGTACCCCAAGGATCCATCCTTGGCCCCCTCCTCTTTCTGATCTACATGCTCCCTCTTGGGGATGTCATCCGCAGACATGGGGCACATTTCCACATGTATGCAGATGACACCCAACTCTATTTTTCCACCTCTCTTTGCGACCCCCAGTCCTCTGATATTCTGTCAGCTGTCTGTCAGACCTCAGGGGCTGGATGAGCGCAAACTTCCTTCAGCTGAACGTTGACAAGACGGAAGCCATACTCTTTGGCTCTCGTCAACGTCTAAAATCTCACGGCTCTCACCTCCTCCACCTACCCGACCTCCCCCTAAAACTCTCCGAACCCGTATGCAACCTAGGCATCAGGTTTGACCCCCAATTATCCTTCCTCCCCCACATCCGGTCCCTCACCAGCACTGCTTTCTTCCACCTCCGCCAATACCTCTCCCCAAAAGCTGCTGAAACCCTGGTCCATGCCTTTGTCACCTCTCGGCTGGACTATAACACCCTCCTCGCCGGTCTCCCATCCACTACCATCCATAAAATACAAATCATTCAACACTCTGCCGCCCGCATTCTCACCGGCACAAAACTCCATTCCCCGATCCCCCCAGTCCTGGCCAGACTGCACCGGCTGCCTATCCCAGAGAGGATCGACTTCAAGATCCTCACCCTTGTATTCAAGTCCCTGCACTCCTCTACACCCCCGACCTCTCTGACCTCCTCTCTCCTCAAAACAGTACCCGTTGCCTTCGTTCCTCCGGGTCTGGCCTCCTCCTCGTCCCCCGAGTCCTCCGCTCCACCCTCGGCAGCCGTGCCTTCAGCCACTATGCCCCGAGGCTCTGGAACTGCCTTCCTCACTCCCTTCGTCTCGCTCCCTCCCTTCTCATTTTCAGGCCTCTGCTGAAGACCTTTCTTTTAGACCGCGCCTTTGGTCATCTTCCCTCCCTCTGGCTCGGCCCCGGGATCCGTTACTGTAAAGCGCTCTGAGACGCCGTCCGACGTGGAGGGCGCTATATAAATCCAAGTTGTTGTTGTTTGCGCGTCTGGTGAGTGTATGCTTCTCAGAGTGTGTGTTCATTTGTGTGTGTGTGTGCGTGTGTGAGTCTCAGTTTGTGTGTGCTTCTCAGTGTGTGTGTGCATCTCGATGAGTGTGTGTGTCTCTGTGTGTGTCTGTGTCTCAGTGTGTGCGTGTCTCACTGTGTGTGTGCGTTTCAATATGCTTATGTGCGTCTCAATGCATGTATGTGCGTCTTGGTGTGTGTGCGTCTCAGTTAGTGTGTGCGTCCCTGTGTGTGTGTGTGTGTGCATCTCAGTGTATGTGCACGTGCCTCAGCGTGTGTGTGCGTCTCAGTGTGAGCGCATCTCAGTGTGTGTGCACGCGTCTCAATGTATATGTGTGTCTCAGTGTGTGTTTGCGTGAGTCTTAATGTGTGCGTGCGTCTCAGTGTCTGTGCATGTGTGTCTATGTGTGTGTATCTCTGTACGTTTCATTGTCTGCGTGTGTCTCAGTGTGTGTGTATACGCATCTCAGTCTGTGTGTGTGTGCACCTCAGTGTACGATTCACCCAAAAAATGCACAGTCACTACACTACACAGTGTATCCTGTGAAGCGCATTTGAGAAGTCTCGAAGATGTGATAAGGCGCAATATCAAATGCAAGGTTTATTATGTGTTGCTGAGTATATGTGCATCTCAGTGTGTGTGTCTCTGTGTGTCTCACACTCTCTCTTTCTCTCAGGTTAAATTTCTCCACTGCCTGGTCGACCAATGCTGTCTCAATCTGTCGCTCTCTCGGTCTCCCAGCCATCGATCGTGTCGAGTGCTCTCGACGTTACCTCATCCAGGTCAGCTCCCTACCCCCCACATCTCTGTCAGTCTGTCTCTCTCAGTCTCTGTCTCAGTCTCTCACTCTCATTTTCTCTCTTTCTCAGTCTCTCTCTCAGTCTCTCTTAGCCTCTCTCACTCTCTCTCTCAGTCTCTCTCTCTCACTCTCTCAGTCTCTCTTAGTCTCTCTCTTGCGGTCTCTCTCAATCTCCCTCTCTCAGTCTCTCTCTCTCAGTCTCTCTCAGTTTCTCTCTCAATCTCTCTCACTCTCTCTCAATCTTTCTCTCAGTCTCAGTGTCTCTCAGTCTCTCTCTCTCTCAGTACCTCTCTCTCTCAATCTCTCTGTCTCTTTCTGCCTCTCTCTCAGTCTCTCTCGCTCTCTCTGTGTCTCACAGCTGAGTGAGGGAGCGTGTCTGAGCTCGGGGGAGCGAACGGGAATGACGGCCAGACTTTATGACCAGATGACGGAGTGCGTTTATGCTCAGCCCATCACCAGCTTCTCAGTCAGCGCTCAACCGGTTCCCGTCAGCGAGATCGATGTGGTGGGGACTGGGAAGCTGGCGCTCGAGAGAGCGAACCAACAGCTCGGTAACTGTGTGTCTGAGTGTGTGTGTGTCTCTCTCACAATCTCTTACACACACTCTCTTTCTCACTCACACTCTCTCTCTATCTCAGGTCTGGCGTTTGATGAGTGGGATGTGGACTTTTACACAAATCTCTTTCAGAAGATTAGGAGGAATCCAACCAGCGTGGAGTGCTTCGACCTGGCTCAATCCAATAGGTGAGAGACATATACATCTGTGTGCATGTGTCTCTCAACAAACTGTTATCGTTTCTCTCTCTTTCAGACTCTCTCTATCTCTCTCAGTCTCTCTCTGTCCTACTTTTGTCGCCTCCCGCCTCGACTACTCAAACCTCCTCCTCACTGGTCTCCCCTGCTCCACCATTCAGAAAATTCAACTAATTCAAAACTCCTCCGCCCGCATTCTCAGCCGTACTAAACTCTGTGCCTCCATTACCCCAGTCTTTGTCAAATTCCATTGGCTCCCTGTCACAAAGCAGATCGATTTCAAGATCCTCACTCTTGTATTTAAATCTGTCACCCCCTGGCTCCCCCCGTATCCCTCCAACCTGATCTCTCCCAGCACCACTACCTGCTGCGTCTGCTCAACTGGATCCGACCTCCTCCTTATCCCCCAGACCCTCCGCCCCACCATCAGTGGCCGTGCTTTCAGCCACTACGCCGAAGCTGTGGAGCTCTGACTCAATCCCTTTGCTTTGCCCCCTCGCTCCCATTTTGGATTGCGCTTGAAGACCTTCCTCTTCGACCGTGCTACAATCACCGTCCCCCTCCCCCCGGCTCAGCATCGGGATCCACCTTTGTCAAGCGCTCTGGGACACCGACCAGGCATAAAGGGCGCTATATAGAAATGCAAGTTGTTGTTGTTGTCTCTCTTTCTCAGTCTCTCTCTCAATCTCTCTCACCCACCCTCTCAGTCTCTCTCTCTCTCTCTCTCCCACCCTTTCTCTCTCTCTCTCTCTCTCTCTCTCTCTCTCTCTCACACACGCTCTAGCTCTGTCTCTCAAAGTCTCTCTCATCTCTCTCACCCACCCTCTCAGTCTCTCTCTTTCCCCCCCACCCCTCTCTCGCTCTCTCTCTCTCTCTCTCTCTCTCTCATTCTCTCTCAGTCTCTCTTTCACTCTCTCTCAGTGTCGCTCTCAGTCTCTCTCTCTCTCTCAGTATCTCTTTCTCTCCGCAGTGAGCACAGTCGACACTGGTTTTTTAAAGGCCAGCTCAGGGTTAATGGTGAGGAAATGAAAGCCAGTCTTTTCGATCAGATAATGAAAACCCAGAATCACAGCAACACCAACAACATCATAAAGTTTTCAGACAACAGCAGGTGAGCTGCCTTGAGTCAGAAGGTTGTGGGTTCGAGTCCCCCCTGTCAGGGACTTGGAATCACAGTCTAAGATGATGCTCCAACACAGCGCTGGGGTTAGAGAGAGAGAGAGAGAGAGTGCCACATTGTCCTCCAGTGACGCCGTACTTCAGATGAGATTTTAAACCGCACTCACTCCCCTTCCGTGCCCTGTTCATGGCGGACGTTAAAGATCTCCCGGGGCGCCATTGGAAAAAAAGAGAAGGGAGTTTCTCTCCCGATGTCGTGGCCGACAATCCCCCAAATAAAATCGCTCACTCCGTGAGTTTACGGGGTCGTTGCTGTGTGCAAAGTGGTTGCTTCATTTCAACAACAAAAGACACACCACGATGCTTTACAGTGTATCCTGTGAAGCGTTTTGAGATGTCTTGGTGACATGATACGGCGCTGCATCATGTGCGAGGATATTAATATTGTTGCATGTGTTGTGTGGAATGGGTTTCTAATCTCTCGCCCTCTGTGACCCCGCAGTGCCATAGAAGGGAGATCTGTGACCTGTCTGTATCCCAACAACCCAACTCAGGCCAGTCACTACAGCCAGAGACACACAACCAGGCATCTAGTCTTCACCGCAGAGACTCATAACTTCCCCACAGGTGAGAGAGAGATGAGCTGCGCCGTGTGAGTGCGAGGAGTTGTGAAACTCTGAGATTTGTGAGCGCGGCTGATGTTAACACTGTGTTTAGGTGTCGCCCCATTTAGTGGAGCGACAACCGGAACGGGGGGAAGAATACGCGATGTCCAGGCGACCGGTCGCGGGGCACATGTGATCGCGGGAACGGCCGGTTACTGTTTCGGTAATCTTCTCTACCCTGGTAAGTCGGCCCTCGCTCCCCTACCCTCTGTGTCTGTCTCTCTGTCTGTGTGTGAGTGTGCATTTCTCTCTCTCTCTCTGTCTGTGTGCCTGTCTGTGTGTATCTCTCTCTCTGTCTGTGTCTGCCTCTGTGGGTGTCTGTGTGTTTGTGTCTGTATCTCTCTCTGGTATGTCTCTGCTTGTGTGTGTGTGGTTGAGATACAGGGACGGTATAAAGGATGAGAGACTTTAGTTATGTGGGGAGACCAGAGAAGTTAGGATTGAATCTCCTTAGAGAAGGTTAAGGAACATTTAATAGAGGTGTTCAAAACTTTGAGGGGTTTTGATAGACTAGGTAGGGAGAAACTGTTTCTACTGGCAGGTGGGACAGTAACCAGAGGACACAAATTCAAGATAATTGACAAAAGAACCAAAGGGGAGAAAAGGAGAATTTTTTTTACACAGAGTTATTAATACACTGCCTGAAATGGTGGTGCAAACAGACTCAATAACAAATTTCAAAAGGAAATTGGATAGGTACTTGAAGAGGAAATATTTGCAGGGATATCGGTAAGAGTGGGGGAGTGGGACTGATTGAGTTGCCCTTCCAAAGAGCCGGCACAGACATGATGGGCCGAATGGCCTCCTTCCGTATTGTAATATTCTATGATTCTATGTTCTGTGTTTGTGTGAGGGGTCGTGTAGAGCGATCTCTCTCTGACTCTTAGTGTGTATTTGAGGGACAATAGAGGAATCTCTCTCTCATGTGATTACAGGACATGAGGAGCCCTGGGAAGATCAGGAATTCCCGTATCCGGGGAATTTTGCCCGTCCACTGGAGATCGCCATCCAGGCCAGCAACGGAGCCTCTGATTACGGCAATAAATTTGGGGAACCTGTCCTGGCAGGTAAAGGGTTAAACACCACCCCAGAAGCACTAGGACTCGTCCCTGTCTGGCTTTGCATCGCTTTCAGTTCCACTCGCAATTTTCCGAACTCTGAATTAATTTGTCCTTCCATGTCTTTTAGCTCTCACCCCATTCCCCCTCTCTATCTGTCTCTCAATCTCTGTTTCTCTCATAGTCTCTCTCTCTCTATCAGTCTCTCCCTTTCCCTCTCTCTCAGTCTCTCTCTCTCTCTTTCCCAGGTTTTGCCCGCTCCTTTGGGATGAGCTTGCCGACGGGTGAGCGGAGGGAGTGGGTTAAACCCATAATGTTCAGCGGGGGAATTGGAACGATCGAGGCTGAACACGTCCAGAAAAAGACCCCGGAGCTTGGTGAGTGCCTGACCTCTGTGATGGTGCTCTGATGTTAGATATCCGAGCCCTGATTTACTGTGGTGATTTTAGATTCCCGATGGAGTCCTGTAGCTCAGTGGTTAGAGTACACGTGCCTCGCAAGTGAGAGGACTTGGGTTTGATTCCCAGGCAGGGCGAAACGTTGGGCAAGTTTCCTTACTCCACATACCTCTGTTTACCTAGCAGTCAGTAGGAATCCGGTTGTTAGTCGATCAACGGATCGCTTTTCCAGGATTAATAATCTCTTCAAAATAAAAAAAGGAAAAATAATTCGGTCACTCAATCCACGAATGTTTGTGGGACACTGTTGTGTGCAATTGGCTGCCATGTTTCGCCCACAAAATATACACTTTACAGTATATTCTGTGAAGCACTTTGAGACGTCCTCCCGACGTGAAAAGCGCTATATCAAATGCAAGGATTATTATTATTATTATTATATTATTATATTCTGTGAAGCACTTTGAGACGTCTCGAAGACGTGATAAGGCGCTATATCAATCGTAAGGATTATTGTTATTCCCTACGCTGTTTTCCCTCTGTGATTTCTGACATTATCAGTTTCACGTGAATCTCTTTCTTTTGCTAGTTTATCTTTACTGCTCAATTAACCCATCCAGCTCTCTCCAACAATCCCCCCCCTCCCCTCAGCTTCTTATTTCCTTTGTTTAATACTTTGTTTCTGTGATCATTTTTTAACTATCCGGCACTACTACCATTAATCTCTTCATTTATGTTACCCCACGTAATCGGCATCATCCTACTTTTGTGCTGCCAAGGAGAGCTGCGAAGAGTTGTGGAGAGAGTTAAGGGCAATTTGATTTTCTCTTAACTCCTCACAAGTATTACGCAGACTTAACTGTTTGAGTGCCTCGAGATGAGCCAATGAATCATCTCCCTGTTTGGTCTGGAGGCATACCCTTGGGGCACTAGGACTTGTCCCTGTCTGGCTTTGCATCGCTTTTAGTTCCACTCGCAATTTTCCGAACTCTGAATTAATTTAATCCTTCTATGTCTTTTAGCTCAGCTGTTTGAGATTGATAATAATCAGTACGTCCCTCTAAACTGTGTATTTTTTGTATGGCAGATTCCATTTCTTTGAGCTCTCATTAGTCCCTCCTCATGTTTGGGTAACCTTTTCTCCACATATGCTCTCATTGAATCGTCCATGAATTTAGAATACTTTTCTGATCCTCCACCAACTGTACAAAATGTGACAGGTCAACTGGAACAAATACTCAATTTCTAAACAATATTAAAATTTGTAGTTGTCCAACTTCAGCGCAAAAGGTCCCTGGTTTGGGTGGCAATTTGTAAGATGTTCATTTTAACCCCGTGGTGAAGTAAAGACTGATATAAATCTTGTCTTAAAAAAAGGTTTATTAATTCAGATTAATAATGGTTATAGGTAGTTAAAAGAATACAACAGAATAATACTTACGTATTCATGTACAACAACAACAACAACAAGATTGCATTTATAGAGCGCCTTTCACGTCGGGAGGACGTCCCAAGGCGCTGGACAGTTGGGTCGGGACCCGAGCATTGGGGGGAAATGGTCAGGGTGAGGGGAGGGGAGGGAGGGAGCGAGGAGGGGGTAGAGAGTTGAGAGGGGGTGATAAAAGATACAGTTCACAACGATTAAGGTTGGCCAAACCAACTGTTGCGGAAGAGATGGAGGAGTAATGTCCGATTTAATGTTTAATTTAATGTCCACCAAAAAGTTACTCAGGTACTGCTGTATTGTTGCCAGTCAGTGGGCATCAATACCGATGTTGACATTTGTCTAAGTGTTTGTCTTGATCTTCCTTCTTTAGAAGCTGAAATATGCTTTGCAACTTCATTTTTCCAACTCCCTGTCTCTTCTGATTCTCTTCCCGAATCGATCTCTCTTCATCCAGTTGGTTCATGACCTTTCATCTACTTCATCTTTTGCAATGTGGTTTCTGTTATTTCAACAATTATTGACAGGCTGAAATAAAATTTCTTGGCATTATCTCGTCCAGGGTCTGTTTCTTACCTTGGCATTGTACATTTTGGATGATACTTAACACATTAATAACCGAATCCTTACAGTCCCTCGCCCTGATTTTTGATTTTCTTCCCTGATTTGTCGCCTGATTTCAATTTGATGTCTGGCCCCGATTTCCCCGGCTGTGATTTGGGTGGCCCTTGCTGTGGTTCTGGACGCCCCGTGGCCCAGCAATGGACGTGGTGAAGATCGGGGGTCCTGTGTATCGCATCGGAGTGGGGGGAGGAGCTGCCTCATCTATTCAGGTCCGTCTCTCTCTCTCTCTCTTTCTATATATATTCATATATATATCCCCCTCTTCTCTTTTTCCCTCTCTCACAATTTTTTTCTCCGTCTTTCGCTCTTAGTCTTTCTCTTTCTCTCTCTTTCTCTCTGTGTCTCTCTCTGTCTCGCTCTCAGCCTCTCTCTCTCTGTGTCACTCTCAGTCTCTCTCTCAGTCTCGCTTTCAGTCTCTCTCTCTCTCACTCTGTGTCTCTCTCAATCTCTCTCTGTCACTCACTCTGAGTTTCTCTCTAGGCTTTCGCTCTCAGTCTCAGTCTTGCTCTCAGTCTCTCTCTTTCTCTCAGGTCCAGGGGGACAGCTCTGCGGAGCTGGATTTCGGAGCTGTCCAGCGAGGAGACCCTGAGATGGAGCAGAGAATGAACCGGGCAGTGAGAGCGTGTATCGAGACATCCCGGGGGAACCCTATCTGCAGTATCCATGATCAGGGAGCGGGGGGCAATGGTGAGAGAGGAGACTCGCTTTCTCTCTTTCTCAGTCTCTCTCCCTCTTATTCTCTCAGTATCACTCTCTCTCCGTTATTCTCTTAGTCTCGCTCTCTCAGTCTCTTGCACTCTGTGTCTCTCAGTCAGTCTCTCTGTCTCTCAGTCTCTCTAACTCTCAGTCTTTTTCTCCTTCAGCCTCTCTTTCTCAGACTCATTCTCTCACGCTCTTATCACATTCTTTCTCTCTTTCAGGGAATGTGTTGAAGGAGCTGAGTATGCCAGCAGGAGCGATAATTTATACTAGTAAATTCCAGGTAACTGAGAGTGTGAGAGTGAGTGTGTGTGTGTGTGTGAGAGAGAGAATGTGTGCGAGAGAGTGAGAGTGTGTATGAGAGAGAGCACATTTGTGTGAGAGTGTTTGTGAGAGACTGTGTGTGAGAGAGAGGGTGTATGTGTGTGAGAGGGGGTGTGCGTGAGAGGGGGGTGTGTGTGTGAGCGCGTGCGTGAGAGTGTGTGTGAGAGTGTGTGTGAGAGAGGCGTGTGTGAGAGCGTGTGTGTGAGAGTGTGTGCGAGAGCATGTGTGTGTGAGCGCGTGCGTGAGAGAGCGTGTGTGTGAGCGTGTGAAAGAGAGTGTGTGAGAGCTTGTGTGAGAGAGAGTGTGTGTGAGAGAGCATGAGATAGAGTGTGAGAGAGAGAGAGAGAGAGATAGAGGTGTGCGATAGAGAGGGGGAGCGTGCGATAGAAAGGGAGGGTGTGCGATAGAGAGAGAGTGCGATAGAGAGGGGGAGAGTGCGCGATAGAGATGGGGAGCATGTGTGAGAGAAGGAGTGTGCGAGAGATTGTGTGTGAGTGTGTGTGATAGCGAGAAAGAGAGAGTGTGAGAGGGGTGGGGTGGTGGGGGGGGCGATAGTTGCTATTACTGTAAAGTAACTCGCTCTCCTCTTGAGGTGGGAGACCCCACACTGAGCGTGATGGAGATATGGGGAGCAGAATATCAGGAGAGCAACGCGCTACTGAGCCGGGCCGAGGACAGAGAATTCCTGCGGAGTGTGTGTGAGCGAGAGAAGTGTCCCATCGACTTTGTGGGGAAAATAACCGGTGACGGCAAGGTGTGTGATCTCAGAGCTTCACGAAGCCGCGCGCTCAACGCAGAGCGCACGCACATCTCGGAGCTTCACAACGCCTTGCGCTCACATTGCACCAACGCACCCCATGCACGTCTCAGAGCTTCACCGACGACTCTCTCCGTCAGATTGTTCTTGTGGATGACAGAGAGCAGGCTGGGGCAGAGGGCAGCGGGGAGCCTGACACGAGCCCGCGATGCGGTGAAACACGGCATCCTGTGGACCTGGAACTGGACTGGGTGATTGGAAAAATGCCACAGAAGGTGACAACTGAGAGCAAGTCTCTCTCCCTCTCTCTCTTACTTTCTCAGTCTCAGTCTCTCATACACTCACTCACTTTCTCAACCTCACTCTCTCTCCCCACTCTCTCTCCCTCACTCTCTCTCTCCCTCACTCTCTCCTGCCCTCTCTCTCCCTCACTCTATCTCTCTACCTCACTCTCTTTCTACCTCACTCTCTGTCTACCTCACTCTCTCTCCATCACACCCTCTCTCGCTCACTCAGTCTCTCTCCTACTCTCACTCTCTCCCTTTCACTCTCTCTCGTTCAGAAGTTTGTACTGAATGGCATGAAGCCCACCCTTCTCCCTCTGACGCTCCCCGCAGACCTGAGTGTACGTGACGCGCTCTCTCGGGTCCTGAGGTTGCCCAGTGTGGCCAGCAAACGCTACCTCACCAACAAGGTGAGTGAGTGGCCCAGGGCGGAGCGGGTCAGAGATTGTGCGGGTGGTTGTGGTGGGGGCTGGTGCTGATCTCTGTGTCTGCTGGTGGCCCTGTGAGTGTGCTGGTGTCTGTGTTTGCGTGTGAGTGTGTATGTGTATGTGTATTCAGAACTCTGCAGCTCGTGTACTGTCCCGCACGAGGCTTCACGACCACATCACTCGCACCCTCGCCCTCGCTCGCCTCCACTGGCTCCCCATCCCCCAGAGGATCGAATTCAAGATCCTCATCCTCACCTACAAGGCCATTCACGGCCTCGCTCCCTCCGACCTCTCCGACCTACTATCCCCCTACCTACCTGCCCGTACCCTCCGTTCCTCTGGCTCCGGTCTGCTCCACATCCCCCGCCCCAACCGCCCTACCATTGGTGGTCGGGCCTTCAGCCTCTCAGCCCCGAGGCTCTGGAACTCTATCCCCCAGTGCCTTCGCGCCTCCTCCCTTTCCTCCTTCAAGGCCGGTCTCAAGACCTTTCTCTTCAACCGTACCTTCAGCTCCCCTCTCGACTCTCTACCCCCTCCTCGCTCCCTCCCTTCCCTCCCTCACCCTGACCATTTCCCCCCTGCTCGGGTCCTGACCCAACTGTCCAGCGCCTTGGGACGTCCTCCCGACGTGAAAGGCGCTCTATAAATGCAATCTTGTTGTTGTTGTTATATATGTGTGTGTTCGCGGCTGCTGTGTGAGTGTATGTGTGCGCGGCTGCTGCGTGTGTGTGTGCGCGGCTGCTGTATGAGTGTATGTGTGCGCAGCTGCTGCGTGCGTGCACGTGTGTGTGTGCGCGGCTGCTGTGTGTGTGTGTGCGCGGCTGCTGTGTGTGTGTGTGTGCGCGGCTGCTGTGTGTGTGCGCGTGTGTGTGTGTGTGCGCGGCTGCTGTGTGTGTGTGTGTGCGCGGCTGCTGTGTGTGTCTATAATAATAATAATAATCCTTGCATTTGATATAACGCTTTTCACGTCGGGAGGACGTCCCAAAGCGCTTCACAGAACACACTGTAAAGTGAATTGACTGTAAAGCCAATTGCGCACAGCAATGTCCCACAAACAGTCGTAGATTGAAAATGACCAATTTATTATTGTTTTTGGTTTTGGACAGAATTTTAAGAATTTTCTAAAATTCTTAAGTTCTGAAATAAGGATTATGATAATTATTAATAATTTGAATGACTATGTGCGTGACTGGGAGCTGATAGCCCTCTCTCTGAGCAGGTTGACCGCTCAGTGACAGGGCTGGTGGCCCAGCAGCAGTGTGTGGGGCCGCTGCACACGCCACTGGCTGACGTTGCTGTGGTCGCACTCTCGCACTTCGACACGGTTGGTGGGGCCACCGCACTGGGGGAGCAGCCGGTGAAGGGGATGATCAACCCTGCTGCCGGGGCCCGCATGGCGGTAGCCGAGGCCCTCACCAACCTGGTCTTCGCCCGTGTCACCCACCTCAAGGTAAGAGACCGTGGGGAAATCATGCCAGTGGGTGGGGATATCAGGGCAGTGTGTGGGGATATCAGGGCAGTGTGTGGGGATATCAGGGCAGTGTGTGGGGATATCAGGGCAGTGTGTGCGGATATCAAGGCAGTGTGGGGATATCAGGGCAGTGTGTGGGGATATCGGCAGTGTGGGGATATCGGCAGTGTGTGGGGATATCAGGGCAGTGTGTGGGGATATCAGGGCAGTGTGTGGGGATATCAGGGCAGTGTGTGGGGATATCGGCAGTGTGTGGGGATATCAGGGCAGTGTGTGGGGATATCAGGGCAGTGTGGGGATATCAGGGCAGTGTGTGGGGAAATCAGGGCAGTGTGGGGATATCAGGGCAGTGTGTGGGGATATCAGGGCAGTGGGTGGGGATATCAGGGCAGTGTGTGGGGATATCAGGGCAGTGGGTGGGGATATCAGGGCAGTGTGTGGGGATATCAGGGCAGTGTGTAGGGATATCACGGCTGTGTGTGGGGATATCACGGTTGTGTGGGGATATCAGGACAGTGTGTGGGGATATCAGGGCAGTGTGTGGGGATATTGATGGAAGATCGCAAACGTAACGCCAATTCCCATTGATTGGAAGATTGCAAACATAATACCGATATTTAAGAAGGGTGGGAGACAAAAAATGGGGAACTATAGACCAGTTAGTCTGACATTGGTGGTAGAGAAAATTCTACAGTCCTTAATTAGGGACGTCATCGTGGGGTACTTAGAAAATCACAACATGATTAGGCAGGGTCAACATGGCTTTACGAAAGGGAAATCCCGCCTAAAGACCTTCCTTGTCTCTCCCTCTCTCTCTCTTTCTGTGTCTCTCTTTGTCTGTCTTCTCTCTTTTCTCTCTCTGTGTCGTTATCTCTCTGTCTCTCGCTCTCTCTCCCTAGGACGTGAAGTGCAGTGGGAACTGGATGTGGCCGGCCAAGCTGCCAGGGGAAGGGACGTCTCTGTACGAAGCGTGTCAGGCCATGTGCCAGGCCATGCAGGAGCTCGGCGTGGCTCTGGACGGTGGGAAAGACTCCCTGAGCATGGCTGCCAGAGTGGGCTCCCAGACCGTCAAAGCTCCTGGTAAGTGTCCAGCCCTGGGGAAGGGGACAAGGTGGCACACTGGGAGGGAGGGGGTCAGAGATCGATCGAACATACCACCTACTTGGTGAGAGTGGAGAAAGGTCAAGTGTCAACTGTGCTCTTACGCCCACCACACACACACGCTCCCACTCGCACAGCTCTAGTCTGTTCAATATCGTCAGCATCAAAGTGGGGAACGGGGGGTGGTTGGCAGGGGAGAGAGTTTCTCTCCCCCCACATACACGTTAATGTCCTTCACTCTCTCACTCACTCTGTCTCTCTGTATTACAGGGTCGCTGGTGATCTCAGCTTACGCTGTCTGTCCCGACATCACTGCCACCGTCACCCCTGACCTCAAAAACCCAGAAGGGAAAGGTTACAATCTCTCTCTCTTTGTTTCTCAGTTTCTCTCTCAGTCTCTGTCTCTCTGTGTCTCTCACTCGTTCTGTTTATGTCTCTGTCTCTCCAGGTCTCTCTCAGTCTCTCGGTCTCAGTTCTCTCTCTGTCTTTCAGTCTCTCCCTCATTCGCTCAGTTTCTTTCTCTTTGTCTCTTTTCCCTCTGCCCCGCAGGAGTGTTGCTCTATGTCCCAATCTCCCCTGGTCACCACCGTTTGGGTGGGGGAGCGCTCGCTCAAGTCTTCTCTCAGCTGGGAGACAAATGCCCTGACATGGACAATGCACAAAACCTCAGCTCCTGCTTCAACGTCACACAGAAACTATTACAAAGTAAGTCTGTCTCCTTCTGTATCTCTGTCTGACTCTATTTAAGTCTGTCAGCCCGGCTCAGTCGCTGGGTGTCAGCCCGGCTCAGTCGCTGGGTGTCAGCCCGGCTCAGTCGCTGGGTGTCAGCCCGGCTCAGTCGCTGGGTGTCAGCCCGGCTCAGTCGCTGGGTGTCAGCCCGGCTCAGTCGCTGTGTGTCAGCCTGGCTCAGTCGCTGTGGCTGGAAGTGTGTATGACATGCGCAGTGCACATCGAGCCACTGAGTGATGATGTCTGACTGTATATTGTGTGATATTGCACCCGGTGGCATTATCAGGTATTTGACTGCTGTAAACATCCGTAGCCATAGAGAGACAACATAACATTTTTTGGGGTGTCTGACACACGTGGAAACCCATCACGATGCTTAAGAGTGTCAATGCATTCTAAAATGACATTTGTAAAGCGCCTTTCACTTTGGGAGGACGTCCCAAGGCGCTGAACAGTGGTCCCCAAACCAAACTGAGAATTCCATGCCTCGCACCTACACATGGAAATCCCAGAGATGTTTATCTGGAGGGACGAATCCTGCTTTCCTGATTCCGGAAGTGACTGGTTAGGCCTCAGCTGGAGTATTGTGGAGTATTAGGCGTAGGTTGGTTTGGATTCCAACCAGCCAACACCACAAAGCTTGCCATATATGTCTGTCTGGCAAGCTTTTCCGCTGCTTGTCCAGCTGGGACCACCCTACCCGTTAGGGTAACAGGAGCAGAGTGGGATGACTCTCTGCCCCCAGTGACTGGTCTGCCCTTCCAGCCGGGCTGTGCTATCATCAGCAGTGAGTGCCCTGGAATACTGCGGACTCGCCCGGCTCAAGACCATCACAGAGGGCTGGCTCAATTCTGACATTATTATTAATATTGTTAATTATAATTATGTGACAGTGGGGCTTCTGTGGGCTGGCCACGATGTGAGTGACGGGGGGCTCCTGGTCTGTCTGCTCGAGATGGCTTTCGCCGGCAACTTTGGAGTCAATGTGGATTTCAGCACCGAAGGCGAGAGTGGTGAGTGTGTCTGTCTGTCTGTTCCTCTCTCTCAGTTTCTCTCCCTATTGTTGTGTTACACACTCTCTCTCTGTGTCTCTCTATCAGTCTCTATCTCTCTCTCTCAGTCTCTCTCTCTCTCTCTCTCCGTTACTCTGTGTATGTCTGAGTGTGTGTACGTGTGTGGTTAGTGTTGGAGCTGTTGTTTGCGGAGGAGCTGGGGCTGGTCCTGGAGGTGTCAGCGGGGGATGAGGAGCGAGTCCGGTGTCAGTACATGGACGTGGGTTTGCGGTGTCTCACTCTTGGACACACAGGAGCAGCTGGTCCCTCTGCTATGGTTAGTAACCCTCTTTCTCTGTCTCTCTCCCTAGGATGTCAATTATCTTGAATCTATGTGCCCTGGTTACTGACTCACTTGCCAATGGAAACAATTTCTCCCTATCAAAACCCCTCATAATTTTGAACACCTCTATCAAACTCCCCTTTAATCTCTGCTTGAAGGAGAACCATCCCAGGTTCTCTGGTCTCTCAACATAACTAAAGTCTCTCACCCTGGTAGCATTCTGGTAAATCATCTCTGCAACCTCTCCAAGGCCTTGATATCCTTCCGAAAGTGCGGTGCCCAGAATTGGACACAATACTCCAGCTGAGGCCTAACCAGTGACTTATAAAGGGATAGCAGAACTTACTTGCTTTTCTACTCTGTGCCTCTAACAGCTCTATCAACCTGTCCTGCCACTTCAAAGACCTGTGTATGTGAACCCCCTGGTCTCTCTGCTCCTGTACCCCCTTTAAAACTACCATTTGGTGCATATTGCCTCACCTCTCTATTCAACTTCATCTGCCATGTGTCTACCCATTTCACCAGTCTGTCTATGTCCTGCAGTCTGCCAGTATCCTCCACACTGTTTACTCAAGTATTGTGTCATCTGCAAACTTCAAAATGTTGCTATTGATATCCAGGCCATTCACATATATCAATAAGAGCAGTGGACTCAATACTGACTCCTGGGAGACCCCACTGTATATTTCCCTCTAGTCTGACAACAACAACAATAACAACAAGATTCCATTTATAAAGCGCCTTTCACGTCAGGAGGACGTCCCAAACAACCATTTAGCACTATTCATCTTTTAAGTAGCTCCTCTATCTATTTTTATCCTATCCAATTTCTCTACCTCCTCTGAACTTTCTGTATTCTGCTTGATTCTCTAATGTATTTTGAACCTGATATTCATTATAAGTTTCCTTTTACGTATTTTCCTTTCCTCGCTGGGCTGGTAACATCCTGCCCTTGTTTGAACCATGATAGGTTATTGCTACTACATCATAATCTGATGTGGTAACTTGAGTCTGCAGCTCACCAACCTTATTTGTCATAATCTGTGTATTCACTCAAAATCCTCCTCCTCTACCGGCCCCTAAAACCTCTCCCACCTTCATCTCCGTTATTTCGACACTTCTTACATCTCTCTGCCTCTGCTCTGATCGCCTCATCATCCTGGGCGACTTCAACCTGCACTTCACCCCCTCCTGCTCCATCTCCTCAGATTTCTCTTTCCTGCTCTCCTCACTCAACCTCTCCCTCCACATCAACTCCCCCACTCACAGTCACGGCCACCCACTCGACTTGGTGATCACCCGGGGCCTCAGTGTCTCGGATGTCACTATCAACCTTGGGCAAGTTTCCTTACTCCACACAGAGCCTAATAATATTCCCTCCAAAAAAACAAAACAATAATTAAATTGGTCATTTTCAATCTACGACTGTTTGTGGGACATTGCTGTGCGCAATTGGCTGCCGCGTTCGCCCACAAATATACAGTCAATTCACTTTACAGTGTGTTCTGTGAAGCGCTTTGGGACGTCCTCCCGACGTGAAAAGCGCTATACCAAATGCAAGGATTATTATTATTATTATTATTATTATTATCACCGACAAGGCCGTCTCTGACCACCACTTCATCTCCTTCACCACCCCCACCCCCCTCCCCACCTCCACCAGATCCACCACCATCTTCTACCGCCCCTGGAAGAAGTTACCCCCACAATCCCTAACCGCTGCCTTGGAGTCCTCTGAACTCCTCTCCCTCTGGCCTTCAACCCTCACTGACCCCTCTTCTCCTCTCACCCTCCTCCACAACACCCTCTCCTCCACACTCGATACTCTTGCCCCCATCACCTCCCGTACTGTCTCCTACTCTCACTCCTCCCCCTGGTTCACCACCCACCTCCGCTCACTGAAGAGCCAGGTGTGGGCCGCTGAACGCACCGGCCTCAAATCTGGCCTAACGGTCCACCGACAAATCTGGCTGGACCTCCTCAAAATCTACCGCTCCACTCTAGCCTCGGCCAAGTCGTCCTTCTACTCCAGGATAATCCTGGAGGCGAAGAACAACCCCAGGCTACTGTTTTCTACCACATCCCGACTCCTCCGTCCCCCCCGCCACCCCGCGCAGGTCATCTCCTCCAACCTTCACTGCGAGGAGATGCTGGATTTCCTTGAATCCAAAATCAAGGGAATCCGCTCCGCGGTCACTTCCCCTCCAACATCCACCCACCACCCACCCCCTCCCACACTCCGACTCCTACCCATCCTCCCCTACATACATTCGTACCCGTTTCCCCACCCTCTGTAACTGAACTCATCCTATCCCTGAAACCCACCACCTGCTCCCTTGACCCCATCCCCACTCCACTCCTTATCTCCCAGCTCCACCTCCTTGCCCCACATATCACAGACATCGTCAACCTGTCCCTCTCCTCAGGCTCTGTTCCCATTCCCTTAAAAACTGCCTCCATCACTCCCACCTTAAGAAACCCTCTCTTGATGCGTCGCAGCTATCAATCTCCGGCCCATCTCCAACCTCCCCTTCCTGTCCAAGGTCCTGGAACGAGTTGTCGCCTCCCAGCTGTGCTCTTTCCTCTCCACCCATTCATTATTCGAACCCCTTCAGTCGGGTTTCCGTGCTGCCCATAGCACAGAAACTGCCCTGGTCAAGGTCACCAATGACATCCTGACCATCCTGGACTATGGGAACTCTCTCCTCGCCGGCCTTCCCGGCACCTCCCTCCACACTGCAGGTCATTCAGAACTCTGCAGCTCGTGTACTGTCCCGCACCAGACACCGCGCCCACATCACTCCCACCCTCGCTCGCCTCCACTGGCTCCCCATCCCCCAGAGGATCAAATTCAAGATCCTCATCCTCACCTACAAGGCCACTCACGGCCTCGCTCCCTCCTACCTCTCTGGCCTACTATCCCCCTACCTACCTGCCCGTACCCTCCGTTCCTCTGGCTCCGGTCTGCTCCACATCCCCCGCCCCAACCGCCCTACCATCGGTGGTCGGGCCTTCAGCCTCTCAGATGGAACTCCATCCCCCAGTGCCTTCGCCGCCTCCTCCCTTTCCTCCTTCAAGGCCGGTCTCAAGAGCTTCCTCTTTGACCTTCAGCCTTCAGCTCCCCTCTCGACTCTCTAACCCCTCCTCGCTCACTCCCTCCCTTCCCTCCCCTCACCCTGACCATTTCCCCCCAACTCGCTCCCTTCCCTCCCCTCACCCTGACCATTTCCCCCCTCCTCGCTCCCTCCCTTCCCTCCCCTCACCCTGACCATTTCCCCCCAATGCTCAGGTCCTGACCCAACTGTACAGTGCCTTGGGACGTCCTCCCGACGTGAAAGGCGCTCTATAAATGGAATCTTGTTGTTGTTGTTGTTACGCACTTGCATTCCCAAACTGCCTTTGTCTGCTTTGCATTTCTCCCCTGTCTGATCCCTCCTCTTTCTGAACTACTCTTTTTTCCCAAATTATTGGTCTCTCACAGTCTTCGCTGTTCCTTGTTTCTCCTCTCTGATTACATCCTGGTTCCCTCCCCCCTACTGAATTAGTTTAACCCCTCCCCTGCAGCACCAGCTAACCTCCCCGCAAGGACATTGGTTCTCCATATTCCCAGAAGTATAACCACCTCCTTCCCCTCTGCACCGAATTCCCACTCTCACCAAATTCCTTCACCAAAGTCTCACTCTGTTCCCACCTCACTCCATTCATAGCTCACTCCATTAGGCTCTGCTCGAGTCTGAGACTTGGAGGAATTGAGTCCACCTTCTCTCTCTCTCTCTTTCTCTGTTTCTCTCTCTTTCTCAGTCTCTCTCTCTCTCAGTCTCTCTCTCTCTCTGTCTCTCTCTCAGTCTCTCTCTCTCTCTCTCTGGCTCTCTGTCTCTCTCAGTCTCTCTCTCTCTCTCTCTGGCTCTCTGTCTCTCTCAGTCTCTCTCTCTCTCTCTCTCGGCAGGTGTGTGTGACTGTGGACGGGCAGACAATTGTAGAGGAGCCTCTCTCTGGTCTGCGGAATGTGTGGGAACGGCCCAGTTTCCTGCTGGAGCGGCTGCAGACAGACGTGGGGAGTGTGGAAGAGGAGGAGGCAGGGCTGAGTCAGCGGCTGGGACCCTGCTACAGCCTCTCCTTCGACCCCGCGCACGACCCCCGGCCCCCCAAGCACATCGGTGAGTTGCACACTCACTCGCTCTCACGCTTGCTCTCACCCCAACTCGCACACTTTTCTTATTCGCACACTCGCACTCACTCGCCTGCACACTCGTGCACATTTGCTTGCAAAGTGGCTTATCCCCATGCTTGGTCACACGCATGCACACATGCTTGCTTGCACACTTGCTCACACTCACATGTGCACAAACACACTTCCTCACACACTCGCATACTCACTCACGTACACACTAGCTTGCACACTGGCTTATACATACCTTTGTGCACACACATCCGTACATGCTTGCTTGCACACTTGCCCACACTCGCACAAACAAAGGCACTACCTCACAAGTAAAAAAAAAGCACTCACACGTGTGTGTTACACAGGAGATGTGTCTCCCCGTGTCGCCGTGATCCGCGAGGAGGGGAGCAATGGAGACCGAGAAATGGCGGCCGCGCTGTACATGGCGGGATTCGAGGTGAGAGAGACAACGAGAGGGGAAGAGTGTGAGGGAGAGAGGAGCCCAAGAGAGAGGGGGGAGTGTGAGAGAGAGAGGAAATGTGAGAGAGAGAGAGAGAGAGAGAGAGGGGGAGCGTGAGAAAGTGAGCGAGAGGAGAGCAGGCGTGTGCTGATTGCGTGTTTTCTCAGGTCTGGGACGTAACGATGACAGACGTGTGTCACGGGTCGATCACGCTTGACATGTTCCGTGGTCTCGTGTTCGTCGGGGGCTTCAGCTACGCGGACGTCCTGGGGTCAGCGAAAGGTGGGAGCGCGTGAGGTGTGTGTGTGTGTGAGAGAGTGAGATAAGATTGCGAGTGAGTGTGAGAGTGAGCGTGTGAGAGAATGTGCGAATGTCAAATAGACTGAGTGTGAGAGAGACTTGAGTGCGTGAGAGTGTGAGACAGAGGGTACGTGTTTCAGGCCGTGCGCGAGAGAGTGAGAGCCAGAAAGAAAGAAGAGCGAGAGAGACGCGCGCACTTGCCCACACTCGCACAAAGCGAGAGAGAGTGAGGGGTGCGTGTCGGGCTGTGTGTGTGTGAGACGGTGACTCTCTGACTGTGACTCTGGCCACAGGCTGGGCAGCCACGGTGCTGTATAACCCGCGAGCACGGGCACAGTTTGGGAGTTTCCGATCGCGTACGGACACCTTCTCTCTGGGGGTGTGTAATGGCTGTCAGCTGCTGGCCCTGCTGGGCTGGGTGGCTCCCGAGACTGAGGCTGAGCCCAGCAACGTGGACGGTAGGTCACTATCTTCATCTCCCTCCCGCTTCCTCTCTCTCTCTCTCTCTCTCTCTCAGTCTCCATCTCACTCTCTTTCTCAGTCTCCATCACTCCCATCTTTCTCAGTTTCTCTCTCTCTCTCTCTCTCTCCCTCCCCTCTCTCTCTCTCTGGCCCCAGTTCCTACCGGTCAGCATTTAATCTGCGTTAAGCTTCATTTGCCGTTGACGAGCCCGCGTCACATTCCAGGCATTGGAGTGTGGGAATCGAGTCCACCCTCTGGCACGTTACCTCTCTGTCTTTCTATTTCTCTCAGTCTCCGTCTCTCTATTTTTCTCTCTTTCTCAGTTTCTCTCTCTCTCTTTCTATCTCTCTATCTCTCTTTCTCTCTGTCGTCCGGTTCCTATCTGTAAACACATTTGCATTTAATGTGTGTTAATGTCTCAAGACGCTCCTCTTCGGAAAATGCCCGACTGTCCAGCGTCTTGGGACATCCTCCCAACATGAAAGGCGCTGTGTAAATGTCATTTGTTGTTGTTGTTAAACTTCGTTTGCAGCTGACTCTCTCTCACACACAAACTCTGTGTCTGTCTCCCTGTGTGGCAGGACCCGCTCTCCCTCAGGGAGTGTTATTGACACCGAACCGCTCCGGCCGTTTTGAGTCTCGCTTTGTGTCAGTGTCAGTGCTGCCCAGCCCCAGCCTGATGCTTAGGGGGATGGAGGGCTCCACGCTGGGCGTCTGGGTCGCTCACGGCGAAGGTCAGACTTTTACACTTCCCTCTCACACCTCTCACATGCTCTCTCTCACCCCTCTCNAGTGCTCTCTCTCACCCCTCTCATATGCTCTCTCTCACGCCTCTCACATGCTCTCTCTCACGCCTCTCACGGGCTCGCTCTCACGCCTCTCACATGCTCTCTCTCACGCCTCTCACGTGCTCTCTCTCACGTCTCTCACGTGCTCTCTCTCACGTCTCTCACGTGCTCTCTCTCACGCCTCTCACATGCTCTCTCTCACGCCTCTCACATGCTCTCTCTCACTCCTCTCACATGCTCTCTCTCACACCTCTTACATGCTCTCACACCTCACGTGCTCTCTCACACCTCTCACATGCTCTCTCTCACGCCTCTCACATGCTTTCTCTCACACCTCTCACATGCTCTCTCTCACACCTCTCACATGCTCTCTCACACTCATTCTCTCACACACTCAGCGCTTCTCACACTGTCAGTCTCCCTTTCTCACACACATACGCTCTCTCTCAGTCTCACTCACATAGACAGACACACTCTCTCAGTCTCTTTCACTTTCTCTCCTCCCCGCAGGCCGGATGTCTTTCCGTTCCCCGGACACGCTGAGCCGTGTGCTGGCTGGATCTCTCGCCCCGTTACGCTACGCTGACGATAAGGGGTCTCCCACGGAAACTTACCCCCTGAACCCCAACGGCTCAGAGCTGGGCATTGCAGGGCTTTGCTCGGCCGATGGCCGGCACCTGGCGTTGATGCCCCACCCGGAGCGGTGTGTCCGGCTCTGGCAATGGGCCTGGGTTCCCCCTGGCTGGAACCGCTCCCACTCTGTCTCCCCCTGGCTCCGGGTGTTCCTGAACGCCAGTGCCTGGTGCTGCCAGTCCCAATCCACCTGAGATGTTAACCCCACTGCCGGTTTTATCTCCAACCACTCACGCACACACATCCTCTTGCACGCGCACACTTACAAGCGCTCACGCACAGTCACACTGATGCTCACACTTGCGCATTCTCGCACACAGTCACACTCACGCATGCATTGTCTCACAGGCACATCTGAAGCACACACACGCACGCAGACAGTCACCCTCACGCATTCGCTCACACATACACACACTAACACATTCACTTACACACCCATTGTCACGCACACTCATACACAAACACATGTATGCACACGTGCACACCCATGCATTCTCTCGCATTCACACGTGCATTCTCACACACACACACACACACGCAGTTCTATCGCCTGCTGTCTTTTGTGCCTGTTTCAAAATTGTAGTCATACTTCCAACCTCGAAAATAACTTTTCAAATAAATATATGAATTATAAGAACATCATTTTCTCCCTCTGGTTAATTAGAGACAGAGTAAAGCTCCCTCTGCACTGTCCGTCCACACTCCCAGGTCAGGGTTAGCAACGTAGAAACAGGAGCAGGCCATTCAGCCCCTCAAGCCTGTTCCACCATTCTGTCATGGTTGATCTGCACCTCAAGTCTAATTACCTGCCTTTGCCCCATATCCCTGGGTACCCTGACTTAACAAATATCTATTCACCTCAGTTTTGAAAATATGAATGAATTCAGCATCTACCGCCTTTAGGGGCAGAGAGTTCCAGATTTCCGCTACCTTTTGGTGAAAAATATCCTCCTGATTTCAGTCCTAAATGGCCTACTCGGTCTAATTTTAAGATAAAATGCAAAATACTGCAGGTCCTGGAAATCTGAAAGAAAAACAGAAGTCGCTGGGAACACTCAGCAGGTCAGGCGGCATCTATGGAGAAAGGAAAGTGAGTAGACGTTTTGGGTCCACGACCCTTCATCAGAATTGGGGCACGTTGGGAGGGAGAGGCTTTTAAGGGCTAACAGAGAGGGGGGAGTCATGGGAATGGAAGATAATGGAGAAAATGGGGTAGAGGACGGGATGATGGGTTATAAAGAGGTGTTAATGATGCAAAACAAAATATGGTGGGTAATTGCAACAAAATAGGCAGACCAGAGAGAGAGAATAGATGTGTCTGGGATCCAGATGATGTGGTAATAGTCACAGAAGAGGGGGTGGGAGAAGGTGAGCTGTTATGGTCTGAAATTGTTGAAATCAATATTGAATTCAAGATCCTCATCCTCACCTACAAGGCCATTCACGGCCTCGCTCCCTCCTACCTCTCCGACCTATTACCCCCCTATTTACCTGCCCGTACCCTCCGTTCCTCTGGCTCTGGTCTGCTCCACATCCCCCACCCTAACCGCCCTACCATTGGTGGCCGGGCCTTCAGCCTCTCAGCCCCGAGGCTCTGGAACTCTATCCCCCAGTGCCTTCGCCGCCTCCTCCCTTTCTTCCTTCAAGGCCGGTCTCAAGACCTTTCTCTTCGACCGTGCCTTCAGCTCCCCTCTCGACTCTCTACCCCCTCCTCGCTCCCTCCCTTCCCTCCCCTCACCCTGACCATTTCCCCCCAATGCTCGGGTCCTGACCCAACTGTCCAGCGCCTTGGGACGTCCTCCCGACGTGAAAGCGCTCTATAAATGCAATCTTGTTGTTGTTGTTGAGGCCAGAGAACTGTAAGTTCCTTGACATAAATGAGGTGCTGTTCCTCGAGCTTGCGCTGTGGCTCATTGGAACAGCATAAGAGACTGTGGATGGAGAGATCAGAGTGCGAGTGGGAGGGAGAGTTGAAGTGGCGAGAAACCGGAAGCTCAGGTTGTGCTTGTGGACAGAATGGAGATGTTCGGCAAATCGGTCACACAATCTGTGTTTTGTCTCCCCGATGTAGAGGAGACCACGTCGTGAGCAGGAAATGCAGTAAACTACATTTGTAGTAGTTCACGTAAATCATTGTCTCACTTGAAATCTGTGTTTGGAGCCCTGGACAGTGGTATGGGAGGAGGTGAAAGGGCAGGTATTGCATCTCCTGTGCTGGCATGGGAAGGTGCCAGGGAGAGGACAGCAACTGTTGGTGGTGGTGATAATAATAATAATAATAATCCTTGCATTTGATGTAGCGCATTTGCATTTGATATCGGTGATGGAGGAATGAACCAGGAAGTCAAGTGGAGGGAGGAAAAGGTATGCTTAGATCACGCTCGAGGTGCTGGAAATGGCGGGAATATTTGTTGGATTTGTTTTCCAACCCTGTTTTGTTGCAATACCCCCCCTTTGCATTACTAACACCTATTTAACCAATCATCCCCTGTCCTATACCCAATTTTCTCCTTCGTCTTCCTTCCTGCCTCCCCACTGTTATCTGGGAACGATGATTAACCATGTTATGCTACAAAAGATGATGGATCGAAAACCAAACGGACATCGATAAAGAATTAAAATAAATGGTTTATTACAAGAATTAAAAGCTTATCAAGAAAGGCTGAACAGGCTTGGATTCTTCTCTTGAAAAAAGAAGGGTGAGGGGTAATCTGATAGAGGTCTTATGAAAATTTTTGATAGGGTAGACACAGAGAAGATGTTTCCACTTGTGGTGAAGTCCAAAACCAGGGGCCATCAACATAAAATAGTCACCAATAAACCAAATAGGGAAGTCAGAAGAAACTTCTTTACTCAGAGAGTGATGGGAATGTGGAACATTCTACCACAAGAAGTTGTTGAGGCAAATAGCATAGATGTATTTAAGGGGAAGCTAGATACGTACATGAGGGAGAAAGGAATAGAAGATTATGCTGATAGGCTTCGTTGAGGAAGGGCGGGAGAAGGCTCAGATGGAGTATAAACGCTTGCATAGACCAGTTAGGCCGAATGGCCTGTTTCTGTGTTGTATATTCTATGTAATTCTACGTAACAAGATTAAAAATAAAACCAGAGAATCTTTTTTGAAAAATAAGTAGAATAGAGACAGCAGTCAGGGGGCATCCAAATCTATACAGCACCTGTTTTTACTCAACGGCAGTGAGAAGCACAAAGACACGCCAATTCAGTTACCAACACTATTAATTGGAAATTTGCTCCCAGGGTTGCATAAAACCGTAAATATATGGTATGATCCAAGGAGCCGCTTGCGGATGTCATTCACAAAATGACGCTATTCTGGGAAACATCCCAAAATAAAGAAAAATACAAAAGGTGGCGGAAATTAGCCAGCTAAAGAGCAAGGACAAATCTGAAAATCAAACTGATCAAAAACAAATTGATCCCCCAAATCCACATTACATGCAATGACGGTTCACGTGGGCTAGAGATCTCCTCCATTTTATCTAGCAACAAGTGGGAGAGGCTGAGGCTATAAAAATGATCAAAATGGGCTATTTTGCTAACAATCCCTTGAAGTTGAATCAAGATACACCTCAGGGACCGTGTAGAGGGGGTCACGGTAATCGGCAAGGATACCGTCACCGACTCACATATGGGGAACTGTTTAAAGAATTACAGGCTCTAAAATACAGCAGGGAATTAAAGCACTGGACGGCCACGAAGGCCTCTCAAGCCCGCAATGACGTTCCCTGGGCTCTGTGGGATATGTTGCAGTCTCTCGGGTGGCTATCTGGGGAAGGCCAACAGTCACAGCATGAGTTTGAGGCCACTCTGCATATTATTGGTCGATTCAGGTGCCTCCCTAACTATTCTCTGAGAAGAGCAACCCAAACAGTCCTCAGCTAAAGTTTTTCCCCACACAAGTTGGTAATAAGAGTATAAGGTTTATTCAATTAAGCAGAGCCTGACCTTCGTTCTACAATTGTAATACTACCAGTACACATATAACATTTTAACACTTACCAAATGCACACTTACACACAGCATATGTTCTTGTATGGCTCAGTACTTTAGTCCGACAATACCCTACAACACACACTGCTGCCCCAAGCTCCAGACCAGCAACATGTGACTGGGTATCACTGTAACTTCTGGACGAACGGCACCCGAGTCTGTATTTCTAACCACACACACGCGGAGATTGGCCTCTGGAATTACACCTCAGATGTTACCGACTCCCGCAGTATCTGCCCTCAACAAAACTCAATTTCCCAAACTCACGAAGAGTGGCCCTGACACACTCGATATAAACGATCGTTTACACCAGCGCTTCTCATGATGCCTAACCTATCTACTGAGTCTCAGACGCAACACACACTCCTGTAGTTGATCTTCGTCTGCCTTAAAACAGAACAACTGGAAACATACCACCCATTCTCGTAGTCTGGACAACAGCGGCAGACTGGAGATCTCAGCTTCCTCCTCGAGCTAATCTCCAACTGTTGTGTCTCTCTACCTCTTTTGCCTCTATCCTTATACTCTTTTCCCCAGGTCTTGACGTTAGCCAGACTTCCCCTCGTGCTTTCCGCCTGACCAGACCATCAATCATCTTTACCCTGTCTTGACCGTCCTAAGCTTGGTTCTCAAACATTTTATTCTTCCTTATCTAGCACAACTTGTTCCATCATTCCCTCTTAATCTTTGGTGCCTCCCCTCTACCCCGTGATCTTCTGGACCTTGCGATGTCTACAGCCAGTCTTTGGCGTGATTGGTTTAGTTCTGTTCTTTGTCCCCACTGTTTCACTCCCTGACATATTTATCCCAATGCCAGCCTGACTGTCTGTTCCTGCTGACTCGGCCAGTCTCTGTGACCTTGTAGCATCCCATCATTTTAATCCTTTCCACATGGCAAATACTGTACCATTATAATATGCACAGCTGAAATACACAATTTATCCATACCACATTTACCTACAAAGTTATTCACGTTTCAAAATTACATACATATTATAATGTCTCTATGTCCGCAATCGGTCTAACATGAATTTGTGACTGAACGGTTCATGAGAATGCCTGAGCACTTATGGTTGGATAACGTGGCCATACCAGAACTGCAAGGTATTACCATTGAAAATTATGTAAATAGGTTTGTGTAGGATTTAGCTTAAGCTAGTAATGATGAAAATATGGAAATGCAAGCAAACAAAATGTACATAGATAAATACAATACAAAATTACATTTGTATAGTGGCTTTCATAACAGGAGGATGTCCCGAGGCGCTGGACAGTCAGGGATTTGGACCCGAGCTGGGGCATGAGATCAGGGAGGGCGGCATATTAAATACTGTACCATTATGATTTGCACAGCTGAAATACAGTACGTACAAGCTGTGAGCAATTGTGTAGCTTGTTCACGGTTTGTGTACATATGGGTCTGGTTTGATTAGACTTTTTTGACTACTCCACAATCAGCTTAGTTTGACTCTGTTTTTCTTCAAAGAGTTCAATCCACGCATTTTATTCACCGCTTCATTTTCTCAGCAATGTAAGCTCACCGTGCTTGCCTGGCCCAGCATTGGTGTGGAAATATATTGACTATCACCTCAGGATATTTCAAACAGCAATTGGATGTTCCAGAAGGTTTGATAGTTAAATAGTTAGAAGTAGCTTTGGTGTTCGGGTTGAGGTTAACTTCTGATTACATTTCATATTTTCCTGGGAAGATGTTCACTGGGTTGAGATACTGAGCAATCGGGTCCTTGAACATAGATGTAAGAACAATGGACCACAGAAAGAAAAGGCCACAGCCTCAGCCGCCTGCCTATCTGACGGCTGAGAAACAAACAGGCTGTGGACGGCTGCCCAGAAGTTGTCCATATCTCTGACAGCCTGGTCTAGTCAGATCATTTAAGGTTAGTTTTAGGTTTACTTAGCATGTCGCATGATTACAAATATATATATTAAGAGTGGATTGTTAACAAACTGTTAGGGTTACTTTAAAGAGTAGGGCTCATGATGTATTTGGCCATTTACTAACATATATATGTATGAATAAGGTATAAGTGTTGTGTGATTTAAAATGCAATTTGCTTTCTGACTGTAAGACGTGTGGAGTCCTGTAGCTCAAGTGGTTAGAGCACTCGCTTTGCAAGTGAGAGACCTGAGTTCAATTCCAGGCAGAGGGCGAAACCTTGGGCAAGTTTCCTTACTCCACACAGAGCCTAATAATAATCCCTCCAAAAACAAAAAAAAATAATAAATTGGTCATTTTCAATCTACGACTGTTTGTGGGACATTGCTGTGCGCAATTGGCTGCCGCGTTCGCCCACAAATATACAGTCAATTCACTTTACAGTCTATTCTGTGAAGCGCTTTGGGACGTCCTCCCGACGTGAAAAGCGCTATATCAAATGCAAGGATTATTATTATTATTATTATTAAGACCGCAGAGTTAGCTTCGGTCAGTAAGACTGGATGCACGAGATGGTACCAGTTGCTATCAGGGTGTGAAACAATGAACAGAGCAAAATAATCAGTCAAAGTAACGGTGCAGGCATTTCCAAGGTCCAACATGTCACAAAGAGCGAAGAAGCTGGAACAAGGAGATTAGGGTAGAGTGGGAGGATCACTGCAAGGCACAGAGTGGAATGTCTGCAAACCATTCTCCAATGTGCGCAACATAAACAGAAAAGCAAGTGTTAGATCAGATAAGCAGGAAAAGTGAGTTAGAGCTGGACAAAGGTGGTCAAGAGAAGAAGAATAAGGAATGTAGAATTAAAAAGGATTCTATTTAGGTAGAGATGAGGTAAAAGGGTCAGAAGTCACAGGTAAAGTGTAAGGAATGCAGAGTTAAGCACATTCCGCTAAAAAGACCAGGGGTCAGGAGTCTAGAGAAGCTGGGACAGATAACAGGGTCACAAGGGAAAGACCTGGTCATTGTCCAGATGCTGCTAAAAGGTATAAAAGTAGGCATCAGAGTGGGTTCAACAACAGTCGAGAGAAGACTTGGGATCTACTTCACTGCTGCTGTTGTCCAGAATGTGAACTAGAACGGGTAATTTGGTTTCAGTTCTATCAAGATAGGCATAGAGGCATTAGCAATATTCAGCTTAGAAATAGTTGGTCCAAACAAGTGTAGAAATTGGGATGGCATGAGTGTGATGGGGATTTAATTCAGTTAACTCTACTGTTCATTCTGATGCTTTGCAAGGTTGATTTCTGCTCGCACGATCCCTTCGCCTCGCTTCCTCTCTTGCATCCTTCAAAGCCGGTCTCAAGACATTTCTCTTTGACCGTGCCTTTGGTCTCCCTCCCACCTCTCTGCCTTCCCTCACCCCTACACCACCCCTCCCCAATGCTCGGGGCCCCGACACCTGTTCAGCGCTTTATAAATGTAATATTGTTGTACGTCTGTTCTGCATGTATGTTGATTAATAAGTATCATGTGATTATGGTGTTACTAGTGTTATGACATTTTTCTAATTTTGTACTTTCTAAATCTTTTTACATTTAATAAACATTATACTCTTACCACAGTGGATTGTATTGTTTACACACCGTAATAGGATGCATGCAGGCAATGTATTATTCCTATTTTCTTCTCAATGAAGCAAAAACAATACTGACTAATTATGGATCATTGTAATTATCTCTGCATCAGCGTTCCTGGAACATACATTACAATAATTGTTTAAAGATTCAAAGAAATTTTACAGGAAGTGTTTACTAAGCAACAGCAACTTGCAAATATATAACGAATGACCTGTAAGTGGGATAACGTCTCAGAGCACTGCACAAAGATAGGTGGGATGCTGATCAAAGGAAAAGGGGGTGCAGTCGAAAAGGTAGGTTTCAAGGCAGGACTTAAGTCTCAAAGACGTGACAATCTGCTATATCAAATGGAAGAATTATTATATCCTTGTAAGATTCTGTAATTAAGGTGTTAAATAATCTCAAATTGTATGTGCAATGTTTATATTTTTTGTTACATCTGATTTATCTCATATGACAGAAGCTGGTTGTGACCAGCTTTGCATAAGAAACAAGACTGTTTCTAAACAACAAACTGTTTTCAGTCATTTTCTCATGGAAAATGGTCTGCAGTTGGCGGGAGAGCTGGGTTGCTTTTTTTTAAACTAACAAAAAGATTCAGCCTCAGGAAATGGCTCTTAAATGCTATTTATGAAACTGAACATGGCAAATTAGAGATGTCCATGTTTTTCTTTAAAATCCAAAATCCAGATATACCTCAAAAGTCCTGGGAAGGAGGAAGTAAAAAGTTACTAGAATATGAGAAAAATCAGTATTTTAGAGACCGAGTTTTGTTTCCCTTCCAGCGCATCCCTCCTGCATCAAAGTATGGTAGAAGGAACTCTTCCCACTCAGCTCCCGTTAAACCTGGTAGCGAAAGCTGCGAGATAGAGTGTGGTCCTTGCTGGACGAGCAGCGGGAAGCTTGCCAGATTGTGCTTTTGAATGGCAAGCTATACAATATTATCAGGTTAAACTCCAGCAGTTACCTTAACACACTGTCTGGTGTACCCAACTTTGGCTCTTGCCAACCTTACCAAATACTTTCCGGAACCTAGCAAAGTTCATCTCCTCTCAGGAGAGAGAACACACAGCATTCCAGACACACAAGCATCCAAATATAGGTGACAGACATGTGGAAATCTCAGTCTGATTTGGATAAACTCAAGAATGGCGACAAGTTTCCCCATTTGTCGAGACAGTGTTGAAGCGAAACAAAAAAACAGACAAAAGAAATTCCGCAGAGGCTGCTTCAAGAATTTCTCTCAACTTTTCAAACGTCCATCACAATGAGCATCAGTTTAACGGGGAGCCATCCTTAACATTTCCTCAACTCTGGAGACGAGGCAACTTGTAGGTTCATTATCATTGCAGTAACTCATTGTTTCACAATAGCACCATTTTGTCGTGATGCACATACATTAGACTTTGTATTTCCCATCTGAAGCCAGCTCCGCACTCTCCTGCTTCTGGTTTCTAAACCTTAAACCTCTTTTGGAAGTTCTAATTGAATAACTCTAACCATTCAGAACCAATAGAACAGTATAACTGAACCAGAAATCGTCATTCACTGGAGGAAGTTCACCTCAAAACCAACCCATGGATATCAGCTATCTTAATGCTAGTTTTGGCCCAGTCTCACATTAAAAAAATTTTACACATCGAGAGGTTTCTCCTCTCCTTCTTCGCTGTTACTAATTTATCAAATGAGGAATAATCAGGCTGACATTTCCAATAATCAAAATTGACTATTAACCTTCAAAAATGATGCTTAAGCTTGAGAAGGTTATTATTCCAAAACAAAGTGAGATGAATGTCTGATACATTGCACAGATTAACACTTCAAGAAAGGGATAATCTTTTAGAACCCAATTATTCTAAGGCATTTAAGACAGACACAAGGGATAAGCTCATTTCAAATTCATTGGTTACTGGTTGTACGAATCACTGCCTTAAAGAAATTATTTGGTTGTACCCAGAAAAAATCTTGGGTATCAATAACTATACAAATTGGTATTATAACTGGGGTCCTGGCATTAGGCTCTGAGCTGTTGCCATTTAATAGAAAGAATTTACTTTCCTTCCCCCACTCTTCATGATCCTAAACCCCGTCAGTAATTTTGAAAAGCAGAGCTAATATAAACTCCATGGGTTTATTTCCTAACTTTATTTCAATAGTTTAAATATACATCATAAACAAAATGTACACAAAATAGCCACAAAAATATAAAGCTGATCAAGTTAGATACAATACGAAAGGATATTAGGTGTAGTTTCCTGACATAATCTTATAGACTTAATTTCACATAATACAAATGGCTACATTAATACTTTCCTCTGCTGATGCTAATCCAAATGGCACCAATACATATAAATATCTTAATTTACAAAATATGTAATTCTAAAATAGGCTTACAAAAGGAAAGGTGCATTTTCAAATCTTTAGTGTAAGATTTCTGACAACGTGGGACTTCCAGAATGAAAATAATTCTCTTCAGTTTAAATTAGTTAAATTCAGTCAGGCACTTCATTTGACAAGTCAGTTAGTGTGGTACACTCTTCTCCAACAGCTTCACCAATGAGTCGAATGGGAACACTTCCACAAGTATCTGTTTTTACAATTAGAAGGGCTTCGCTTCTGCCCTCCGCCACTGGTTTGAACTGGACCGGCAGATTGATGAAGTGTTGAGCCCTAAATTAAAAAGTAAAATCATTATTAAATGTTACACAGAATAATAATCACTGCATTTGATAAAGCAGCTCATCATGTCATCAAGATGTCTCAAAGCGCTTGACAGGATATACTGTAAAGTGAATCGACTATTCTGTGAGCGAAATATGAAAAAAATGAATAAATTCTCCCCAGTTGAAATTTAAAATATTTGTCAATTCGATGTCTTTCACCAGTGAGGATATTTTGTATTGTGAGGGAAATAAAATGTCACAGCACAATTCTATCTGGAGGATTGCTGGCCAGGATTCTGCGAGAGAGAAATTCACTTCTCTTTTTCAAATTGTGCCGTGGAATCTTTAAAGTTCATTTTGCTTCAATCTCACTCTTTAACCTTTTAACTAAAACAGTCGTGGTGCACATAAATAAAACATATGCAATAGTTCATGCATAATTCTGGCTCATTTACATAGAAATAAGCAGTGAGGTGCAAAGCAGCATAATCACAACACACAAGGTTGAGTGCAAGGATGCAGCTTTCACTGTTCAAATCATACCATAATGTTTTCCTCTCATTATGCCTTTAGGGGAGCACTTTGGTTTCTTCACATCTAGGAATTTGGATTATTTTATCTCTTCTGTGGCTATGGTTTCCACAGTGCCAATCAACAACAACTTGCATTTTTATAGCACCCCCACAGGGTAGTGAGGGATGCTATGACACCCTGGGACAGGGTAGTGTCCCAGAGGGCTTGACAATGGCGGAGTACAATTCTGGAGGGAGGGAGAGGGGACCATAGGCACGGTCAAAAAAAGGTCTTCAGGCACTGAAGATGGTCTTCAGACCTGAAGATGGGGAAGTAAAGAGCAAGGCGGAGGGATAAAGCAAGAGTGTTCCAGAGTTTCAGCATTCTTAATACCTTGCCCAAATGGTTACCTTTCAAACACAAGCTTCCAGCAGGGGATAGTGATCAGGAGCACGAACCCAGGCTGATTCTACTCTTTTGAACCAGGGCACTGAAGCCAGTTGGTCTGGCTGAGATTAGCTCAGTACAGACAGGTGATCCAAGCTATTCACTCGTTAAACTCACCAAGTCACTAGCAGAGCTGGAATGTAAATGAGTTTGCTGAATTTATAATTCCTAGCTCTCAGGCAAACCTCCTCCTTGTACTTCTTCAAATTCCTAAACCTTTCTTTTGAACCACTCACCGCAATGAATATTTGGAATGCTTGATGTAAAATGGCTCTCTGGGATTTACAAACTTCAGCTGCAAAGCAACACCACAAGTATTAATACATTCAAGCTACAAGCAAGTAAGAACACACATTTAAAAAACCTCAGGTCAATTTACATCAAATATCGTTTAAACCATTCAGCCAGCAGTGTTCAAAACAGCCATCTAAAACCTATTTCTGCCAATTAGTCTTGTTTATGACATGAAGCAAGATCGCGCATTCAAATCATGATGGATGCATAAAGTTAAACAGTCATTCCACTCCATTTTACTTAGCAATTCAGATACCCTGTACATAAAAAAATCCAAAGTAGAATCAGAGAATAAAAGGATTGGTTTGATATTGAGCGTCTACCTTCATTGACAAAGTCCCTTCAATGCGAACCACTTACTTTTAGATAAAAATTATACTATGTTTCCCATCCATCTCTTTTGATATTCCGTGGAACAGAAATTAGATTTGAAATTAGAAAGTAATGCAAGAGAGAAAAAAAATCAGAGGATCAATGGAACCGGTCAGCAGCACATGCCTCAACTTGGTAAAATAATAATCCTCGTTTGATATAGCACCTGTAATGTTGAGATAATAATCCTTGCATTTTATCACGCTATCAACAACAACAACAAGATTCCATTTATAAAGCGCCTTTCACGTCAGGAGGACGTCCCAAGGCGCTGCACAGTTGGGTCATGACCCGAGCAGGGGGGAAATGGTCAGGGTGAGGGGAGGGAAGGGAGGGAGCGAGCAGGGTGTCTCAAAGAGATTCACAGGATTTTACTGCGTAGAATATGTTTGTAGGCATACATCAGCCAATTTGCGCACAACAATGTCCCATAAAGCCATGAAGTGAGTGACCACTTGTATTCAGGATATTGTTGGCCAGGACACCTGGAGAAATTCCCTTTTCTTTTTTGAATACTGTCTTGGGATTTTTAACATCTGCTTTAATAGTGTACCATCTCATCCAAAGCACAGCACGCCCAACCCTGCACTGGAGTGTCAACATCAACTATACCCACTCTGCCTTCCCCCACGTCCGCAACGTTGCCCAGCTCCGCCATCGTCTCACAACGCAGGGCACCAAAACTCTCATACACACATTCATTACATAGAGGCTTGACTTTGCAAACTCACGGCTTGTCAGCCTCCCCACCTCCTTCCTCCACAGACTGCAGATCATTCAGAACTCTGCAGCCCGTGTCCTCTCCCGCACCAGGTTCTGTGACCCTCTCACCCTCATTCGTGCCCGACTCCATTGGCTTCTCATCACACAGAGGATACAGTTCGAGATCCTGGCCCTCATCTTCAAAGCCCTCCATGGCCTTGCTGCCCCCTACCTCTGCGACCTTCTAACCCCCTACCCACTCCCTCTGCTCAGCGGACACCGGTCTGCTTCATGTACCCCGCCTCACCTGGCCCACCATTGGCGGGCGGACCTTCAGCCACTCTGCCCCAACTTCTGGAATTCCATCACAGTCCGTCCGCCTCGCTCCCTCCCTTACCTCCTTCAAGACCCATCTCAAGACCCTCCTCTTCGACCATGTTTTTGATCACCTGCTTCCCCCCAACCCGCCCTCCCCAATCCCGACCCCCAGCTCAGGTCTGAAACGCCTTGGGACGTTCTCCTGATGTGAAAGGTGCTTTACAAACGTAATTTTGTTGTTGTTGCATTTCTGATAACTCATTCCTTCTAAAGAACTATTTAATATAGTGAACAAACACATTCAACACCGCAGCGTAAGACAAGAAAGACAAGAAACCTCACACCTTGGAGAATGGAATCCATATTTCAGCATCACAATTCTAAAGTGCAACAAAATTAACTTTTTCCCTGTTCAGTATATTCCAAATCTACTCTATATCCATGAATAAATCTACTCTATATGCATGAATAAACCCACTCTATATTCTTGCAGCTCAATTTTTCATTGTACATATTGTAATTATTAACTATGCTTAAAAATTAAAACTCACCATGTGTGCGGTAGAGGAAAAATTGCGCAAATGAACCTTTAACGCACTCGATTCCCCAACTCTGGTTTCAGGGAACACGTATACATTTTGAGGAGCAGTTACACCTTCTCGAGCTGGCCTGCCCGGCCTAAAAATAAAACAATTACAAATTGTAGGTACTTACATTTTTACTTTTAAGAGTGCTGCTGACAAATTTACATAAAGGACTCTTCTATAAAAATACATTTTAATAATCCTTGCATTTGATATGGTGCCTTATCACATCGTTGAGACACTTCAAAGGGCTTCACAGAATACATTGTAAAGTGGATTATTTTTCTTGCAAGCAAAATGCAGCAGCCAATTGCACACAGCAATCCCAGTCGTGGATTGAGTGATTTTTTTTTTTTGAGCGATAATTACCCCCGGAAAGCGATCTGCCATTCGACTAACGAAAGGGTTACTGCTGGGTAAACAAAGGTGGGTGAAGTAAGGAAACTTGCCGAAGGTTTCACCCTGCCCTGGAATTGAACACTGAAGTCTAACTTTGAGAAATGTAAACAATTTTTACTGACCCAACAATGGAATATTTTTCTGATCCAGGTTTTCTGTTTTTCACTTTTAATTCAGTTTTCACAAGGTTTGTGATTGAATCAGCTTCCTGGGAGCTCCTTTTAGTTCTTTTCCCCTGAAGACAGAAGCATGCATTACAGAAGTGTTAGGAATTCAAAGCGCAGGGTTAATAATACTACTGAACATTTTTTTCGGAAGAAGACTGTCTTATATTCAGGTTATTTCTTCACCAAAATAATTATTGTATTTGAAACAATAACTTTCATACCAGGAGAATGTCTCAAAGCCCTTCAAAGTATTTTTGCAAGTGTAGTGACTTTTTTGGGCGAATGCAGCAGTTTGCCCACAACAATGTCCCACAAACAGCCCAAAAATTAATGACCAATGTTATCTGGGGGATTGCTGGCCAGGATGCAGAGAGAAACTCCCTTCTCTTTTTCAAACAGTGCTATGGGATCTTGAATGCCCACATGAAAGGCAAATGGGACCTTAGTTTTTACCCAAAGGCAACACCTCCAACAACAGCATACCCCCAACACAGTATTGAAGTGTCAGTCTGAGTAGAATTCAAAGTCCCAACGTGGGGCTTGAACTCAAAACCTCTGACTCCACAGGCGAGAGTACTGCCAACTGAGTCAGTCCAGCACCTTTAGAAACCAGAAAGGAATCATTATCCACAAATCCCAAGTATTCAATATTCAGTCACTTAGTTTGGTTACTATTGTACAGTTGAATCTCTCACCTTGTAGGCACCTAAGTAATGAGGACATCACTATTCAGCCCATTATCATTGTCAACCCTCTGTGGTGGTCCCGGTAGTCCTGTATTCAGCCACTTAACCCTGCAAACCTTGGACCACCCTATACCCAACAGGTAGGGTGGCCCAAATGAAACAAGCAGCTGGAAGATTGCCAAACAGTGCTGTCAATGGTAAGCTGTACGTTTTCAGTTGGTAAACCCCAGAACCTGAAATGCACGTTCTGGCTCAACCAGCGCCCAATACTCTTCGGAACTAGGAAACTAGGGTGTTTCTCTCCAGCGAGGAAGTGTGCACTCCATTCTAGATGAGGAAATTCTCAGGCGAATGTGACATGCATGTGTGGAACTCTGAAGCTGGGTGAGGGTGTTTCGCATGTAGCACACACTCAACTGACCAATTCGGTTTTGTCAAGTTAGGTCATGAGCTCAATTGGAACCTACCTCTCCACGGAGCTGAAATTGAATCTTATGTTTCATATGTGGTTCTGCAGCAACTCGGCATTCTAGGTCCCAGAACTGAGCATATTCTCCCTTATCTCGCGGCATGAAGACAACTGGCACCTGATGGATCATATGGAATGTTTGGATTATAACACGCTAAATGTTCACTAGTTCAGTAATATTTACTAACAGTTAGATTTCAGGTAATAAACAGATACTTCAATTTTAGAAACAAGTATTCGATAGGGTATTCCTCATTCTATGTCACCATATACAAGTAGGCTACAAAGCCAATGGGTACATTACAATCACTGCTTTGCATAGCTTTCTCGAGTGCACAGATAAGCACTTGATGAGTGCTGTGATGAGCTAGACATGTGAATGATGATCTTCAATATTATAAGGCCAAGGAGTTGAAAATGCCCCCCCCATGCCCCAATTGTCAGTCAAGCCCTGAGATTTACTGCACTAACAAAAACAGGAGTAGGCCATTCAGCCCCTCAAGCCTGTTCCGCCATTCTATAAGATCATGGCTGATCCAACTACCTGCTCTTGCCCTATATCCCTGATACCCTGACCTAACAAAGATTTATCCACCTCAGTCTCGAAAATTCTAGCAAGTAGTTTAATTAATAATCACTGCTGGAAGGTTAAGTAGGTTCCAGAGCCTAGGGCACCAATTTGCTGAAACACAAGATTCCTTAAAAAGCTGTTTGATGTCACCAACAATACTTTCCGTAGGCTGGAAAAACATCAAAAATACAGATGAAGGAGAATTCAAAGCACAAGAGGCACAATTCAGAATAAATCTCATCACACTAACATGAAATTGATAATAACAGCAACAAAATTACATTTGTAAAGCGCCTTTCACGTCGGGAGGATGTCTCATGGAACTAAACAGTTGGGGATTAGGACCAGAGCATGGCGGGGGGCGGCAGGGTTGGGATGAGGGAGGGCAGAGTTAGGAGGGCGGCTGAAGGCACGGTCGAAAAGGAGGATGTTGAGTCGTGCCTTGAAGAAGGCAAGGGAGGGAGCAAAGCAAAGAGATTATGGGATGGAATTCCAAAGAGTGGGGGCAGAGAGGCTGAAAACCTAACCACCGATGGTATGGCGCGTTGGGGGGGAAACCTGGAGCCGGCTGAATGGAGGGAGCAGACAGGTTAATAGGGGATCAGCAGGTCAGTGAGGTAGGAGGGGGCAAGGCTGTGGAGGGCTTTGAAAGTGAGGACGGGGATTTTAAATTCTATCCTCTGAGGGATGGGGAGCCAGTGGAGCTGGACGAGGGTGGGGGTGATGGGGTCACGGAGCCTGGTGCGGGAGAGGATACGAATTGCAGAGTTCTGGATGATCTGCAACTTGTGGAGGGAAGCGTTGGGGAGGCCGATAAGGAGGGAGTTTCTGTAGTCGAGCCTTGATGTGAAGAATGCATATATGAGGGATTCAGTGGCCTGCGGTGTGAGACAGTGGCAGAGTTGGGCAATGTTGCGGAGGTGGGGGAAGGCAGAGCAATTCATGGCACAAATATGGGGGAGAAAGGACAGTTGAGGGTCGAAGAAGACGCCCAGGTTCCTGACTCACTTGGTGAGATTGAGGTTGCACCCATGGATGCCGATGCTGCCAGTGCCTGAGGTGCAGACTATTTCTGCATTAAAATACTACAATCAGGATAGCTGACTGTAGATAGCTGACTCTCATCCAAGACTTGATGTCTGTCAGACAGTCTATCAGAAAATCAGTGGTCATGGAATCAAGGGTGGAGGCAGAGATAGACTTGGGTGTTATCTGCGTACATGTGGAAGTTGACCGCATGACTGCAGATGATGTCACCAAGGGGGAGCATGTAGAGGTTGAAGAGGAGGGGACCGATGACAGAGCCCTGAGGAACACCGCATGCGACAGTGTGGGGGCTGGAAGAGAAACCGTTGGTGGAGACAAATTGGGAGGCTGTGTGGGAAATAAGATCTGAACCATTCAAGGACAGAATCTTGAAGGTTGAGGTGAGAGGAGAGGTGGTGAAGAAGGATGGTCCAAGTATCAAAGGCAGCAGAGAGGTCGAGGAAGCAGAGGGAGCCCTGGTCACAGATGAACAAAATGTTGTTTGCCAACTTGACCTGAGCAGTTTCCGTGCTGAGGAGCACGGAAACCCGATTGGAGGGGCTTGTGAAGAGAATGGGAGGAGAGGAAGGAACGAAGCTGGGAAGCAACGACTCTTTCAAGGACCTTGGAAAGTAAAGGGAGATTGGAGATAATAATAATAATAACAATCCTTGCATTTGATATAGCGCTCTTCACGTCGGGAGGACGTCGCAAAGCGCTTCACAGAACACACTGTAAAGTGAATTGACTGTATACTTTGAGGGCGAACGCGGCAGCCAATTGCGCACAGCAATGTCCCACAAACAGTCGTGGATTGAAAATGACCAATTTATTATTGTTTTATTTTCTTGAGGGATTATTATCAGGCGTGTGGAGTAAGGAAACTTGCCCAAGGTTTCACCCTGACAGGAATCAAACCCAGGTCTCTCGCTCGCAGAGCAAGTACTCTAACCATTGAGCTACAGGACTCCAAGAAGGCAGAGAAGGTTTTTTCAGGAAGGGGGGGATTATAAGCTGTTTTTAGGGGGTTGGGAACAGTACCAGATGATAGGGAGAGATTGATGGTATCGGAGAGGAGAAGGGTTAGGAGGTAAGGAGAGGGGTGGAGATGGGGTCAAGAGAGCAGGTGGTGTGTTTCATGCTGGATATGGTGGTGAATAAAACTAAGAAAAAAAACTGTTAAAGCTATTAATCCTTACCTTATCTGTACAATGTGCCTGTAATGTTCCAGATACTCTAGAACATCTGAATGCTGTATAGGTTGCTCGATAAACATCCCCAGTGTCATCCACCCACTATTTAAATACAAACATATTTTCACTTTGTATCCACCTCATTATCACTGAAGTGAAACAAAAATATACAATTTAATACATATATGTGCCATAATTTTAATATTACAATGCATCCCCATTATAACATGCTTCATTATAATTATAATAAATCTTGCATTTGATATAGCGCTTTATCACGTCTTCGAGACGCCTCAAAGCGCTTCACAGAATATACTGTAAAGTGAATTGACTGTATATTTTGTGGGCTATTATGATAACAATGCTTGTGTTTGGAATAGTGCCTTTCACATCAGACAAATGTCTGAAAGCTGTTCACAGGATTTAGTGTAAAATGGAATGACTACTGTATCTGTAGGAGTACATGGCAGCATATTTTGGCACAGTGGTATCTTAATGTCTTAAAGTGCTATGAAACCAAGTTTGATTGTTGGTCAGCACACTGGAAGAAACTCCCTTCTCATAGCGCTAATTCATTTAACAAGATTCTTTAACATCCACCTGATCCCATAGATCCCATTCACGTACCCAGCAAGCTCAGTTTCCACACACCAGCTGGCTCTTATACAGGCACAGTAAATCCAGTTACTGCAGCCTTTTTACAAGGTGGTGTTGGGATTTTATGTTCTGTGACAGCCACCAGTAACAGGCACAATACAAGTTGTGAAAGAGCCACTGTATTCCACAACACATTACGTTTTGACAAATACAGTCCTTGATTTACACATTTTGATATTGCTGCAGTTCCAGGATGGGCACACTGATACTGTATTCAAAGTGGTATTTATTAGCAAGTACCTAGTTGTTAATTCATTGAGTTTTAGCATTATAAAAGCATACTACTCATTTAAATAGTTTAGGGATTCTAGAATTGAACACATATGGTGTAGTCTAAAAACAAACAGAAAATAAGTGTAACCTACTGAAACAAAGCTGTGCTGGGAAATTATTTACTTCAACTCACCTTGACATACGGAGGTGCGAAGGAAGACAAAAACCATTTTGCTGCTCCTTCTCCAGGATTAATGATTTCCAAAAATGATTCTGCAATGAGATTACAATAGCTACTTTCAAGCAATGATAGTTTCTTGCCCAGCAATTTAATATTTGTTTCCTTTTAGTTTCTTCTGTGTTTCTCTCACATGCAGTAAATCCCAGACAAGTCATTACATCTCTAAAGGGACCATACACAATGTTAAGAATGTGGACCAGCCAAACCAAGGTGGCTATCCTTACCCTAAGCAAATATACTCCAGTCTGATCTGGATAAATAACAATGGTGTTGGAATGATACTTACAAGGTATTACGAGGTAATATTGCTCTCCTAGTTTGCCGATTGTAACAGTGTGTGGTCAAGAGATGATCAATGTTGTTCAAGTGTATGTTTAATCCAAGTTGAATAAGAATACCTTGCTCACTTAAGCAGTCCTCACTCTTCAAGTGAAATTATGGTATCTGCCATATCAAATATTAACACTTATACTGTAAAGTGGATTGACTGTGTATTTTGTGGGTGAAATGCAACAGCTAGTTGAGCACAGCAGTGTCCCACAAATAGCCATGGAATGATTTTATCTGGGGGACTGTTGGTCAGAACACAGAGAGAAACGCTCTTCTCTTTTCGAATAGTACCATGGGATCTTTAACATCCACCTGAATAGGCAGATGGGACCTCGGTTTAACGCCTCATCCAAAGGATGCTTTACTAGTTAAACCCAGGTGGAACCTTTTGACTTTCCACACAATCATTGAAGTAATTAGGAATTCATTAGGAAAGGAAGCAGATCAGGTACATTTTCAGCTTCAAATTTGGATGAAGTTATCCATTGTAATAATTTTACTCTAAAGGCTGCGTTACGAAAAAAAAACAGGATTAAAATGAAAACCTAGTTATATTTGTCTTGTACAGTGGGGTTAAAGCAGCTAGTTTTACTACTGAAGACACAAAATGATTAACAGTACAGGTTTGATTCTCAACGATATGTTACTCCAACATTAGTTCTTAGCATTTTTTTTAATAAAAAAATAAAGTACATGGTGTTCACAAAGTCCTGTTACCTCCATGTCTTTTTCTTAGTGATTTTTTTTATTTTCTGTTGCAGTTGAGTGGAGTGTAACAATGTCTGATCCCAGTAACTTTCTCCTCACTCAGTCCACATTATGGAAGATATGACACTGAACATGGTGACGGATCATTATCTGCCATGAAAATGATGGCGCTCACTCACACCCATCCTCTGGATGCCTGGACATCTAAGTACAGTTAAACACTTTAAACACTAAATACTTCTAAACACAATTATCATCATTCTTCCACACGTTTTAGTTGTTGCTCAGTGCACTGGAGGAAAAAACATGGGGTTAACAGGACTTTGTGACCACCCTGTAGAATACCAGGATCAGGCATAATTGCCCTGTTTTAGGAAATGATAGCACTGAATGTTTACCTGAGTTTAACCCAACTGATGTTGAAGGAAAGCGTATCGTTTTGCTTTTTACTTGCACTCTGGTTGGAGAAGGCTTTGGTAGAGGCTGTCCCACATGGTGGATAGGCGTCACAGGTTCCACGTCCAATGCTACATTTGGGCTTGCTTTACCTGGAGAAGTGTCCATCATAATATCTTCTCGAATTTGTACTTTGATTAACTGGGAGTAGGAAATGGAAAATTTGGATTATTTCCAAGATCTTATGGAATGACTGACTTGTAACAACAACAAGATACATTTGTATAGCGCCTTTCACATTGGGAGGACATCCCAAGGTGCTGACGTGCAACACGGGTTGAAGAGCACTCGCCTCGCAAGCGAGAGACCTGGGTTTGATTCCCGGCAGGGCAAAATAGTGAGCAAGTTTCCTTACCTCACACACCTCTGTTTACCTAGCAGTAAGTAGGAAGTGGGTTGTTAGTCGATTGGCAGATCAATTTTCCGGGATAATAAGCCCTCAAAGAAAACAATAATTTGGTCATTCAATCCACAGCTGTTTGTGGGACACTGCTGTGCACAATTGTCTGCTGCATTTCACCCACAAATACAGTCAATTCACTTTACAGTAAATTCTGTGAAACACTTTGAGATGTCTAGAAGACGTGAAAAGCACTATGTCAAATACAAGGATTATTATATTATTGAACAAGTTATTCTACACAAATGCATCGTTCAAATTTGCCACTGCAGATTGCAAGCGCTCTGGGATGCTTCCCTGTGTGAGGGCCGCTATATAAATGCAAGTTGTTGCCGTTGTTGATGATCAGAATGAACATGAAATATAAACTGCTGAAGCTCAGAATCATTTGTAGAAAGTCAAGTTTGGCCTCTGGTGCATTAAATTGCAAGCCTATCGTAGATTCTAAAATCATTTTTAATTTGGGAATAATTTCATGCTAAAACACTGGGCTAATCAGCACACACATCAAGATAATAAGAGGCAGATTCTGAAGACGAGATCACAATGAGTTACTTCCACTCACAAAGCGGAACGGAGGGCACGAGGGACAAACCGGAGGCTGGAGCCAGCCGAGTGGGGGCAGTGGGTGAGGGATAAGCAGGTTGGATAGGTAGGGAGGTGAGAGGGCATGAAGTGATTTGAAAACGAGTGAGAGGATCTTGAAATAATATTAACAAGTGACGGGAAATAACCAAGGCGTGGACGAGGGTTTCAGCTGCTTTGCTTGTGAGTTATGGACTGAGGTGAGCAATTAACAGGAAGTAAGCTTCCACCCCCACCCCCCAGGGCAACGCTGCTGACAGCAGAGCCAGCCTGATTCATTGGCAGGACTTGGAAAGGCAGAACAGTCACTGGGGCCAGGGAATCATCCCATTCAGCTCTGCAAGCCAAAGATCTAATGGGTAGAGTGGTCCTAGCTGGACAAGCAGTGGGAAAGTTAGCCAGACAGCAATATCAAAAACAAGCTATGTGGCTTTAGCAGGTTAGACACCTGCAGTTACCCTAATGCACACTCTGGGGTCCCGATGCCTTGGTTCTTGCCAACCTGCACCTAATAATTTCTGGGAATTAGGTAAACAGGATGTGTTCATCCAGGGAGACAGAGTGCATTCCATTCCAACAATCTATCTCTGGGATTTCCACATGTATGTGGGATGCATGGAATTCTTAGCTTGGCTTGGAGACTCAAGCCTTGTGATGGGTTTCCGCACGAGTCAGACCAAAGAAAACAATAATGAGAAGATAGCACTACCCAAGTAAGAAATCTCTTTACCCTGACACAACAAAAAGGTATACACAGCATTGATTTACCTGATGCATGTTGTCGCAGTGCACATAAATCTGTCCGCTCCATGGGACAGTAGAACGTTTTGCAGCAAGAGAAGGATTTGGACTCACAAGAATCATTAAGTGGCTCCTGATGAAGAGGAAAAAAACATTAAGTTTTCACTAAGAAAAATGTGCAATTTTTTATTTTAACAATCCTTGCATTTGATATAGCGCCTTATCACATCATTGAGACGTCTCAAAGTGCTCCACAGGATATACTGAAAGTGAATCAACTGTATATTTTCTGGGCAAAATGTCATATCTTTGTACCTATCTACCCATATACAACAGTAGTTTCAATATAATATCAGTTTGATTCCCCACTCTTATAGCATGTATAAGAGGCTTTTCAAAACACAACATAAATTCCTGCCCAAAAGCAGCAAAGCAAATGATTTGGAAGATGTTTGAAGAGACAAGTTTAAATTCAAGACTGATATCTCAGCGGCTAAACAAAATGCATCATAAGGTGGTTGTCCAGTGGTTAAGAACAGGATTCCTCTTGCTTGGTCGTTGAGAAAATAGTGTAATTTGTTCAGACCAGATGTTGGGTCCTGTAAAGCAGCTGGGACTTGATGGCAAAGCTAAGCATTGAATGTTTGAGTAGAAACAGAAAAAAAGCACCCTTTGCCAAAATCACATTGCATTTTAATATATAAAAACTCCAGTCTTAATCTATTGGATTTAGGTTTATACGAGTACATACTGTGGATCAATAACTCCTTGTTGTGGGGTCACAGTTAATGAATGTGCTGGCCAGGAGAGTTCAAAAGACAATGATCTAGTGGAGTGGTTTTTAATCTGCACCCGTCCGGTCTGTGCCAATCCATCTGTAAATAGGAACCAAATATTAAACACCCGAGTACATAATAATACTTGCATTTGATGAGATGCCTTATCAATTTGTTGTTAAGAATATATTGTAAAGTGGATTGACTATTTTGTGGGTGAAATGGCAGCCAATTGGGCACAGCAGTGTTTTACAAACAGTCATGGATTGAATAACCAAATTTACTTATTTTTCTTTTGGAAGGTTTATTAACCCTGGAAAAGCTATCCACTATTCGACTAACAACTGGGCTCCTACTGACTGCTAGGCAAACAGAACTGTGTGGAGTAAGAAAACTTGCCTTAGGTTTCGCCCCTCCCGGGAATTGAAGCCGGGTCTTCTGCTAGAGAAGCGAGTGCGCTAACCACAATGCTATGGAACTCCACAAAATAAAACAGTCAGAGTACAGCTTTACTTTGCCAGCTAGTCCGCAATCTTCTCCAAATACTTTTCCCCATCAACCACTTGAATGCAATTCTTCAGAAGCGCTCAGGTATGGTCCAGTATTGATCTCACTTCACCACAAAGTCGGTTAGTCTTTTGTGCCTCCCTAGAGAACCATTGCCCACATAGGAAACACCACACTGAGTGGCAAAGTGCTGCACCATCTTGTGATCCATAATATTACCAATACCAGAAATAATATGAACTGGCTTAAACTGATAGGAATGTTAATGTCTTTGGGACGAATCTATTTCAGATACTGATCAAGCTACCGGACTAATGAAGTAGCAGTGGGGCTGGAGCCTTTTAATATTGGCATACCTGCTTACTCCTCAATCCACTACCTACTGCCCCCTCTCGACAGGCTCCAGCCTCCTGCATGTCCCTCGTGCCCTCCCTTCCACCATCGGTGGCTGCGCTTTCAGCTACTACACTCCGAAACTCTGGAGCATTCTTCCTTTATCCCTCTGCCTTGTCCCTTCCCCACCTTCATGTTGTACCTGATGTCCTTCCTCTTCGACTGTGCCTACGGTCACCTCCCCCCTCCCCTGGTGTTATGCTCCGCCAATGTTACACACTGGGACACTACATTGCGTGAGGGGCGCTATCTAAATGCAAGTTATTGCCATCTTGCTGGCCAATATTTGAGCCACTTAGTCACACGAGTACCTGTCAGTACTTTTCAGCATGACAAGCAAAGTAATGCTGTGGTTGAATGGAAAATAATGGAGAGAAAAGTGATTGCAAGCAAATTTACTGCGAGTTAGAATTAAACTACCCTCAGCAGCAACCCATAGGTATCTGGGAAACTAAAGCTGCTTCATGTTGCTTTTCTATTATTAGCTAATTAGATAACATTGTAAGATTTGCATTGCTGTCTCATTTTAACTCTACACTTTACATTGAAAGACCACTCACCAGATGATGGAACAGTAAGAATCAAATGTTCAGGTTGAATTGTCCAGGAATGCGATTCAGAGTTGGAGGGCAGATTTTGCACTCGATCAGAAGCACTGACGGATATTGGACAGCCCTGTGGTCCTCTCACTGGTAGAACATCCAATGATATATTCGACATTTTCCTTTCTAAGCCTCCACTTATATTAGCTCCAAGTACACTGCAACAAAATGAGATTAAATGCATTATTTTACTTTACCAAGCAAAACTTGAAACACCGATAGAAACGCAGTTTCCTCTTCAAATTTTCATTTTAAGCAAATAAGTAAATAATTACTGCATTTGATATAGCATTTATCACATTGTGGAGACGTCTCAAAGTGCTTCACAGGATATACTGAAAAGCGGATTGACTATTTTGTAGATGAAACCCGGCAGCCAATTATGCACAGCAGTGTCCCATAAACATGGAGTGACCAAGTTTATCTGTAATAAATTAATTAAAATTAATAAATGTATAATTAGAAAAGTAATTAATTCAAATTAGTAAAATAAATTCATTAATATAATAATAATAATAATCCTTGCATTTGATATAGCGCTTTTCACGTCAGGAGGACATACCAAAGCGCTTCACAGAACACACTGTAAAGTGAATTGACTGTATATTTGTGGGCGAACGCGGCAGCCAATTGCGCACAGCAATGTCCCACAAACAGTCGTAGATTGAAAATGACCAATTTATTATTGTTTTTGGTTTTGGAGGGATTATTATTAGGCTCTGTGTGGAGTAAGGAAACTTGCCCAAGGTTTCGCCCTCTGCCTGGAATTGAACTCAGGTCTCTCACTTGCAAAGCGAGTGCTCTAACCACTGAGCTACATAAACATGCAAAAAATTACCACAAACACGTCAAGTGTTTGAACAGTCCTATGTTTGCACGATAATGCCGGATCTTAAAACTTTTCAATGAATGAAACAATAGAGCTGCCAAACTCACAAGTACCTGAGTGATTCGGCAATTTCATTAGAAGAATTGGATTCCAAAGTCTCTCCATCGTCAACATCGTCAAATTCTGCATTTCCAATAATTGAAAGAGTCACTTTGCTCAAGTTGTCATTGAATATCCGGATGTCATTTGGCCTCTGTGGTAAATCATAAACTGTAGAAGAAGATCAATAGCAATATCAAGATTTCCATTCAAAGTTTAGACTTCATTTGAATGCTTTGCATTGTCAAAACATTGTTAAGTATTTTATAGGATTGCTGGATTCGGAGGGCGGAGCCGGGATGGAGCGGGGCTGAGCCGAGGCCGAGCAGAGGGATATGGGGATAAGACAGGCAGATGGAGTTAGGTTAGAAGATCAGCCATGACCTTATTGAATGGCGGGGCAGGCTCGAGGGGCCGAATGGCCTACTCCTGCTCCTAATTCCTATGTGCCCTAGCTGCAGTGCCTTTCTTTGAATTAATAATAATAATAATACTTGCATTTGATATAGCACGTTATCACGTCGTTGAGTCTCAATGTGCTTCACGGAATATACTGTAAAGTGAATTGACTATATTTTCTGGGTGAAATGTGGCAGACAATTGCGGACAGCCATGGATAGAATGACCAAATTATTATTATTGTTTTTTGGAACGGATTATTATCCCGGAAAGCCATCCTCCAATCAACTAACAACCGGGTTCCTATGTACTGAACTGTAAACTCCTACTACCTCCACTCTAGACCCTGGCCTGTTCCACCCCACATTCGGCGATCAGGCCTTCAGCCCATACCCTTTGGAACGCCATCCCAGTCCCTTTGCCTCGTCCTTGCCGCCTTCAAGGTCTGTCTCAAGACTGTCTTTGATCGCGCCTTCGGCCACCCTCCTTCCCCTACCCTCCCTGTTCTTCACCCCTCCTGATCCCGACCCCCAGCTCGGGTGCAAATCCGACTGTCCACTGCCTTGGGACGTCCTCCTGATGTGAAAGGCGCTATATAAATATTTTTGGTGTAATCCCTTTTTTAATATGTGAAAAACATCAATACCTTCAGATACAAGCTCTTCTCCAATAAAACTTTCATCGAAATTGAGATTTTGAAGCACACGGTTGTCTGAGAGTATCTGTTGCTTTCCGTAATGATTCTGATAAAGTGTTCTTTAGTAACAAAAGGTTGAGAAGATAAAAGAAAAAAAAGTTAGTATTTTGATTGTTAAAAATCATTAAAATACTGAGAAATCAGGATTTTGTCCAGCATTAAATATTATAAAAAGGAAAGAGGAACCAAACCAATTCAAATGCCACAAAGTTACACATGAAACAGAATGCACAAAACTTGCCATTTCTATCCCAGAATGCTAGTTTCGACGCACATTTTCTGCTTAAAAAAGTGTCATGGATGCAATAAATATTAAAATAATTATGTAAGTTTGGAGCCTCTTTCAGCCATTTAGAATAAAAAACAATCATGCCTTCGTAACAGTTGTCGTGACACCTCGTCTCCGTTAAAAAAGCAGACAACACAGAGCAACGATGACCCAGCTACACAATGAATAGGGTGGTAGATGACTGTAACTGTCTGAAAAGAGAAAGAAACAAATTAGAATCATAATAATCCTTGCATTTAATATAGCACTTTATTACTTAATTGTGACATCTCAAAGTGCTTCACTGAATATATTGGAAAGTGGATTGACTATATATTTTGTGGGCAAACAGCGGCAGCCAATGTCCCACAAACAGTCGTGGATTGAGAACAATTTTTTTTGAGGGATTACTACCCCTGGAAAACAATCTGCCAATCGACGAACAACCAGGTTCCTACTTACTGTTCCTACCATACGCCTACTTACAAAGAGGTTTGGAGTAAGAAACTTGCCTGAAGTTTTGCCCCACCCAGGAATTGAACTCAGGTCTTCTCACTTGCGAGGCAAGAACTATAACCACTATGCTATGAGACTCTATGACTCCGTATTCGTATGGGTGAAAACTAAAATAAATTACTTTATCCACCTTTGAAAATTTATCAAAAGTGCGTGTATACGCACTTCAGGAGACTTACATTTAGTACATTCCCTAAATACTGCAAATGTAACATCTTTATTTTAAAAAAAATCAGTTCCTTAATCGCTGCTCGTCCATGTCGGAGAAAATAATATAAAAGAAAAACTTTTGTGAAAAGAAGTAATCTCTTTCAAATATCGTAACTAAAAACATCTTATAAAGTTGCTTCAAAATCTAAGTCAAACAAAATTCCACGTGGGCTGCATTAATAGACACAATGGTTCCAGCTAATCAAACTGAAACAGGTTTCTGCTCTCTCAAATATGATTACATTTCTGCTGTCTCAGAGCATCAGGAAACTATCTTCAGTAGCATCGAGGGATCCACCTGACCAGGCAGACAGGACCTCAGTTTAATGTCTCACTCAATGGATGGCATCTCTGACAATGAGGCACTCTCCTCGCACTGCTCTGGAGTGTCAGACTAGACCGTGAGCCTGATGTGGGGCTTGAACCCACACTATTTGACTGACATCATGATCGAGGCCTTTTAAGACAAGTGTACTTGGGCCAGTCCCAAGGATTCCCACAGGAGAAATGGTTTGCATAATCTTGAACTAAGTGAGTTGTTGTGGAACTGCTAGTTTTTCATGAAGTCATCAACATTTCTGTGATACTTTTCTTTAAAGTTTATCAATATTACAAAAAGAAAATCTATAGCATTAATGAAAATGCTTCAAACATTCAGACCTGCTTTTCTGTCTATTACACGAGTTTGCACATCTTACCTCTCTAGTCCTTTCCTTTAGGACGAACTGGTCTGGAGAAATCTTTATTACTTTTGGATCCATTAAAGTCTTTGTCTGCAAATCCGTGAAACAAACTGCCTTTACGAAGGCAGCCCGAGAGCCAGTGTTTCTCATGCTGAAAGCAATTGTGCTAATCTTGTTTGGAGCAATATCATTTAAGGTAATCACATAACTGTCTGACAACTTATTAGTATCCTCCAATATAATGTTGCTTGTTCCTCCATAACCTGAAAGTGGAATCTGACAAAATAAATTACTTTTAATGCCATAATCTTAAGACTTCAATAGGCTTCATACATCTAATAATAATCCTTGCATTTGATATAGCTCCTTATCACGTGACTGAGACGTCTCAAGGCGCTTCACAGAATATACTGTAATGTGACAGGCTATAAATTTTGTGGGCGAAACACGGCAGCCAACTGTTCACAGCTATGTCCCACAAACAGTCATGGATTGAATGACCAAATTATTACTTATTTTTAGTATGTATCTGACACGCACACTAGTCTTAGCTCAAGTTATTTATCTCTTACAGTGTTTTTTTAACCCTTGAAATAGTAGCTAAAGAAAGCATGCAATTTCCCAGAGTGCTTTACAATTCCAGAGACACCGGGACACCGAGTTATCAAATCGGCCTCGACCACCCTTTGAGTTTGTATCTGTAGATGTCCACACTACTGAATTTTTATTCTCATTGCTGGGATTAAACATCAATCTAAAATAATAATCTTTGCATTTGATAGAGTGCTTTATCAAGTCATTGAGATGTCTCAAGACACTTCGCAGAATATTGGCAAGTGAATTGACAGTATGTTTTGTGGGCAAAATGTTGTAGCCAATTGAACACAGCAATGTTCCACAAATGGTCGTGGATTGAGTGACTAATTTTTTTGTTTTGTAAGGATTTTGTAGGGTTTCAACAACAACAAAATTACATTTGTAAAACGCCTTTCAAGTAGAGAGGACGTCCCAAGGCGTTGGACAGACAGGGTTACGGACCCTAGCTGGGGGTCGGGGTGGAGGGCAGGTTGGATGCAGGGATATCAAAAGTATGGTTGAAAAGATGTTTCTTGAGATGGGTCTTGAAGGTGGCAAGGGAGGGGTCAAGGCAGAGGGACTGCAGGATGGAGTTCCAGAGGATGGGGGCAGAGTGGTGCAAGGCCCGCCCGCCAATGGTGGGGCAAGCGAGGCGGGGGACATGAAGCAGGCTGGAGTCTGCTGAGCGGAGGGAGTGAGCAGAATGGTTGAGGGTTAGCAGGTCGGAGAGGTAGGGGGGAGCAAGACTGTGGAGGGCTTTGAAGGTGAGGACCAGGATCTTAAACTGTACCCTCTGTGTGATGGGAAGCCAGTGGAGTCGGGCGAGGATGGGGATGATAGGGTCACGGAGTCTGGTGTGGGAGAGGACACGGGCTGCAGAGTTCTGGATGATCGGCAGCCTGTGGGGGGAGGAGTTGGGGAGACTGACAAGCAATAAGTTTGCATAGTCGAGCCTTGATGTAATGAAAGCATATGCGAGAGTTTCAGCGGCCTGCGGTGTGAGACAGTGGCAGACCCGCGCAATGTTGTAGAGTTGGGGGATGGCAGAGCTGGTCATGGTGCAGATGTGGGGTAAAAGGATAGTTGAGGATCAAACAAGACCCTAAGGTTCTGGACTGGCCCATAAAATATACAGTCAATTCACTTTACAGTATATTCTGTGAAGCACTTTGAGACGTCTAGAAGATGTAAAAAGCGCTATATCAAATGCAAGGATTATTATTGTTACTACTACCCCGGATCCACCAAACAACTGGATTCTTACTAACTGCTAAGTAACAGAGGTGTGTGGAGCAAGGAAACTTGCCTAAGATTTCTCCCTGCCCAGGAATCGAACAACAACAAGAACAAGATTCCATTTATAAAGCGCCTTTCACGTCAGGAGGACGTCCCAAGGCGCTGCACAGTTGGGTCATGACCCGAGCATTGGGGAAATGGTCAGGGTGAGGGGAGGGAAGGGAGGGAGCGAGGAGGGGGGAAATGGTCAGGGTGAGGGGAGGGAAGGGAGGGAGCGAGGAGGGGGAAGAGAGTCGAGAGGGGAGCTGAAGGTACGGTCAAAGAGAAAGGTTTTGAGACCGGCCTTGAAGGAGGAAAGAGAGGAAGCGGCGAAGGCACTGGGGGATAGAGTTCCAGAGCCTCGGGGCTGAGAGGCTGAAGGCCCGACCACCGATGGTAGGGCGGTTGGGGCGGGGGACGTGGAGCAGACCGGAGCCAGAGGAACGGAGGGTACGGGCAGGTAGGTAGGGGATAGTAGGTTGGAGAGGTAGGAGGGAGCAAGGCCGTGAATGGCCTTGTAGGTGAGGATGAGGATCTTGAAATTAATCCTCTGGGGGATGGGGAGCCAGTGGAGGCGAGCGAGGGTGGGAGTGATGTGGTCGCGGTGCCTGGTGCGGGACAGTACACGAGCTGCAGAGTTCTGAATGACCTGCAGTGTGGAGGGAGGTGGCGGGAAGGCCGCGAGGAGAGAGTTCCCGTAGTCCAGCCTTGAGGTGACAAAGGCGTGAACCAGGGTTTCAGCAGCGTGAGGGGTGAGGTAATGCCGTAGTCTGGCGTAGAACCTAGGTCCTGTGGCTTGTGAGGTGAGCAAGCTAACCACTACGCTACAGCAATTATCCTAGGCTATTTAAATAGCTGGTCTAGAAAGCCATTGGTAGAAGCTCCCTCTCGATTCAAGGCCCCAAACACTAACTGGAATCAAAACCTATTTAAACATTTTTTAAAAATGTAATCATTTATTTGAATGCCAGCCTGCCACAGTCAGAAGCAATCTTGCCTCTGAATTAGGAGGTTATGGATTGCTACTTTGTATTATTAATTTTATTGGCTTCCTTCGCTAGCAGACACACAAGATCCTCTGTTGTAAACTGTTATGGCACTTAATTTTCTCATACGTTGCAAATAAACCATAATTAGCAAAAAATCAAAATGTTATTCAGAAATCAGAAAATGACAAAATATTTCCTGCTTTAAAGAGCAATCATTCTCCTTTCAACAGCAACAAATTACTTTTGCATTGCGCCTTTCGTGTTGGGAAGATGTCACAAGGCCCTGGACAGTCAGGGGTTTGGGAGCAAGAGTGGTAGAGTGCAGGGAGGAGGGTGACTGCAGGTCGAAAAGGAGGATCTTGAGATGGGCCTTAAAGGAGGCAAGAGGACTGTGGGGGAACAATTCCAAAGTGTGGTGGGTGTGAGCTGAAGGCCCGACCTCTGTTGGTGGGGTATACTTTCATACACTCTCCAGAAAAGGATTTAAGATATTGAATAGTTTTCATGATCGAAGTGAACAAACCTAATTCAAACATTTAGTTCAGAATTTGTTACGCTAAATTCCTTCTAAACACTGCTGCATACGTACTGTGAACTTCACTCCTGGGTGTGTTGAACGTAAACCAGACTGCTTGATTTCAAGTTTGGCCACCATGCATGCAACCCGTGTTGGTGCAAACAGAACACGCACACAGATGTCTTCTTTTGGGCGAATGGTCAGTTCTCGATTACTGCTCAGCCTCTCTTCAGGCCCAAATGTGCTCTGGAGCTAGAACAAGAACCAATTACTACTATCAGTTGTTTTTAATGAAATTCTAAATGTCTCCATGAATGTATGAAACATCATCAGTGTCCAAATTACTGGAGACTGAAAATCCTCACCTGGAAATGGGACCTAAGCCACAGACTAAGTTAACTGAAGCACAATTGCAAATTCATTTTAAAAAAGAGCTTGTTGGTGGGTATTCTAAGAGTAGGCTCAAAAATAAAAGCCTATACTGAAGTGTTGGACAGCAATTACATTGAATCTTTCATTCTCTACCCTAAAGGGTAATCAGCCTTCATTGCTAAAGAAAATAAAGTTCAGCTCAATGCACTATTGGTCAATCTTTCAAAAACTGTTTCATACAGATTTTTAAAAATAATTACCCAATTTGTTAAGCAGTAATGAAAAAAGTAAAAACTTGTAACTTGATTTCCCTTTTCTGTTCATTTAAACTTGGGCAAAGAGTGAGAAGGGTACTTAAGGCATGGAAAATAACCAGTAAAATAGTTAGTTTGTTCTAGAACTTAAATTATTTTGATTGTTCCCATAAGCAGATCATAAGCTGATGCATTTCTTGAAAAAAAAAACTTACTTGAAAGCAGTCTTGGTCTTGACCCCGTATCAACAGGCGCAACTGATGGGTCACAGAGGTTGAATTATTTCTGAGGGTAAACTTCTGTTGACTGAAAGGCACAAAACTAATGAGCAGATAACATCCAACGCAGAAGATAATAATTGCGTTTGAAATAATTTGAATCATCTGCAGATGTGTATAATTTATTAATTCAGGATAAGAAATTGAAGCATGAAGCCAACAACAAAATTACATTTATAGAGCACCTTTCACGTCGGGAGGACGTCCCAAGTGCTGGACTTTCAGGGGTCAGGACCTGAGCTTGGGGGAGGGGTGGGGTAGGGGTGAGGGAAGGCAGAGAGGTGGGAGGGCGAACTGAAGGCACGATCGAAGAGGAGGGTCTTGAGACCGGCCTTGAAGGAGGCGGGAGGAAGCGAGGTGAAGGGACTGTGGGATGGAGTTCAAGAGTGTGGGGGCAGAGAGGCTGAAAGCCCGGCCACAGATGGTAGGGCGGGAGACATGGAGCAGGCTGGAGCCCACTGAATGGAGGGAGTGGGCAGGTTGGTAGGGAGTCAGCAGGTCATAGAGGTAGGAGGGGGCAAGGCCATGGACGGCCTTGAAAGTGAGGATGAGGATCTTGAATTCAATCCCCTGAGGGACGTGGAGCCAGTGGAGTCGGGCGAGGGTGGGAGTGATGGGGTCACGGAGCCTGGTGTGCAAGAGTACACAAGCTGCAGATTTTTGTTTGATCAGCAGCTTGTGAAGGGAAGCCAGCAATCATAAATGAATTTACCAAGACTTGGATCCTTCACAAGAAGTAACTTAGCTGTTAATGGAAAAAGGTACTTACACTGCTCTTCCAAGACAAACTCCTCCCCAGGATATAAATTGTTTGTTGGACAAAATTGGAGGTATATTAACTGAGGGGTTAGAAGATGTGTTTGAGTTTGATTGAGTTCTGTCAAGCATTCCTTTCAAAACCATTTCATACTGGGGACCCGATGGCTGGACCAGGATAGTCAGAAGACTAGAGAGTGAGAAAAAAAATTAACATTTGGTGTGGTTTCTTTTCAGAGACATTCATTTCTGTCATATCTTCAACACTCAATTGGCTTGTTGAGCTTTTACGTCTCGAGAGAAGACAACTCAGAGAGGCATATAAAAGTTTAAATGAAATTTAAACCAGTAAAAGTAAAACCAGATCAATACAAGGTTTGGACTTCTAAAGAGAAACTTCAGGACAGATATCTTTCGCAGAGGGTAATCAAGACAAGAACAAGTTGCCAGGTAGGGTGAATCATAGAATCATACAGCACAGAAGGAAGTCATTCAGCCCATCTTGTCTGTCGGCTCTTTGGAAAGAGCTATCCAATTCAATCCCACTCCCCATGGTCATTCCCTGGTGAAAGAGACTAGGTCACTGGACTCATTACAAAATGCAGCTTAATGCAGTGATAAGGTGGGGGGGAGGGGGGGAAGAGGAGAGAATGGTGCAGTGGGTGGTTTGGAGGGATCAGAGTGAATAGCGAAAGGGCTTTCTTCAATCAGACCAATCTTGTGATTGTATTAAGAAATTTAAGAGGAGACACACAAGGGACAAATAATACTGAAGCAATGGAGCTGGTGGTGTTAATTGAAAAGGATGAAACCAGCATGAGATCACACATGCACAGCCCCCTCTCCCACTTAACAATGAACAAAAAATGACAAGTATGAGAACAGGACACAATGACAGAGTTGAAAGGTGACAACATTCCCTTTCAAAACCACTTATCTACTAACAGATTTGCACTTTACTAGGATTGATTCTGTTCATTCTGAAAGATTTAGGATCCCCACCCACCCCCTAAATAATATAATAATAATCCCTCAAGAAAAAAACAAAAATAATTTGGTCACTCAATCCACGACTGTTTGTGGGACGCTGCTGTGCGCAATTGGCTGCCGCGTTTCGCCCACAAATATACAGTCAATTCATTTTACAGTCTATTCTGTGAAGTGCTTTGAGACGGTTAGAAGACGTGAAAAGCGCTATATCAAATGCAAGGATTATTATTATCTTATTATTATAATATATATAGTTTTATTGCTTCAAAATGAGCCCGGTCTGTTGTTTTTGCAGCAAATGGAAAGTACTCTGAAAATTAACGTGTTGCATCACTGATACAGCCCATCAACCAGAGTGGGGGCAGAAAGTCAAAGAATGGGAGGTGGCCTGGGCTGTGAACATCAATAGATCAAGTGGTTTTCTTGCAGAACACATCACCAGCGTTAAATAAAACTACACCATTCTGAGCATTACTCATCAATGCAATGAAGTTTACAAGCAATCTCATAAATTATTTCTTTTTAAGCAGCAGGAATTTGGAGCACAACTTCAATTCCTCATATAGCTCTCAAGAAGTAAAGTGCTTTCCTGAAGGATCAGTTACTCTCGTTTCTTCTTATTCTTCTAGCTTGTTAAATAGAATGAACAGACTCCTGTAAAGAGATCCACACCCTACCATCCAGGTAAGGCATGTGGTAGTAAAAGGACAATCTATTAAATCAGTTACGATTTAGATTGAATGCTTTACCTTTGTATCTCACTTTTGGTGTCCCTTGGAGTAAATGAAATGGTAACTTTAACATCTTTTCCAGGCTGAATGGACACACTTTCTGGCTTTACTGCAAAACAGCTCGACTCGTCGGTCTAACATAAATTAGAGAAGATTTAGTAACAAACGTTCATATCGCTAAACTTACCAATGGACAACCTTGTGTATGAATGTTGGGGTAACATTAGTGGTTTTCTTTAAAGAGTTGTTTAACTTATTTGAGCCAACTCTTGGTAAGTGTTCATCTCAGGGTCTTTAACTGGCACCGCAATACAAATTTACATTGTGCATAAATTGTTAGATAAATTTACAAATCTATATAGCCCCTTTCAGCTGATGGACGGACTAGATGCTGGACAGTTCAGGGTTTGCACTTGAGCTGAGCTGAGGGGATGGGCAGGGAGAAAGATGACCAAGTGCACAGTCAAAAGAGGGAAGTCTTGAAGCAGACCTTGAAGACCTGGAGTCCTGTAGCTCAGTGGTTAGAGCACTCGCTTTGTAAGCGAGAGACCTGAGTTCAATTCCAGGCAGAGGGCGAAACCTTGGGCAAGTTTCCTTACTCGACACAGAGCCTAATAATAATCCCTCCAAAACCAAAAACAATAATAAAATTGGCATTTTCAATCTACGACTGCTTGTGGGACATTGCTGTGCGCAATTGGCTGCCGCGTTCGCCCACAAATTTACAGTCAATTCACTTTACAGTATGTTCTGTGAAGCGCTTTGGGACGTCCTTCCGACGTGAAAAGCGCTATATCAAATGCAAGGATTATTATTATTATTATTATTATTATTACTGGGAAGATGCATATCTGTGAAAGTTCAGTCTTTCAATGTCAAATCACTTCAACACATAGTGATGAAAAGTAATCACTGCGCAACACAAGTCGTCAAACCTTGGCAAATTGGTAGCACTCTCGCCTCAGGAGGTTATGGGCTCAAACCCCACTTTGAACTTATATGCATTGCTGAAGCGCTTGGAGACATCTGAACAACTTGACAAGGCACTGTATATCAAATGTAAGTATTATTATCAATATTAATGCTGGGTTGTCAGAGATGCCATCTTTTGGATGACAATATAAACAACGGTCTTGTTGGATGTTAATTATCTCACAGCTAGTTTGAGAAGGATGTTTCTCCCAATGTTCTTGCCAACAATCTCCCAGATAAAATATGTTATTCAACACTGCTGTGCGCAATTCACTGCCGTGCTTTGCCCACAGAATAGTCAATTCACTTTACAATATATTCTGTGAAGCACTCTGAGACGTCTTGAAGATATAAGGCGCTATATCAAATGCCTGAGAATCAAACCCAGGTCCTCTCGTTTGCGAGGTGAGTGATCTAACCAATTACTCAGCAAGTAATCAAGTAAGCTTAGGTTAAATATGCTCATCCGTAAACCCACCTGAATCTTCAGCTCTGCAACAATATTTCCTGCATTTTTTAGTGGTAGAATTTGTTTCACTGTTGTGCCAATTTTGGCAAGCATTGGGAGAGTCTAAAAAAGGCAAGTGGGGGGAAAAAAAAACTTACTGGATATGCATTTTAATACAGTATTACAGTTGTATAAACAACACAATAGAAATGCATGTATAGTATACATAATATACCCAACACTTAACAAAAGGCATCAATTATTAGATGCAGTTTTGAAATGCTGTCCTGTGTTTGACAAGCCAATAGGAGATTCACAGAGTAACAGGTATTCAAAAAGTTTGCATTTTACATCAGGAAAAATGTCCACATGTTTCATACAACAGTGCCACTGGGATGCTGACTTCCTATCCCCAAGAACAACTTTAAAGTCCCTCCCCTTCAAATGCCTCCAATGTTCTTGCACCACCCAACCTCTGATCTCCTGTGACCACAATTCCCACCCTCTACTCTGCTAACTGGCCTGCTTCACTCTTATCGTGCTCCATCCCACCTTCAGTAGGCAAGCCTTCAGTCATTTTGTCCTTTCCTCTCCCAAAATCCCCCCACCTTACTCCTTTCTCTGCTTTCAAATCCCACACGAAGGTACGATTTCTGAATCCCACTCTTACGACTGCACTTTTGGACACCATCCCACCCCCTGCAGCTATTGCTCCTGACGAGTCCTTGTAAAACACTTTTTCACGGTGTCCTAATATGAAAGGAGCTACACAAGAGATAGTAGTTGTTGTCTGGGTTACTCATTGGACAAAAATAAAAGGTTTATTACTTCAATTGTAATAACACATTAAAACGACTAGAGAAGGACTTGATAATAAGGTTAAAATCACATTTTGTGGGATAACAACTTCATTTGTCCTCTGAAGTGCAAAATGTTTATAAGACTGATGAACTTCAGCGTTACCAACAAGCCAATCGATCGTGGTAATGAACAGAGGATTTTAAAACATTATTCAAGTATGATATTTATATTTCTGAGCCGCATATTAATTGAAATAGGAAATTAGAAAATTTACCTGGAGGTCTTTAGGAGCATGTATTCTGACAATACCAACTCTAGCATAGAGCGATATGCTGCTAATGACACTGGTGGGACCAGGACTATCAACTTCTACATCAATTCTTGCCAAATAGACATCCGCTGGACCTAAAGGATCTACATCAAAGATTACAGCATTTAATCCATTATACAGTTTCTGTAAATAACCAGAAATTAAACATTTGTAGATTCTTGTATTAATGCAAAATGGTGAAAAGTAATGCCCAGTCTGTATGAAAAACATTGTTGAATGATAATTTTGCTCAATTACAGTAAGACAAATATTACATTTGTTGGAAGGTTCATTTAGCTAAATGCCTAAAATAGCTTTTCAAAATGATCAAATGTGCTACTGAACTATATACACATTAATGGCTACTTTGTTTACCCTCTTGTGTCTCGTGCAATCACCAACCATCACCCCACTACACCCAACCACCATTTATATAATGCCCGGTCACGTCTGAGCAATAAATATAGAGCCAGGGAGAAGGGGGAGGTAACCATAGACGGGACGAAAACAGGTGAAGAGAGGGCAAGGCAAGGGATTGAGGCAGAGAGTACCAAAGGGTTTGGGGCAATTGATAGAACCCGCAAAAACGTACTCAGTTTGTCATGAAAAGGAATAGAAAAAAATGAGACACACAATGTTTTCAAATGAAAAAAAACTCAATTACCTGTACTCGTGATAAGTTTTTGTGGTGCATGAAAATGAATCCATACCATGAAAGTTTCTGGATCCTGAAAATGAGAAACAGTTAGTAAACTTGTAGGAATTTAGACAGAAGCTACACAGAATAAGATATTTTTTTCAAAATTTTTGTAGCAAAAAGATACTCTGGAGTAGATAATAAAACAATCAAATTGAGGGATTCAACAGACATCCAGAGTTCAGAATCCAGGAAAAAATTTCAGCACAGAAGGCAGCCATTCAGCCCACCGTGTCTGTAACGGCTTCCTTTTTAGTCCCATTTACCTGCCCTTTCTCTATACCCATGTAGCTGACTCTAAGGTATTTATCTAGTTCTCCCTTGAAGACAAATATGGATTCTGCCTCAACCATTGCTCCTAGCAGGGCATTTCATTTCCTAACTATTATGCATGAAAAAAATTCTCCTAACCTCCCTATTCGCTCGCCTAAATCCTCTAGTTAGTGGAAATAATTTCTTCCTCATGACCATCAAAACCCTTCATAATTTTAAAGACCTCTCTGAGTCCATCAGCCTTCTTTGTTGCAGTGGAAACAAAGCTCAGCATCCCAGCTCCTGCAGTCCTCGCTCACAGACCAAACAATTCATCCCAAGTATCATCTGAGAAAATCTCTTCTGCACCTCCTTTAAGATTTATAAAACAGAAGATAAGCCATCTGATGAAAGTGGCTATTTAGTTTTGCATGCTTTTTCTAGCAACTAAGGTCATAGCTAAGACGCCTCATGTAATGATTGGAGTCCTGTAGCTTAGTGATTAGAGCACTCGCCTTGCAAGCGAGACCTGGGTTCAGTTCCCAGCAAGGCAAAACATTGGGCACATTTCCTTACTCCACATGCCTGTTTACCTAGCAGTAAGTAGGAACCCAGTTGCTCGTTGATTGGCAGATTGCTTTTCCAGGGGTAATAATCCCTTCAAAAATATAAATAAAATAGGTCATTTACCCATGACTGTTTGTAGGACACTGCTGTGCGCATTTAGCTGCTGCGTTTCACCCACAAAAACATAGTCACTTTACTGAATATTTCGCGAAACACTTTAAGGTGTCCAGAAGACGTGATAAAGCTAAGGCACTATATCAAATGCAAGGATAGGGGTGGAGAATTGTTGCCTAGGACACTGTGCGAAATTCCCTTCTTTAGAAAAACTGTCATGGGATCTTTAACATCCACCTAAAACACTCAAGACAGGACTTTGGTGCAACTTCTCATCCAAAGGATAGCATCTCTGGCAATGCAGCTCTCTCTTACTACTGCACTGGATTATCAGCCTAGATTGTGAGCTCAAAGTCCCAAACTGGGGCTTGAATTCAAACTTCTGAAGCAAAGACAAGAATCCTACCAATGAGCCAGGCTTTAGCAGCATGCTGGAGCTCCAATACCACAAAACACATTAAACATGGAACTGTTACCTCTCCATCATAGCTGGCATGCATTACATGATTCATAAACGATGGGCTAGCCGATGGAACAATTCTTCCACCCGAAAGAGGATTTTCTGTCAATATGTCAGATTTTGAAAATGTAAAACGTTGCCAGACAGCAGCATTCTGCACAACACAAAAATAAAAAACAGGATTACTACTTTCAGTGAAAAAATAGTACAAGATTACTAAAAAGCATCAAATTGCAAGTTCACTATAGATATAGGTTCCATATAGACGTGTCCGCTCATCTGGCTTGGGGCTGCTCCTGGTTTCCCACCGGGCCCACCCCACCCAGCGGTCGGACCTTCAGCCTCCCTCTCACACTTTGAAACTCCATCCCACAGTGCCTTCGCCTTGCTCCCTCTCTTGCCTACTTCTAGGACCGTTTCAGGACTTTCATCTTCGATCACACCTTCGGTTACCCCCCACCCCTCCTGATTCCAAACTCCTGCTCAGGTCCAAATCCCTGACTGTCCAGCACCTTGGGAAGTTTTCCCGACGTGAAAGATGCTACACAAATGTAACTTGTTCACTAGCTTTTCCTGCTGAAAGTAAAGAATGATGCTGCCTTGTCCACTACAGAAGACTGAAAATACTTCAAGACTTGTGTGAAAATGCATTTTGATAATGTGACCTGGGTTTTGATATCAGTGTAAGAATGGTTGCCGGACTTTGGCTTCAATTTTTCAAACACCTGAACTCATATTTGAGCCTAAAATGTCAGCAAAATTAAAATAGAAGATGAAAGACAAAGGACAGAAATGTGTGCAACCCACAAACTGAAATCTAAAGGACTTTCACAAGTGACCATTTGATTCCCTTGGACTGCCTTCCAACCTCATAAGGTAGTCCTACATTTGTGGTGTAAGGGGAAGGTCATTGAAAGCAGAGAAAACCCATTAGTATTAAAACAATGTTTTCAGACAGGAGAGTGAGGCAATTTAACCAATTTGGACAATCTTGCCTTAAGTTGTGTTAAATCCACACTTACTGCATTGATGTTAAGCCGGATTGGAACAGTTGCACGTGTTCTATTGGTCAGCTGCAGAGGGAGTGCTTTGGCACCACCAGATATCACGTCACCAAAATCCAAGCATCCTTTTCCAGACTCTACCTGAAAATGGATAGGCAAGTTGAAACACTAACAAGTTGTTGACTGCCCCATCCCTCATTCCCACTGCAAAGCCCACCATTCCCACCCCCCCGGGAACAAACCTCTCTTGTCCACATCTCCACCATTCTCATAAACTCCTCTGCTGTCTGTTCTCTCTACATCTCTTTGCAAAATATTTGCTCCCTCTCCAACAAAGCTCTCACTATCCATGATCTCGTCAACGAAAACACTGACATCCTTGCTCTCACCGAAACCTGGATCACACTCAGCGAAACCTTCCCCCTCACTGAGGCCACCCCACTAGATACACATCAATCATATCCCATGACCCAACTGTCATGGTGGTGGAGTGGCTCATCTCCAGGTCTCCACTCGAACTATCACCTTACTTCTCTGGAACCTTCCACTCCTTTGAACTCCTCATCCTTTTCCATCCTTCCAATCTCTCCCTAAATATTCTCCTCATCATCCCTCTAAACCCCATGCACTTTCCTCTGCGATATCTGCTTCCTTGTACCTTGCCTACTCTTGCGAGTATGGTCAGAGCACTCGCCTCGCAAGCAAAAGGGACCTATTTTGATTCCCAGGCAGGGCAAAGCCTTAGTCAAGTTTCCTTAGTCTACACACTTTTGTTAACTCCACCACCCACATCCATGGTCATCTCCTTGACCTGGTGAATAATTGAAGCCTCACCCTGAGACATCACCATCACCAATAAAGCCAACTCGGTACATGATTTAAAAATAGTAATCCTTGCATTTGATCTAGCGCCTTATGTCTTCGAGACGTCTCAAAGCGCTTCACAGAATATACTGTAAAGTGAATTGACTGTATATTTTGTAGGCAAAACGTGGCAGCCAATTGTGCAAAGCAGAGGCCCATAAACAGTCGTGGCCGATTTATTATTAGTAGTTTTTTTTAAGGAGTTATTACCCCTGGAAAAGTGATCTGCCAATTGACTAACAACCGGGCTCCTACTTACTGTTGGGCAAACAGAGGCGTTTGGAGTAAGGAAACTTACCAAACATTTCAACCTGCTGGGAACTGAACCCAGATCTCTCACTTGCGAGGTGAGTGTTCTAACCACTGAGTTACAGAACTCGACGACTTCATCTCCCTCAACTCCATCCCACTGCTAACTCCTCCCCCTAAGTCCCCTGGATTACAGAGACTACCGCAGGAGGTAGACTCAATTCCAACATCCTGTGGATAAACATTCTATCTTGGGAGTGAGTTACATGGTTTCATTCCACCCAGCCTATGCAATCTTGTCCAAACCGACATACCAACCTGTATTACTGGGGTAAATTTAAATGTAAAAAAGGATCATCACCTCAATTGATGGATCTTCTGCCACAGCTGTCACAATCACCCTCTGAGCCAATGCTTCTGCTCTGGCTATTGTACTTGCATCTGCCGAGACTGGCCATGAGGAAATACTTAGTACACACTGGAAAATTCCTGATTGACGTGGAAGGAATAGCAATTTTAAATCTTCAGTCGCGTGGGGACCAATGATAGTTTTATTTTTGAATATCCAACACTGATGTGCAAATGTGTCCACCTTAAAAGATAAAACAGTTTAAATTAGTTGTCTTTGATCACACGTTATAAAGGTACAAATTATCTTACAATAGAACTCAGCACGAAGGTGAAGCTTTGGAGTCCTGTAGCTCAGTGGTTAGAGCACTCGCTTTGCAAGCGAGAGACCTGAGTTCAATTCCAGGCAGGGCGACACCTTGGGCAAGTTTCCTTACTCCACACAGAGCCTAATAATAATCCCTCCAAAAAACAAAAACAATAATAAAAATTGGTCATTTTCAATCCATGACTGTTTGTGGGACATTGCTGTGCGCAATTGGCTGCTGCGTTCGTCCACAAATATACAGTCAATTCACTTTACAGTATATTCTGTGAAGCGCTTTGGGACGTCCGCCCGACGTGAAAAGCGCTATATCAAATGCAAGGATTATTATTATTATTATACGCTATTGATACTGAAAGCACACGTTTAAGAGAAGCAGAAATACCCATATTCTGCAAAAATTTCAATTGATCCAGAACTCTGCAGCCAGAGTTCCCTATCAAATTAGACGCCACATACTCATTGCCTAATCCTCAACCAATTCCTTGAGCTCCTAGAAGATAGAGTTCAAAATATTTGTCTTGCTCTTCAAATGTTCCATGGCTTCATCCACTCAAGCTATGCAATCGAGGCCATACCTCCATTCCAGCCTGTATGCCTCTATTTGTCAGACTTAGCTTGTTGTACGCTCCAGTGTATAATATACCAGTCGTCTGGAAGTCTTTTAAAAGCAAAATGCCTTGCCTTTTTATCTCTAACTTCTTAAATTCTAACATAGTTTTCTTTACTTAAATTTCCCTGTTAGGTATCCACTACTATATTTGATCATTTTAAGATTGAAAAATAGGAGGTTGGTCAAGAGATAAAATGCTCATTCCTAAAAACTGGTCAAGATGCTCCAGATTATAATTATAAGGCTGTATGAACCTTGAACGAATTCCAAATATATACAAAATAATTAAGTAGTAAATACAGTACAAACCTTTGCTCCATTCAGAGCAACACTAGTAATTCCGATTGAGATCTGCATCCAACGATCAGTTGGGTTGAAAACACTGAGCGAGGTTTGTGTTGCTATTCCAACACAGCACGAATTTGGAAATCTTAGCTCTTCAGGAACTATCACGTGACCTTTTTTATAAAAAAAAATTAGAATATTTTAGAACATCATCACTGCTGAATGAAAAAAGACTGAGGTCTATCATTTCGCCTTCCATCATCCTGGCAGTTGCATGCACATGTCATGTCCCAAATTATATACTGTACATTTTTAGAAATGCAAATATGAAAGAAAATCTACAATTAACAATCCCAAATATTCAGGGAAAAATTAATATTCCTGACCAGAGAATCTACCAGTAAACCCGCAACATAATCTGAACCAATGGCTGGCTTTAAGAGTGAAATTAATAATTTGGATCAAGAAACCCTGCTAAATTCTCAACATCTGTTCAACCCAAGTTTTTTTAAAAAACAAATAAGGTTGGTGAACCATAAAGATTCATGATCAGTTTTGCTCTATTTTTCATCTTCCCTTTTTTTTGTCCAAAAATGCCATGGATTAATCTGGTGTAAGGTAGATCTAAATATTGTTTGAGCACTAACCCTGATGATTCAACCTCCCTTTGGATCATCTTAAGTGAGAAATATTACAGTAAATTAACATCAGTCACAATGTGGAGCAACCTGCAAGTGGGCTGGACTGCTTAGCTGAGAAAACAGGAAATTCCAGTAGAATAGCCCAGTTTCAATCGTATAGATGCACAATAGACCAAAAAATTTCAATTTAGCAACAAATTAAAATACAATTTTTAAAAAAAAATCTTACCAATTCCTCCTAGTTGAGATCCGCCTGACCACTGATCACAAATGCCCGTTCTAGGAAGTTGGCAGTTGAAAGATGAAGCTTTGAAATTTTGGTCCAACGGTGCTGACTGTACACTATACAACTGAGCTGGATCGATTGCTCCTGCCCCTAGCTTAGGATCAACACGAGACCCAAATCCTTGAATATTGCTCATTAACACATTAGGACCAGGCAAACCGGCTGTAAGACTGTACACATTAGATGCCAAAGAATTTCCCATGTAGCATGAAGTCAAAGGTATATTTAGACAATTAGTGGTGGAGGTCAGAGTTCCCAGATACTGCTGGGCCAGGGGAGTTGTTAAGAGTGATTGTCCAGTAAGTAATGTTGGCACTGAGGGTACATCCAAACGAGCTGCATGAGGTTTAAAGCATGAAATGGGTAAATATTTACCATCGCTATTTGCTAATGGAAAACCACTCAATCCATGGCTTGCAGTAGAGACCACATTTAAGGAATTCATATTGTGCATTCTGTTCATATAATCCAGACAAGGTGCACTGCTGGGACCCATTTTGGGTTCAGAGGATTCTTGTAATGCAGTTGGATGCTCGATGTAACAGCATGAACAGCATCTTGTTGCCCGACATTGAATGGAGCTGTTTTAGCTTTGTCAGACAGTGAAGAAAATGCCTGGTTAGAATTATGTGAACTATCTTCACGTTTATCCTCCAGACCTTTGGACTCATGGCTTTGCAGTTCAACACCACCTGACCATGTTGATTGGCAGCTCTGAACATGAGCAGCTTCTTTACATTCTTCCAGTGATCCTGGAACCAATTCACTTGTGCTCGAGTTAACCATTGTTTGGTCTGGTGTTGGAGTGGGACTTGATTGAATAATTGTGGTACTCAACTCAATGGTGCTGTCATTCTGTGGAAGGAAAATTTGTCTCAGTAAACCATATACCATACCTTGAAATGTTAATATTTGGCAATATATTGAAATAAACCTAGGCAAATGTCAACATGTTACATAAGAAAGTACAGGACAAGAAAAGTCAAATTAGTTTCACCTTCAAAGTGAAAATTCTATAAAAATTTGTTTCATTGCCCATTGAACTAATCCTTCATGGGGGGTGGGTGGGAGAGAAGAGAGAAAAAAGGAATGGATTGGAATTCAACAGAATCAAAGGAAACGATTGAGAATTTCTGTATGGTGCTAACATCAGCACGATAGGAAATAACTAGCAGGGCATGTTAGTGATCTGTGCTAGGATTGATGGAATTACATTATACATAAATGATTTGCAAATGAGCAAAAAAGAAAGCTATCTACGTTTGATGAGGATACAAAGCTGTGGGAAGCTGAAAATGATAGGAACATGTTGACCAAATATAGAGGATGCTGTGCATAATAGATAGTTGGACGGCCAAGGGGCAAATGTAATATTGTCATTTAATTGTAATCCTTGCATTTGGTATACCATCTTATCACATCTTTGAGATGTCTCAAAGCACTTCACAGAATACACTGTAAAGTGAATTGACTGTATATTTTGTGGGTGAAAGGCAGCAGCAAATTGCAGACAGCAGTGTTCCACAAACATTTGTGGATTGAGTGACCAAATTATTATTTGTATATATTTATGAAGGGATTATAGCTCCCGGAAAAGCCACCCGCCAATCGACTAACAACCGGGTTCCTACTTACTGCTAAGTAAACAGAGGCGTGTGGAGTAAGGAAACTTGCCTAAGGTTTCACCCTGTCCGGGATTTGAACCCAGGTACTCTCGCTTGTGAGGCAAATGCTCTCACCAATGCACTACAGGATTCCATAAATGTAGACAAAGGAGTGAGAAACTTAGATAAAATTATCCAATGGCCTAAAATGGGTGATTTAGGGCTGGTAGACAAACCACTAAAACCTTAAGCAGTAGTAACAAAAAAATCTTGGGGGCATAGCTGGAGGAAAACAAAAGTATGAATCACAGGATGTAATGCTGAATTTAATGGAGCAATTGAATGGTTCCACCTGCAGCATTGTGGACAATTCTTGAGTGCTGGATTGTATTGAGCAAATATTCAGGTATTTGAGAGAGTACAACAAAGATCAACTGAATTTGAAATTAGAATAGGCATCTTAGTGTTGAAGAGAAGCTATAGAAGCTGGGATTGTTAACACTAGTGTAAAGGAAATTTTTGCTGAACGATTCATGATTTAAAGGGTATATAGATAAGCTTATAGAATCTTTCATAGTCACTCAACAGTGAGTGACTATGAAATGCAACAAGAAGCTGATTCAAGCACAGAAGCAGGAATGGTTTAGATTTAACTACTTATCGACAGTCAGGGATCCGCATCCAAGCTGGTGATTGGGTTCAGGAGGGCCGGAGGGCAGGACGCCCAGATTCGATCTCCACTCAGCCTACTGCAGACAAGGCCTACTTTTGGCAGCAAAGTACATTCCCAGCTGTGGCTCAACTCCCTTCCCCAATCAAACAGGTGCACATGCCAACAAGCACCCCATAGCCAAAGGAACACCAATAAAGACCCCTCTGATCAACTTTTTGCATTCTGAAGACAACTTCCAATAAAAAAGTTAAATTTCTAATATTTGCTGTTTCAGCTAAGAAACCAGTATCATTTCACCTACCTTAAGGCTGCCAACAGCTGTGTTATTCTGAAGGGTCCCATCCACAGCAGAGATATAACTCAGTCTGCTAAGATTTAGACTACCAGTCAGAGATGATTTGTTGACTGCTTGCAGATGAGTTAAACTGGCATTTGGAGAATCAATACTGAAAATGAAAGCAGAATATTAAGGTAGCAGCAGTTATCCGTGTTGAAATGTAATGACTTGCATTTATAATAGCACCTATAATTGGGAGGTACAAATGTCTTGAAGCCCTTTACAAAATGTAAATGAGCTGAATGATGTTACATATGCCAATGTAGCAGTCAATTTGCAATAGCGACGTCTCACAAATGAGATGAGCAGACAATGTAATTTGCATTCAGAGTAGGAAAATAACATGGGGGGGGAGCAAAATCACACAGGTTTGAAATAGCAACACCTGAATCTCAAAGCAGATGGAATCTAAAATTTAAACATTGTGTCCGAGTTTGGACCAAAAAAAATCTTAGAACCATATCTGGTCAATGGCCCTACTCAAGATGTAGTCAAACTAGTCTTTTATACAAGGTTTGCCAATAATACTCATTTAAAAATCATAAGACAATTTAAAAGGGCTTAAGCCTTATATCAGTAATCTTCACAGAAAGGCTGCAAGACCATGGAACGCACTATCCCAGAAAGCTGTAGAATCAATGGCAATGTTTAAAACGAGTTAAGTACTTGGGAAGTAACTGTATTAAGGGAACTCCTGATAATTCAACCCTGGCATAACTTGTCACTTACACTTAAGTCATCCTGCTTTCATGTGCCTAACTCGCCACTCTGGATAACTTGTCACTGAGCCCTTTTCCCATGGAGTGGTGAGTTATCAGGAGTTTACTGTAAAGCCCCTAACAAAACAATCTCTGTACCTGGCGAGAATCTTTTTGGTTGTTCCTCGGCTTGGTGAAGAATGAGTCAGTGGAGAGGTTGATGGTCGGAAATTTAGCTGTTCATCTTTTGTTTGATTGTCTTCGAGGTGAAATAAATTTGAATTAATTATAACCATAATCAACAAAAACTAGATAGTTAATTGGTTAAAAGAGCAGACTATTCATTAAACACAATAAAGGCGGTGCTGTTATAACTCCAGTGACTAGCACTACAGAGTATCAAATGGTGAGTCAAAGTATGGATATCTCAAGAGCAACTAAATGCAGAACACACTTGACAATCTACAATTTATGGATTTTCTGCAGTTTTACCATTGGCTAAACATGACCATTTACGTACATTTGCTTGCTTTGACAATAATGGAATCATTTCATTAATGTGATTATTTCAACGGTATGAAGGTTTTTAAAAATGCGACAAAATAAATTCCACCAGCCTCGGCACAATTTCAAAACAATAAGCTCAACTAATCTCTTGTGATGTAGCCAATACTTACACATTTCATCACTTGTTGATGCAGCTGCAACACTATCTGCCTTCTCAAAGCTGATTCCATCTTGACGGTGTAATCGTAAACAAGGTGATTCTGGAGTCAAACACATTTCTTTGCCATTTTTACATGCACTCTTATTTGTTGGTGGTATTGTTCTTGGTTCTGGTGGTACATTATGAACGTTTGGAGAATTGAAATCTGATGTTCTAGATGCTGTATTGTTAACAGTGAACTGTCCAGAAGAAACAGCAAAGCCCCTGGTGCTTTTCTGTTCATCTCTGGACTTTCTTTTATCAAGCAATGTGAAACCATGTGATGTTTCTGGGGGTGACCAAGATTTGCCCTCACTAGAGTTTCGTATTTTTCTATGTTCAGTTTGTATTTTAGGTTCAGCCTCATCTGAAAGCACTTCATTTCCAAGCAGATGGGTTACGTGTGTAGTAGGCAGAGTTAAAATAGACTTTTCTTCTTTCTCGAGTTTGGTGGTAACACTATACAAGTTCGGCTTTCTATGGGTTTTATCTGGACTCCGTTCATCAACTGCTCTCTTTGCATTGGAATCATTACTGATAGCTGATTTGGGGCAAGGATAAAATTTGCTAGTCACATCCACAACAGTTTCACTTGCACAGCTATTCTGATTGTGCAAACTCATCTTGTCCTTGGCTAGCTGAGCTGATTGACCCATTTCAATTGATTGAGCCACACCTCTTATGTCAGCTGAACCAGATTGCCTCAAATCTGCTTTTGAAGTTAACACAGGTATATTTTGCTTGGTTTCCAGCCTACTACTGTTACTTAAGACAGATTCTCCTGAAATTGAATTTGATGTACAGTGTTGATTTTTAGATTCTGAATCATCTGCAAGCTCAGAACTGCAAGCAGGAACCCATCTGCACAACTTAATATCCGATTTCAAAGTCCTGTTCTCAAGAATGCTGACTCCAGACTTTTGAAGATTTTTGTCCAAAACTGTAGTCGATTCACTGTTTATGTTGCTTTGCTGGTCCTTTGGATGTAGGCTTGATTTCTTGCTGACTGGAGCAGCCCCAAATTTTCTCCTATTTTTATGAGAGAGCTCCAAAATCATAGCAGCCAACTGAGCAGGATCTGCACTGACTGAGGCATCTGCAATGGCTGAAGCGATGGTACTTATACTTAAAACTGAATCGGAGCCATCGGGTATAGAGTTCTCTGTAGTATTTGGGACACTGCTAGACGATGTGATTGAACTTTGAAGCTCCAAGTTCTATTAAGAAAACATTTTATGAATCTGGTTATAGAGTAAGAATAGTTTACAGCAGAATAATATGTAAGATGCACATAATTCTAAAATGATGGAACATTTGATGCACTGACCTTTCTGTCATCAAAATCATGCCCATGTCCATTTGAACTTTGGACCATGCTAGTTCCCAGTTTTCCACTTTCAATTTCTTCATCAATCACAAATGTAGGAGATGCTTCTGTAGGAGTTTCTTGATATGTACACTCTAAGTCATCTGTATGTAAAACAAAATTGGTCATTCAATCCACGACTGTTGTAGGACGATGTTGTGTGCAATTGGATGCTATGCTTCACACACAAAATACACTTTACACTGTCCAGTGCCTTGGGACGTCCTCCCGACGTGAAAGGCGCTATACAAATGTAATCTTGTTGTTGTAATCTTGTTATTGTTTACAGTATATCCTGTGAAGCACTTTGAGATGTTACGACGACACGATAAAGCGTTACTGCAATTATTAGAATGCCTTCCAAGGAAAATATACATTTCCGATATTAAAACTGTACGTTTTAAAAACACTGAATTCAAACCATATTTTGGCCATTATGAGATGCCAACTGAAACAAAATTACCACAGCAAAATACATTGTTCTCCGCACATTCAAATATATATATTTTTAATGAAATTACACAAATTTAACAATTGTGCAGGGTACTTTAAGCTCTGTAACTAGAAAGGACTGACGCCCATCTAATAAACTAATTGATTAATGCATAATCCCTGTGGAATATTTATTAACTAGGCTGAAATTCACAATACCTGAAGACAGGTTTTCATCTCCACAAAGCAAGTCCATTTCATCCTGGTCAGTAAGGGTACGTGACATGCTTCCAGGAAGAATCAAAGCAACAGGAGTTCGCTTCTCTGGCGATGTTATGGCATATCCAAATGAAGGCTGGCAAATTTGAGAATTGGTAATAAATCAATAACGTGCATCTCCAAGGTCTTAAAAAGCTGCAACTTAACTGCTCTGAAAACTGGATATTAATAATAATCCTTGCAATTGATACAGCGCCTTATGTCATTGAGATGTCTCGAAGCGCAGAAAGCGATCCAATTGATTAACAAACAGGTTCCTACTTACTGCTTGGTAAACCAGGATGTTTGGAGTAAGGAAACTTGCCTAAGATTTCGCCCAACGCGGTAATCTAACCAGGGTCCTCTCACCCAGGTCCTCTGGCTTGAGGGGAAAGCATGCTAACCACTACCCTACAGGACTCCCGTCCAAAGTCTTAAATAGCTGCAATTTGACTGCTCTGCCAACCGGATTACATTTCTAGTTACAATTTATTCTTAGGATTACAAATAATGTAATGAATGCACAAATATATTTTAGGATTATTACTCCAGGTTTTAATTAATACAGATGCAGCATGCAAGTATTGAACTCATTACATTTGATAAATTATTAGATTATTAGTCTTTTATGAATGTTTATTCCAGTTTGGAACTAACCCGTTTTATTCCACTGCATTCTTCACCAAGGCATCCAAGAGCTTCTGATCTTTGACCAAAAAATTCTCCCAGGGACAGACGCAAGTAACTCTCATTACCTTGCATACAGCCTGATGCTGTTTGCGATGCTCTCAATATTGAGCACTTATTGGATGGAAGCTGCCATGAATTATCTCCATGAAAATCAGCATCCACGTCCATCTTATCTTCCTGTAGCGATTTAGCAAAAGTCAGAGCAATTATAAATGTCCCTTAACAAGTAAACAAAGAACAAGGTATGTAGACTACTTGGCTGACTATTGTAGAGCCCAGTTGGTTTGGGAGCATAATAATAATTTTATGATCCTTACATTTAATATCGTGCCTTATCACGTCATTGAGACAACTCAAAGCGATTCACAGAATATATTATAAAGTGAATTGACTGTATATTTTCTGGGCGAAATGCCGTAGCCAATTGCACACAGCAGTGTCCCACAAACAGTTGTGGATCGAGTTACGAAATTATTACTATTTGTTTTGAATGAATTATTACCCGGGAAAGCGATCCGCCAATTGACTAACAACTGGGTTCCTACTTACTGCTCGGTAAACAAGAGATGTGTGGAATAAGGAAACTTGCCTAAGGTTTCTCCCTGCCTGGGAATCAAACGCACGTCCACTCATTTGCGAGACGAGTGCTCTAACCAATACACAGGTAGCATATTTGTTGCACAGACAGACAATTACATTAATTTTGTTCCTTCAAATCAAGCTCTCCCCTTGTTGTGGGGCTACAGTGTATTGAGCATTGGAGAAAATTACAATATTTATAGCAAATTAAGTGGTTTTGACACTAAAATTGAGTTTCTATGGACAAAGAAAAGCCTACACCCATTCAGTTCATTATGTAGTGTATGGAGATTATGCAAACAAACTAACCACGTGGACAAAAACAATTAAAAACTGCAGACCATTTTTGTGCATCAGTTAAATAAAAAAATCTGTTTGTGCAATTATTTTAAAAGGGATGTGCAGTAATGGTTGATAGTCGGTGCTGAAACTGCCAACTTTCTTGCTACTGATCACACTACCAATAAGAGACTAAATAATAATAGTAGCTAATGGCCAAACATATCTGCCTTCTGCTACTGATCACATTGCCAATAATAGACTCATTTAGATGCTGTGGCTGATGACCAAACTTCAATGTGACAAACCAGTCAGCACATTGTAGCATCACAAATAATATGGCTAGAGGAAGCCAATTCAAAAATCAAACACACAAGCATAATCTTTGTTCATCAGATAGAGGTACACTTCTATAGCTAAAGGACTACAGATCTCAGCTCATTCAGTAATTAACAATGTAATTGAATAATATGGGTGAATATTAACAGTGTATAACATTTTAAATAAAAAAAGCAAATATGAATCTGTCAATTATGTCACTAACATTCCGAAAAATAAGTTTTGTGAACTAAATCAGAACACTTCAAAACTCTTCTCGCAAGTTTGAGAACACTTCAGTACCTGTTCACAAACTAACATCTTTTTCACTCCAACGCAGCCACCAGCAGAGTTGGACAGAAATAACTCCACTAATTAGAATACAGGGTTCATGTTGTACTTACATAGTTTGAAACATTTAGCGTCAAAGGTTAAGCTAAAAGAATCAAAACGAATAAGTACGTGGCAAAGCATGCTTGTCCATATAAACAGCTCATAAAACCTCTCAAACCTGAATAAACTTGTGTTCCTGCTCAAATATTTCCTGATCTTCTTTAAGCAATGCAACTGCTTGATCTGCATTAAAAAATATTAAAATAATTAAGGGCAGGTGACCAATTATGGTGCTTTTAACTTTGAACCAATCTTTTATTATACATTTAATCAGCAAAGTATTTGTAAACGTCTCTCTAGAATACAGAATCTAAGATTCTGCAGATTCACAGTAATCCTCTACATCAGGTAGAATCTTTACTTACTGCCAGCTATAAACTCCTCTTCTGGAATCTGTTGGGCTACATCAGAAGGCAGATTAAATTGCTCCTGTTCTTTATCCAGGGAATAGTAGTAAGCCAGGTCTGTTACCCAACTCCCTTCTTCGTTTTGGTAAACCACATCAGGACAACTCTCTTCTGGGGAAGGAAAATGTATAATACTTTCAAGCAAATATTAACATTCTTCTAGTCATGTAAAACAAAGAAATTCTACTTTAAGCATCCAACTCAACCCAAGATCCCACAAATACTTACAGTTTGCCTTCCAGACACTATACAAACATCTAATTCACATACTCAAATTATTGATAAAGCACAAAATACTCATTATTGAATTGGTTTCCATTAGAAAGTCTCTTAACTTTTAAAGTCATTTTTCGGTACTATATTTACCACTGTCATATCTGCCAGCAATCACTTCATTAGACTAGTTATTAAGAATCAGTGTGTACTTTGTACGCTATTATTATTATTATGTCAAAGATTTTTTAAAAATTGCTAGATTTTATGCTGCCTTGTTATATGTATAGGACCATTATGGGCCCATGCTAAAAACTGAAAGGACCTCCATTTCCACCCAGAACTCTTTATCCTGATCAGCTTTTCTTTTTACACAGAACATTACATCATGGAAACAGATCATTCAACCCAGCTAGTTTCTGCCTATAGAAATGAGTGGTGAATTTACTTTGAAAGACATTTAAAAAAAGACACTATTTCAATACTTAAGAATATATTTCTCTCCAGAGAATTATTCTGGAGTCTCAATGCTTTTCTAGATCTATTCCTCCACTGCAGATTATAATATAGTATAAGACACTTTGAGCATGTGAATCAACTATGAACTTTGTCTTAACTTCATGCAAATTCTGAAGGCAAGGGACGCTGTAACACAAAACAGTAAACTGGTTATAATTTAGATGCTGACAAAACAAATGGTCTTTCTCCACGACTGCCTCACATGCACTACACAGGTATCTGTTGTGACCAATTTGACCGATAGAACTCCAAAATAAATAGTCAGCTGTCTAGACTCAAATGATCACAAAGAACCATATTGAAAAAAACTCCAGAAATAGCCCTACTGCATACCTCATTCATAAAACATGAACACAAACAAAAAATGCTTAATGCTGAATATAAAATGGTTTAGAAACAACTTGGTGTTCATCCTAAAAGTAATACCCAAAGCTCAACACAATTCACACGTTTCACCCACAAATTATACAGTCAATTCACTTTACAGTATGTTCTGTGAAGCTCTTTGAGACATCTGCTAAGGCGCTATATCAAATGCAAGGATTATTATAATTAAAGATCTTTGCCTGCTACAGAAAGTTTTTGGGATGAACCAATTATATTCAGTCTCATTTCATTAGCAACTACTTAATTTCCAATTTACAGAAAAAAAAATCCAAGATTGAGATCCATATACACCTTTGCCTCCATTTTCCTGGTGAAAGCACCCAGAGTTCCAATCAGTATTCCGCTCAAACTGCCAGATATCAGTTGCACTTTCCTCAGGATGTATAGGTGATAAATAAGTAGCAGCGAGGGGTGCATCTAAAGTGGAATTTGGGGTTGGATCAGCATCATCTCTGTTCTCTTTAACAGATGTTTGACCTACTGTTGCATATCCACAAGGTCCATCTCTAAGTCCCAAGTTATCACCATCGCTTGGTGAACAGGCAAGCTGAGAAAATTGAAAAGGGCTATCTTGAACAGAAACTAATTGGTCAGTTGTAATATTGCCGCTGGCAGGGCCAAAGTACACAGAATCTAGCTTCATTTCCTCAAGCCCACGACTATCCATTGCATCCTGTAAAGTAAGTACAAAAATAATAGATAAAGCGATAGTTAGAAAATGATAAAGCTAATTAAATAATTAAATTATATAAATAATTATATAGCCCTCCATATAGGATGTCTTGTAAACCGTAAATTCAAATCCAGCCCAAGTTGATGAGCTAAGTTTATCCTCTCTCTGATGGTTTGCGTTTGAGCAGCCAATACGTTTCTCCTGACCATAGTCCATCTCAACAAATGACACATATATAGCGTCTTTCATGTTGGAATGACGTCCCAGGGCACTGCAGTCAGGGTTTTTTGGACCCGAGCTGGGACTAAAGCGCCTTTCATGTATGCCCGACATGAAAGGTGCTTTACAAATGTAATTTTGTTGTTGTTTTTGGACCCAAGCTGGGAGTTGGGCTCAGGAGGGGTGGTGATGGGAGGGTGGCCGAAGGCACGGTCGAGGAGGAAGGTCTTTTGACGGAACTTGAAGAAGGCAAGAGAGGGGGTGAGGCGGAGGGACTGCAGGATAGAGTTCCAGAGCGTGGGGGCAGATGTGCTGAATGCCTGACATTCAAGGTGAGAAGAGGATTTTGTACTTGAATCTCTGAGGGATGGGGAGCCAGTTAAGCCGGGCAAGAACAGGAGTGATAAGCTTGCGGAGCCTGGTGCAGGAGAGGGCACCAGCTGCAGTTTTCAATAATTTTTAGCTTGTGGCGAGAAGAGTTGAGAAGTCCAGCAAGCAGGTAGTTGGCATAGTCAAGCCAGGATCATAATGAAAGCGTGGATCAGGGTCTCGGTGGGCTGCGGTGATAGGCAGTGACGGAGGCGGGGAATGTTGCGCAGGCGGTGAACAGATTGGAGGGGTTCAAAGAGGGAATGCCGGAAGAGGAAAGAGCAAAGCGATGACTCGTTCCATGACCTTGGAAAGAAAAGGAAGATTTGAAATGGGATGGTAGTTGGAGAGCAGAGATGGGTTAAGGGAAGGTTTTTTTTGAGGGTCGGGGTGATGATGGCTGCCATTAGGAAGATGGGTACTCTGTCACAATTCAGCACTAAATTGATAGGCTCTCTCAGATGACTCCACCATACACAAAAACATTCACAAAGGTGAAGTATGAGGAGTGATTCTATAGAGATTGTGATTAATATTCTGGTGTGAATCTTAATCACATGTTAAACAACAATAAAATTACATCTGTAAAGCGCCTTTCATGTCAGGAGGACGCCCCGATGTGAAAGAACATGAGACGTGACAGAACGTCTCATTAGAACCTTCCCGTTGAAGGTTTTAATGAGAATAGCCATTTGGCCCATCAAGCCCATTCCTTAAATCCATTTCTGCACCATAAATGTTTTCCAATTCCCTCTTGAATTGCTGAACCAAGCTGTATCCTGTAGTACTGATGTGCTGCAGATATTTATCTGGCTCTTTTGAGGCCAAATACCAAGTCCATCTCAGTATTATGGCACAAAGTGGTTTAAACCGCATAGCACAAATGGATTTAGTTATCTCATGCAGAAATTAAATTGTAAAGCTATTTGTCTTTGACCTTGAACTTTACTTACTAAAACTTCCTGACGATGAGTGGTTGACATTGATACAACAGTGCCAGAAATAAATTCACTGACTTCTCCATTCCCTACTGGACCTAAACGGCTCCCTGTCTAAAGAAAAAAAATATTAACACCATGGGAAGTACTGTAAATCAGTAATATATATGTATTCACTTTACAACAACAAATACTTGCATTTATTTAGCACCCTTGCAGGGTGGAACGGAGGGGACGAGGGACAAACAGGAGGCCGGAGCCAGCAGGTGGGGCAGTGGGGGTAAGCAGATCAGATAGGTAGGGAGGTGCCAGGGCATGAAGGGATTTGAAAACGAGTGAGAGGATCTTGAAATCGAACTTTAAATCAAACCTGTGATGCAAAGAAATCATGGGGATGGGGGAGGGAAAGGAAGGAAGAAGAAAACAAGTCCTCTTTATGCACTTTTGTACCTCATTTTGACCATGAAGCAACTCTTTGCTCCCTTGTAATGGAAGTGGATTGGGTCCTTGGTCTTCTCCAGCTACATTTCTACCTCCTATTCCAGGGCTTTGCAAATCATCGTGAGCACTGGAAAGGATAGTTGAGGTATTGTTGTCGTCTTCTTCTCCGGCTACATTTCTTCCCGCTATTCCAAGGCCCCAAGGATCATCATATGTTGTAGAACCGGAAGGAACAGTTGCCACACCACCACCATTTCCATCGTCTTCACTTCCACTACTACCATCCCCTGCACCACCTCCATCACCTAAACAATAAGGCACATTTATTAGCCCAGACGTTAAAATTATGTACATTTGTGGTCATTTTTAAAAAAAATACATTATATAGGTTTAAATATTTAATGTCAAGAGGACGTCTGAAAACACTTTACACAGATAACTGGGCGACAGGACTTGATGGGGGGGTGCACAGGAGTGTAGTTCAAGTACCAGTAGTTCATGTAAATCAGAACTTCTGTTGAGTCTGTCTTGGCAGGCAATTATAATTCACAATGACCTTCCCAAGAGTCATCCATGACAATTCCTTGTGGTTTGGCTTGTCTTTTAAAAACTTACCAGCCCCTCAGCCCCCATGCTAATTAGTCCTGTGCCATCACTGCAAGATTTTTTTTGAGAAACCTAAATAGGTAAATAAGTCTTTGGATAGTGAGCCATTAGAGCATGACCAGAGAATTCTCTGCAATGGAAGAAGCAGCAATTTCTTCCTGAACAAGAGACACTTCCATCTTCCACGTGAATAACCACCTGTTGAGATACTCCATTGAACCAATTAAATCTCAAGGCTATAGCATCTCTGAAGTCAATTTCTACCAGTATATTCCAAAAAGTCTATTCCAAAAAGGCAAACAGATCGAATAATAATCCTTGCATTTCATATAGCGCTTTTCATGTCTTCTAGACGTCTCAAAGTGCTTCACAGAATATACTGTAAAGTGAATTGACTGTATAGTTGTGGGCAAAACACAGCAGCCAATTGCACACAGCAGTGACCCACAAGCAGTTGTGGATTGAGTGACCAAATTGTTATTGCTTTTGTTTCTTGAGGGATTATTATTAGGAGTGTAGGGTCAGGAAACTTGCCCAAGGTTGGGGATCGAACCCAGGTCTCTCGCTTGCAAGGCGAGTGCTCTAACCACTGAATAGCCAGAAAGAGTGTTAGCTGATATCTATAACAGAAACAAGAATGATACAATCCTTATCATGCCAGGAAACTATCTCCAATTAGAATATAGCACATGCATTACAATAGTTAATCTCAAGACTTGAAGATTTTTCAAGAACACCCCACAAAGTCTTCAAAGCAAACTACCCATTCATTAATTCATTCACTTCAAGGTGTTCAACCAAATTGGTAAAAGGTTGTTTAAAAACAAAACTCAGAAAACATGTTTTTAAAATCACTCAAGTGTTAAAATGGGAAAGGTGCTGCTGTCGGTAAAGAAGAGTGAGAAAAATAACTGCAATTTATTTGAAAAATTAACATTCTAGGGGTAGACGAGCAACATCATTCCATTTGAGTCCTAAAAGCATTTCCTTTCCACTTTCTCCCTCATCCGAATATTTTGGTTGACTAATGCTATTTACCCAGAGATTGAATAATCCTTGCAATTGATATAGTGCCTTATCACATTGTCAAGACGCCTCAAAGTCCTTCACAGAATATACTATAAAGTGAATGAACTGTACAATTTGCGAAATGCAGTAAAAGTTAGAAAGGATTGTTGCCCTTCAAAATTAAAACAACCAAAATGACATTGACAAAATAGATTTACCTACAACAGGCGAATTAATGACTTGACCCTCTGCCGATCTTCGAAATTCAAGTCCGTTGTTTTCATCTTCTGCTTCAGTGGATTCATCAGAGCTCCCACCTTCCAACCAAGGCCTGAAGCTGCTTCTCTCACCAAGCTAGATAGCAGAATGAACAAGAACATAAATAGGTTAATGATTGGTTCTCAAGTCAATGGGTAAAATGCAGTAGTTTTGGTACAATTTGGCCTGTACACTTCTGGACTGGCACTCCCATTCCCCATTGGCATTTAATGACCATTTCAAAATGTGATGACAGGATCAGCAAAATTGCAATTCCTCCTCTGGTTAAACAGCCTGCAAAAAACTTCAAGGGTTACAAATGAATAATGACAACCTGAGCAAAGAAAGTAACTGACCCATAGAATTGCAACCTTATCAATTGAAAAATGAATCAAATGCCTTACAGTGCACTGGGTAGAAATCTATTGAAGAAGCAACTTTATATGAACAGAATGCATATAGGGAAAACAGTTTACAGTTTACAAAAAAATTCTGTGAAGAACTTTGAGATCATCTCCCAGCGTAAAAGATGCTACATCAAATGCAAAAATAATTACTATTATTTCACTGATATAGGGTTTAAAAATTGAACCTTAAAATATGACGTCAACGATATGCTTAAGTTCCAAAAGCACCAAATGCCTGGACCAAGCACTCTGGGACGCTGCCCTGCGTGATGGGTGTTATATAAATCCAAGTTGTTGTTGGACTAAATGCTCCATTATCTTTGAAATACAACAGGTTTAAATTTACTTGCATCAAATTTCTTATGAGAAATTTAGCTTCACATGCATGTGGAGTCCTGTAGCTCAGTGGTTAGAGCACTCGCTTTGCAAGTGAGAGACCCGAGTTCAATTCCAGGCAGAGGGCGAAACCTTGGGCAAGTTCCCTTACTCCACACAGAGCCTAATAATAATCCCTCCAAAACCAAAAAAATAATAAATTGGTCATTTTCAATCTACAACTGTTTGTGGGACATTGCTGTGCGCAATTGACTGCCGCGTTCGCCCACAAATATACAGTCAATTCACTTTACAGTGTGTTCTGTGAAGCGCTTTGGGACGTCCTCCCGACGTGAAAAGCGCTATATCAAATGCAAGGATTATTATTATTATTATTATATGTGATCCTAAATTGATAGGGTATTAAAATTAGTGCTGAAATCTACAGTTTGCTAGGTTTGTTTGTTCTGACACATGCAGAAACCCCTTACCATCCAAACTGAGAATTCCATGCATCCCACCTACACATGAAAATTCCAGAGATAGATTGTTGTTGCACTCTCTCTCCATAGATGAACTCACCCAGTTTTTTACCTAATTCTGGAAAGTATTAGGCGCAGGTTGGCAAGAGTCAAGGCTTGGGGACCCCTGAGTGTACGTTGAGGTACTGCTGGAGTCTAACCAGCTAAAGCTCATAAACTGCCATAACTTGACTGTCTAGCAAGCTTTCCTGCCGCTTGTCCAGTTAGAGCTTTGGCTTGCATATGATTGTTAACAAAGCTGAGTGGGATGATTCCCAGCCCCCAGTGACTGGTAGCTCTATCACATCTTATGCCAATATCTTAAACAGTAGGCACCTTTAAAAGTGTAATATAACATACATACCAATTGTCTTGTTGCACTTGACACAAATTGTCTGTAAGAGGGACCCTGGTTTTGGACAGCTTCCAATTCATCTTCTGTATTCTCACCACTGGTTGGAGCAGAATCCATTCCAGTGGCTGCAAGTCGAACTGGAGGCATCTGAAAGTTGGCATGATCCTATAGCATTGAAAAATACCTTGTAATGAACAGCAGATTTTAATATAAAAATGAATTCATAATCCTTGTATTTGATACACCAGTAATTCTTTTGTCCGTGAAGTGCAGCAATTATGTATTCATATGCAAATATGCAGCCAATTTGCACATTGTGTCTCTCCATGTAGAGAATGACTTTTTAAATCTGGAGGATTATACAAAATTTACATTTAGATAGTGCCTTTCATATCAGCAGGATGTCTGAAGGTGCTGAATCAGTCTAGGGTTTGCACCTGAGGTGGGAATGGAAGGAAACAAACAAAAGCGTGGTCAAAGAGAAAGGGCCTTGAGGCAGACTTTCATGGAGGCGAGGAACAGACAAATTAAGGGGACAGAGTTCCAGAGACGGGAAGATTAACCAAAAACCTGACTGCCAATAGTGGAGTGGTAGGGGGAGTGAAGCAGGCTCGTGCCCGCTGAGTTGAGGGAACAGTCATAACTGTAATTTGATGAGGTCCCAGGGGTAGTGTGGGGCAAGACCATTAGGATTTAAAGATTAGGACAAGGATCTGCTGGGGGATGGAGAACCAGTCAAAATACACACAATTGTGAAATCACTTTAAAAAAGGTACATAGCTATAGTGTATTTTTGGTAAAACAAATGAAGATTTTACTTGTAGTAATATTATATTTGATGATTCCAGATAAAATGGCAGTGACAACACTTCGGTGTCAGCGCTCGTGCTACTCTTGCCCATGAAACCCCCGGTTCGGGGCCAGACTCTGCCACTGTCAAGCGCTCTGAGATGCTACCCCTCATGAAGGGTGCTATATAAATGCAATCAGAAGGTTGTGTGTTCAAATCCCACACCGGGACTTGAACTCACGTTGTTTACAATGCAACTCCAATGTAGTGCTGGAGGTATGTTGCATTGTAGGAGTGCCTTCCTTTGGATGAGACATTAAACCGAGGTCCCATCTGCCCGCTCAGGTAGATATTAAAGATCCCATGGCAATATTCAAAATAAATTGGTCATTTGTTGTTTGTGGGCCATTGCTGTGTACAATTGTGCTGCTGTGTTTGCCTACAAATACACTCACTCCATTTCATAGTAAATCCAGTGAAGCGCTTTGGGACATCCTTCTGATGTGACTAGGCGCTATACCAAATGCAAGAATTAGCAGCCAACAATTGGTTATAGCAACTCCTGTTGTTTCAGATGGTATTATCTGGCTCCATTACAACTGGATACCTGTGCGGTGTTGTCTTCAGGGAGTTCTTCCCCTTCAATATGACCCCTCTGCATTCCCGGAGGTACTAGCTGTTTGAAGTAAGATTCCAGTCTATCATCATAAAGCTCCTCTGCATCAAGGTCATCATCTGTTTATGTTAAAACAATGAAGTGTTGCATTTTAAAATGTTGCTCGAGTCAAAAAAATTGTGCTCAACAAATTTAAAATATGAGCCACAGAAAGAATCTTAAAATAATTAAATATTTACAAGCTTTAGTTTAAAACAATTTTTTGTATTTATTAATCCCACTGAACTGAAATATGTGCACTTCTGATGCACAAAATTGCACTTTAAAAACATTCAAATGCCTATTGGTTTCATTCACAGGCCAGGTTTCACCCACCAGCAAACATCTCAACAGCCCACAGTTTATCATTTACTACAGTGGTCCTCCTCCTCCTTCAGAACATTGTCTGCTTACTCCTCTAACTCACCACCAATGCTGCTATAATTCATCATCTCAAGGAGACATTTCACTTATGCTCTTCACAGATTCCATCTTGCCCAACTTCATAAAGAACTCTGTGCCTGGATTCCTCTTCCACACTCAGTCCTGTGACTACTCTGGTGCTTACCAAGTTCTACTTCTCCCTAGGAGAGGATAGTTTTCAAGATCCAAATCACTCTACACTATTTGGGATGTCTTCTCCTCCTGTTTTAAAGCCTAGACTGCAGTCAGAGAACAGGGTTCAGCCACTAGTAGTTCAGTCCCTGCCTCTAGAGCTTACATTGGTTTCCCACATGATCTCCTCCAACACCACTGATTGCCAAGCCATAATCCTCTGTTTGAGCAGATACTTTAAGAACCAAATCATAATAGTCCTTGATTTGATATAGCGCTTTTCACATCTTCTAGACATCTCAAAGCACTTCACAGAATACAAAGTGAATTGAATGTTTATTTGTGGGAGAATCGCAGCAGCCAATTTCGCACAGCAGTGTCCCACAATTAGTCGTGGATTGGGTGACCAATTTTTTTTTGAGGGATTATTATCCCTGGAAAAGCGATCCGCCAATGGACTAACAACCAGATTCCTACTTACAGCTAGGTAAACAGAGGCTCGTGAAGTAAGGAAACATTTTGCCCTGTCCAGGAATGGAACCCAAGGCTCTCGCTTGCGAGGCAAGTGCTCTAACCACTGAGCTATAGGACTCCATGTCATGAAATTATTACACTCTTTAAACTGTCTTCTCCAATCTCATTCAATTTGAAATTCCATTCCCAGTGTCCTGGCCAATTATCCCACAAATAAAACAAATTGGTCACTCACTTCATGGCTGTCCACAAATTGGATGCCATGTTTACCACAAATACACTTTCTACGCTTTACAGTAAAATGCTATGAAGCACTTTGAAACAGCTCAATGACACAACAACAAGAAAAAATTACATTTTAAAAGCGCCTTTCATGTCAGGAGCACGTCCCAAGGTGCTGGAATAAGGCGCTGCAAATGCAAGTATTAATATTAATCTTAAATGTTCACCTACAAAGCAGGCTAACACCGTATTCTGCTCGCTATTCGTTTCCAAAATCCCTTTCTCTACTTTCAAGAAGCTCCTAAGGATCAATCTCTCCACCATATTTGAACATCTAAATCCCTTCAATTTCTAGATCAAAGGCCATCACAAGTGCTTCATTAAGATGCTTTTCAATGGGTAAGAATTAAGTTAAGTTTTTTTTAAGAAGTCAAATAGAAGACAGGTTTGTACCATTACAAACATTTTATCACACCTGTACTTAGCTACAACACCTCAAATCTTTGAGTTAGGATAAGAATATTGTGACAATTTACCTGTAGAATCGTCTTCCAAACTCGCCAGTGACAACAGTTTTTCATCTTCTAATAAACTAGTCAGGCTTTCATTTGGGGGTTTTGCGCTCAAATTCTTGTTGGTTACATTTTCAGCAGGGCATGCCGCAGGTTCCTTGGTGAAGCCAATCTATTGGGTTTCCAAGCAAGCCATTGAAATTCAGGGAAACAAATTTATAAGTGGTCCCAACAAATACACAACAAAATTAGGCTATCATTAAACTACCTGTTCAGTTTAAGCATGATCAACAGAAAAGATAAATATTTTTCCAGTTGTGGCAAAAAAAATTATAGAAAGTAATCATCAAAGATAAACATATATTTTACTATCATGTTTACCAAAGCAACTCATTTTATTCTATCTCAGCACAGTCTCGATGGGCCGAACGGTCTCCTTCTGTGCTTGTAATATTCTATGATTATTGATAAATCCAGGTTTTTTTTAAAACGACCATGTCAGTAAAAAAAACTTAGGAATGTTTGAGGAAGCAGTGAATGTTCAAATGTTCTCTTATCGCTCTTAATACTATAAAGTAAATATTACTATATTAAACAACGCATTTAAAATATCAGACATCCTGTTTCTAGTCAACCAAGTTACAGGAGGCAGCAGCATTCATTGTTCTGGCACACAGCTAGCCTAGCAGCTTGGACGATATTGATCTACGTCCCTGGCTTTGTCAGTACAAAAATAGGAAAATAGGTTAAATTTATCCTTGGTTATACCACATTTGAAGTTATACCACAGTTCTGGCTGCCACATTATAGGAATGATTTTGTAAGTACTGGAGATAACAGTATTGATTTACAAGGATGCTATCAGAGAGGAGTATAAAGCTATAAAGAAAGATTGGATAGGTTGGAGCTTTTCTCAAAATGAAAACTGAGGGGACCTGACAGAGATGTTTTATAGATGCTCACACTTTTCAAATCCCTCTGTACCTCTCCGACCTGCTTATCACCCCAACCTCCAACCCGCTGCCTCTGCTCGACTTGGCCTGGGCTACTGCACGACCCTCTTGCCCTCCATTCCACTATTGGTAGTCGCGCTTTCAGCTACTATATCCTGAAACTCTGGAACACTCTTCCACTATCCCTCCACCTTGCCCCCTCCTTCCCCATCTTCAGACTGTGGCTGAAGACCTTCCTATTCGACCGTGACTGCCACCACCTCCCCCGTCTCCCGGCGATGGCCACTGTCAGGCACTCTGGGATTCTACATGACGGGTGCTATATAAATGCAAGTTTTTGCTGTGATTACAAAAGTATTTGCTAAGATGAACACTGATGAGCTATTTTCACTTTGTTCCAAAACGAGAGGTCATAAATAAGATAGTGAGCAGTAAATCTAACAAATCAATAATAAATCATGAGAACGTGGAATTCACTGCCGAAAACTGTGGTTGAAGCAAAAGGTGTCAATGTATTTAAGAGAATAACTTGATGCATACGTGAGGGAAGAGGTAATAGAGGGGTATCGAAGAGGGGAATAGGTAGGCAGTGAATATTTACAGGACTCATACAGTTCAGTGTGCACATTTGTTTCATAACATGCAGTTCACTCAAAAATATAGAAAGGTTCAAGCATGTTCTCACTTTCAAGTTAGTCACACTTATAACCACAAGTTTATTTTCCTTGTACTTTTGCCAGTTTCAATTTTACAGACTTAATCCAACCTTGATGCAAATATCAAATGCAAGGATTATAATGTAACTATATACACAAGAAAGTCAATACAAAGAAAGACTCAGTAGATGATTGATAAACAATTACATAGTTACCAATATATACACAAACACCATCCATTAAGTAATTTCTGCAAAATTTAATTATGATTTCAAAAATGTTTGGTCACAGTAATTTACAAACTATGAACATTTTTTTTTAAAAAATCTATAACTGAATCATTAACTTTAAGAAGTTACTTTTCAGCTTCAAATACCTTATTATTTTGATTTCCTGATTCTATTGGAAAAGTATTCAACCCAGAAGAAAAATCTGTAAAAATACAATTTCAATGAACAAGTCATTATGGTGTCTTTCACATAAAATAAACGTTTTGTGCTTTACACAGCCAAAGCAAGAAATGACGTTAACCTAACAACCTGGAAATCAGACATTTGTGTGAAAATCCAGCTGGTGCATAGGAAGCAAGTGGAGCAACTGTGGACCAGTGCAGTCCACAATCCCACAGCATTGCAAGTGAATTCACCCGAGAGTGAAGTATGTTAGAATTTGCACTGTATTAGGCGACGTATTAGGGACTGGACTATGAGGAGCGACAAGTAAATTGAGCATGTTCACACTGGAAAAGAGAAGACTGAGAGGAGATATGATTGCTGTTTTTAAGATTCTAAAGAGGCTAGTAGGTCATGACAGGCTGTTTCAACTAGTCCAGAATAGTAAGTCCAGAGGACACTGCCTGCAATTGAAGGGGGTAAATTCAGAACAAAATCAATGGAAACACTATTTCAGTGAGCGAATAGTAAACCTGTGGAACAGACTACCTAGCGAGACGGTTGAAGCAAGAAATATTGATTCATTCAAATGCAGATTGGAATTTTAGAAATATCATTTAGGAAATTAACATTATGGGATATAGTACATAGGTAGTATGGGACATATGTGCATGCGACAGCCAGGAAGGTGGAAGATGAACTAGATGGCCCTGTCTTTTTTTCATCTAGCATTTATGTTCTTATGGCCACAACATGTCAAAGCATGCCATTCTGGCTGCAGGTCTTTCAATAATCCTAATTTAAAATATAGCTCCATAGAAAGGGGAAAGGAAAAAAAATGGGGGTGCAAGATGCAATCCAAAGAGGCTAAGCGAAGTTCAACTATTCAAATCTTGCAGTAAGAGAAATGTAAAATGTTCAATATAAAAGCTTACATTTGAAGAACGCAAGTTAGTAATTAAGACAATGTGATCCAATAATTCTCAATGAGAACTAAAACGGGATAATATGGGATAGGAGCACTAGGAATAGATTTCCATAATGCATCAATACGTACTTTTACCAATTCTTGAATGAGAAAATATGTACAATATTTTCAAGTATTTATACATAGGAACAAACTGTATGGTCAATCTCTTCAGTGAAGAAATCTTGTAGCTTAAACAAATGACAACAAATTGCGATTATATAGCACCTTTCATGTCGGTGGATGTCCCAAGGCACTGGACTCATCTGGTGGTTTCTAGCTTTTTCCTGCATGAACTTTACACACAAGAAATGTGGTTCACAAACAAGATTGCCAATACGCAGCCAAATATTTATCAGTGATTACTTATAAACAGCAACAACAACAAAATTATGTTTGTGTACAAACATCAAATTACAAGAATATTCTCTTCAATTGGGCAATCCAATTTTGAATGCAGTGAATGGACTTCAGCAGTTTCTTTGTATTTGTACAGTACCTCTCGGCTGAACTACTCTAACGCCCTCCTTGCCAGTTTCCCATCCACCACCATCCATAAAATCCAAATCACCCAAAACTCTGCCACCCACGTTCTCACCCGCACCGAACTACATTCCCCAATTAACCCAGTCCTCGCCAGACTGCTCTGGCTGCCTATCCCAGAGAGAATCGATTTCAAGATCCTCACCCCTGTATTCAAGTCCTCTGCACCCCCGACCTCTCTGACCTCCCCTCTCCTCAAAACAGCACCCGTTGCTTTCGATCCTCCGGGTCCGACCTCTTCCTCGTCCCCCAAGTCCTCCGCTCCACCCTCGGCGGCCGTACTTTCAGCCACTATGCCCCAAGGCTCTGGAACTCCCTTCCTCACTCCCTTTCCTTCCTACTTTCAGGTCCCTTCTGAAGACCTTTCTTTTCGATCGCGCCTTTGGTCACCTTCCTCCCCCTCCCCCTGGCTCGGCCCCAGGATTCCTTACTGTGAAGCGCTCTGAGATGCCATCTGGCATGGAGGGTGCTAGATAAATCCAAGTTGTTGTAGTAGTACTTTGACCCAATATTTTATCCAGTTGACGATCATTCAGAATATTATATATACATACCATCCAGATTTTCAGACAATCCAAGTGAGCCCTTTTTTTTGTTTTGTCTTAATGATTCGTGTTGTGCACTTTCTTCTGAGGGAGGTGAACCAGATTCTTCTATGTTCATTTTCAAAATCATGTCAGAAACACAGTGAGCACCAAAGTCATCACCATCTCTATAAACAAGAGAAACAGGTTTACATAATAATCCTTGCGTTTGATATAGCGGCTGATCATGTCTTCCAGACGTCTCAAAACACTTTACAGAATATATTTAAAGTGAATTGACTGTATATTTTGTGGACAAAACGCAGCAGCCAATTGCGCACAGCAGTGTCCAACAAACAGTTGTGGAGTGAGTGACCAAATTTTTTTTTTAAAAAAGGAGGGATTATTATCCCCGTAAAAGCGACTAACAACTGGTTTCCTACTTGCTGCTAGGTAAACAGAGGCGTGTGGAGTAAGAAAACTTACCAACATTTCGCCCTGCCGGGAATCAAACCCAGGTCCTCTCGCTTGCAAGGCGAGTGCTCTAAACCACTAAGCTACAGGACTCCACGACATAGCATCAAACCAAGATGTTTTAAAAACAAACCTGCTTATTAGAAGAATGCAATTAGCCATCACCTTGTTTTAAGCATTATTAATTGTTAGTCACTATATTTCACCTTGCTCATAGCTCCCTTCATGTCCACCATTGCTTTCAGAATGAGGGAAAATTCCCACCAAAAGGTCTATCATTATTATTAGTCAGCCAGTATGAAGAAATACCCTCTCCTATAATGAAGTGTTTACTTCTTGCATTTTGGAATTAGAAAGAAGGCAAATTAAAGTTCATTTTAAAAAGTGTCAAAGCACAGCAGGGTACATACAAAAAAACTCACAAGTCTGATCTGAAAAATTATATATTCACCCAAGTCGTACATCAGCCCAAGTCCTGTTCAAAAGTTTATATTCTATGCAAGTTTGACACAACTCACACTTTGCATAAGTCATTAATTGTATGGTTCCAACTAGAATGATTTATGTGAAGGTTACTGTATACATTATGTCAGAGTGATGAAATCAAGAAACAAGAACAGTGAATCATGGATGACAAAGGACATGAAGAATAATGTCATAATGAGGAGCAGTCAACCCAAGCCAATTTTATGTTCCTAGCATATGGTTAAAACAACAAAGAAGATTAAGTGCATTCATTTTTATTGTGGCTACTTGTCGTAGTGAGAGCACAAGGTTGTTTGTTCCACAAGTAAACAGCTACATGAGGATTCCCCCCAACCTCCCACCGGGCAGAAGAGAAATGAGGAAGGAATTTTCATATAAATGCCAAGACCCTATATACTCAGTCAGGCATGCACTGCAAAATGCATCATATAACTTGTATGGCTGGAGATTATCAACAACAACAAAATTACATTTGTATAGCGCCTTTCACGTCGGGACAATGTCCCAAGACGCCGGACAATCAGAGTTTCGGACCCAAGTTGGGGGTCGGGCAGGATGCCGAAGTTCCTTTTTGACTCCGTGAGATGAAGAATGCATCCATGGAGGGAGATGCTACCAACGCCTGAGGTATGGAAGCGCCGACAGGAGCCAAGCAGGAGGGCCTCAGTCTTGTTGACATTCAACTGCAGGAAGTTAGCTCTCATATCAGTTACAGAATGGTTGGCAGTCCCTAATGCATTTTTGTACCGTTTTTAATAGTCAAAATCATCAGTATTATGGATTCATCCCAGAGATATACTTAGGGCACTGGCTTTAAACCAGTGCCTATGTGAAGCAAACAGTCAGAAGGTCCCACATTGGCCGGCCGGCCCGTCCGTAATTTATTTATCTATTATCTGATATATATTAGCTCCCTCTGCTCAGCGTGCTCTAGTCTGCTTCACATCTCCCGCCTCGGCCGCTCCACCATTGGTGGGCGAGCGTTCAGCCACTCTGCCCCCACCCTCTGGAACTCCATCCCGCAGTCCCTCTGCCTCACTCCCTCCCTCCCTTTCCTCCTTCAAAACCCATCTCTTTGACCGTGCTTTCGATCACCCTCCTTCCCTCCTGCCTCCATGATCCCGACCCCTAGCTCGGGTCCGAAGCACGGACTCTCCGTGAGACAGTCCTCCCGACATTTGTGCTATACAAATGTAATTTTTGTTGTTATTTCAGACAAAGTAGCACTATGAATAGTACAGTTAGCCTCAGAGCCCTTACAGAGGGGAGGAAAAGAAACACACAAATACTTACAGTTCATCCTTAAAACTAAGGGCAAATTTTTTACAGGTTTCTGAATTAGAAACGTTAGATGGAAGAATCTGCCCCGTGGACAATCTTCCTTCTTCCAGGTATGAAGCTTGAGCATCTGGAATTCTGCAAGCAATTTGATGAAATATTTTGTTATCAATACTTAAACTTTATGTATTAAAAACAATCTTTACAGATACTACTCTCACCCAAATGTACTTGTAGTACATGTTAAAAGATTGCATAAATCAAGAGAACTAAGCTAAATTATGGCATTACCTAACCTAAAGGTTAGTTTACAGTTTTAACTGCAAAAATACATTGCTATGATAAACTTCCATTTTCTAATTGCTGCCATTCATACGTTTGTCACAATATGATGACATAAATAGTTGACTAAAGAGGATATCCATCAATATTTCTCAAGATGCAAATTGTTCAAAAGAGCATTTTGTGCTTAACATGTGCGAACACAAATAGAAGAGAACCCAATTATAAGGCAGTAGTTGGGGCCCGCAAAATTCAAACCTGCCGTATAACGGGTACGATCAACGGACACCAGTTCTTCTGCATTATGACATCTGTAACGTGACCAGTCATATCTTTATAAAATCACTGGTTAGGCCTCAGCTACAGTACTGTAGTCAGTTCTGGGCCCCACACTTTAGGAAGGATGTCAAGGCAATGGGGAGATTGCAAAGGAGATTTACCAGAATGGTACCAGGAATGAGGGATATAGTTATCAGGAGAGGCGAGAGAAGCCGGGATTATTCTCCTTAGAGCAGAGGAGGTTAAGAGGAGACTTAATACAAGTTTTCAAAATTTTGAGGGGATTCGATAGGGTGAACAAGGGAAATTACTTTCACTGGCGGGTGGGTTGGTAACCCGAGGACACTGATTTAAAATAGTAGTTAAAAGAAACAGAGGAGGCGATGAGAAATTTTTTCAAAAAGCAATGTGTTTGGATCTGGAATGCATTAACAATAATCACTGCATTTGATATAACACTTTTCAGGTCTTCTAGACATCTCAAATTGCTTCACAGAAATGCTGTAAAGTGAATTGACTGTATATTGGTGGGCGAATCGTGGCAACAGCAGTGTCCCGCAAACAGTTGTGGATTGAAAATGACCAATTTTTTTTTTTTTGGAGGGATTATTATTAGGCGTGAGAAGTAAGGAAACTTGCCCAAAATTTCGCCCTGCTGGGAATTGAACCTGGGTGTCTCGCTTGCAAGGCGACTGCTCTAACCACTGAGCTACAGGACTCCACAGGACACCCTTTCATTGCCTGAAATGGTGGTGGAAGCCAATTCGATAACTTTTAAGAGAGTAGATAATTATTTGGTCAGGACAAGTTTGCAGGGCTATGGGGAGAGCGTGGGGGAGTGGGATTGATTTGGATAGCTCTTTTCAAAGAGCCGGCACAGACACGATAGGCCGAATGGCCTCCTTCTGTGCTGTATAATTCTATGATCACTGCACATGCCACAGAAAGCCAACTAGCTCCATTGGCACATATTGCGCTAAATTGCCTGGTCACACTTCAAACCGAATCATGTTTCATTCATTTAGTCAAACCATTGCAAATCAAAAACAAATGTGCAAGCTTATGTCAACACCTCACCTGTCGTCTGGGCCAGATTTAGTTCTAGCAACTGTTGATGCAGCAATGGGCAGTCCAAGATTCGAGTGAAGAGACACATTTTCTAGTATTGGACTGATATTGCTCCCTACAGACTGCAACAGAAAGCTTGGAAAAGTTTCATCCTCCAAATTTCTGATATTTTCTGTCATTTTGTAAGCATCTGAGCTTCTTCACCTGCAAAAGATTAATAATAAAATAATCCTTGGATTTGATATAGTATCTTTCGCATCATAAGTACATCTCAAAGCACTTCACAAACTTTACTATAATGTGCAGTGACTGCATTTTTAAGCCAATGATTAAAATGTTTACTTTGTTTAAAAAATATATAAATGCAATTAAATAGTATACAATATTTATTTCAATAGGCAAGCAGCTTCCTTGTGAACATAAATTGACAAAATACAATTAGCTGTCAAATCAGTTTGAAAGTCATGCTGAAAACATTTAAGAGTGGTAGCTATGTAACATCTCAAGTTTATTTAAAATCGTTTACGTTCTGATTCTTTGAATTTACAAAGTCTTTGTTGTATAGTGACTGTAGTTTCTTGGCAAATGTGACAGCCAATATTCACACAGCAACAGTGCACAGATAACCATAAAATCTGTGATTTTTATGTACGACCAATTTTATCTGGTGGATTGTTGGCCAGGTTACCAGGAGAAAAACTCTTCTCTGTTTTAATAATGCCATGAACATGTCATGTCTTCCTGAACAAGCAGACACTACCTCGGTTTAATATCTCAAAATAAAGATAGCAGCTCCAACACTGCATACAAACCAGATGAGACTTCTATGTAATCTACCTACACGTTGAAATTTCCAAGTCAAGAATGAAAAGCCACACCATGTCCCAGAGACATGCACCGTATTTATCTAATTACGAGATCATTAGACACAGATTGGCGAGAGCCAAGATCCCAGAGTGTGTATTGGGGTGTGCTGCTGGAGTTTAACTATTTAAACATTGGTTTGCAGGTCAGTGAGCTCAAAATCCTTTCCAACCCACAATCTTTCTCGACTAAGAGCGTTACCTACTGCACGCCAGGCGGACGCCTAAATTTCTTTCAATGGACGAACACCCACAATCTGTATAAAAGAAATCGTAGCTTAACCGTGAGTCGATTCCTGTGGTTCCCAAAAGCACTAATCTCGCCAAGTCTACCCACTGCGACTCGGTGTAACTCGGAGACAAACGGGTTAATTAAACCCTACCACTTGCCATGTTAAAAGTACACACGGTTTCGGCGTTGAGGGAGATGAGGGGGGGGAAGGCAATCCCGTGACCCCTAATCTGCACCCACTCCCGCCACTGAATCGTTACGCTTATAATAAAAATCCTCGCGTTTGATCTAAGCGTCTTAACGCCTCGCTTTGGACGTCTCAGGCTGCTCGCGGGTCCTGATGAAGGGGTCGTGGACCCGACACATTGACTGACTTTCCTTTCTCCGCAGATGCTGCCTGACCTCCTGAGGGTATAACAGGTACAGTAAAACAACATAAGCGCTCAACTCAACTTTCCGCCGCGTTCCCTGAGGCGTTTGAGACGTCTCAGCCGCACGATACCGCGCTCTATTATTTATGATAAAGCGGAGTGGGGAGTGCGATGCCCCGCAAACAGCCACAAATAAAACAAATATATATAGATAGATATATACACACATATCCCTGGAGGCCGCGGTCACCACTCAAACCACCACTGCCACCAGGGCCCGAGTTCAAATCCCAGGCAAAGTGTTGCGGCGCCTCACACAACTCTTATTAAACTTTTTACCCGGGACAGCCTCTCCGTGTCGCTCTCTCTCTCACACACACACACATATATATATATATATATTATATAAACGGACACCACCGCTCAAACTTCCCTCATCTTTTTTTTAAAAAAAATATCACTCAGCGCCCGGGACTTTGCTCTCTCTTACCCTCGCACTTTTTTTTAAAAAAAAACCCCACACAAACAAACACACCGCGCTCAAAACTTTCCTCCTTTATTTTAAAAGCGGTCGCTCGTTACCCGAGCGCGGTTTGTTGCTTCGCTCCCGTCTCTCACACGCGACGACACAGCAGTGCGGCCGCTCAGCGCTCTCTCTCTCTCTCTCTTATCCCTTTCCCACTCCCCCTCTCACGGGCGGCACTGCAGAGGCCGGAGCGGGCGGGCAGGCGGGGGGGGGGGGGGAGGGGGCCTCGCGCCTGCGCCAAGGCACGCACCTCCCGCGCCGATCGCCGGCCGTTACCTTCCAACGCGCCTGCGCCAAACCACGCGCCTCCCTCGGCGAGCGAGCGCCGGCCAACGCGCCTGCGCACCAGCCCGCTCGCTCGCGCGTCAGTCACGAGGCGCCAACCGCCGCCCGCGCTTCAAATATTCAAAGCCGTTCGGTAGTTGGCGCGAGCGTCCCGATCCTCCCTCCCCCTGGTCTCTTCTGAAAGTCTCCTCCTCCGCTCCTTCCAAAACAAAACAACCGGCGGAGTTGGTACTTCTCGTGTACGGCACAAGTAGGTTTGGAAAAGCTCGTTCAATCTTGTCAGGCCTCAGGCCGCCGCCGCCGTCGTCTCGTAACGGACGGCAAACATTTTAACAGTGTAACACGCTTTCGGTGGGCAGGGTTGCCGGTTTGTAGCCCAAAGTCCACCGCATACGAGCCCCAAAATAGCCCGATGTTATCTCTGCCTCGCGGGTGGTGAGGGCTGCGCTTGCGCAGTGATGCTCATACATCAGCTGCTCAAACCCAAGGCACGACCAATGCTGGCGGATTGGGCGGGTTCACGCCCACTTGGGCGGGTATTTGTTGTGCTGTGCGTGAAAAGAAAGCTTTGGGCGGAGTTGATTAATGAACTTTTTAATTGAACTCGCAAGACGTGAATTGGCGAGATGACAGCGAGCCCAGGGGCTGGTGCTGGGACCTGTTGGTCGTACATAATTTGCAATTTGATATCAGGATTAAACTCTGGAGATACCAAATTACAGGCAATGGTAAACTGGTAAAGACTGGTTACAACAGTGGGAAACACAGGTGACAAATTAAGTTGAATGAACATAAATCAGGACCTGACTCCGGGGCGATTGGAGAGGAAGGACTTCAGGCGGGACTTTAAAAAGGGAGAGGGGGTTAAGGCGGAGGGATTGAGGGAGAGTGTTCCAGAGGTTCAGGGGTTGTGGCTGAAAGTGCGACCTCCAATAATAATAATCCTTATATTTGATATAGAGCTTTATCATGTCTTCCAGACGTCTCAAAGCGCTTCACAGGATATAATAATAATAATCCTTGCATTTGATATAGCGCTTTTCACGTGGGGAGGACGTCCCAAAGCGCTTCACAGAACACACTGTAAGGTGAATTGACTGTATATTTGTGGGCGAACGCGGCGGCCAATTGCGCACAGCAATGTCCCACAAACAGTCGTAGATTGAAAATGACAAATTTATTATTGTTTTGTTTTTTTGGAGGGATTATTATTAGGTGTGTGGAGTAAGGAAACTTGCCCAAGGTGTCGCCCTGACCTGCCTGGAATTGAACCCAGGTTTCTCGCTTGCAAAGCGAGTGCTCTAACCACAACAACAACAAGATTCCATTTATAAAGCGCCTTTCACGTCAGGAGGACGTCCCAAGGCGCTGCACAGTTGGGTCATGACCCGAGCATTGGGGGGAAATGGTCAGGGTGAGGGGAGGGAGCGAGGAGGGGGGAAATGGTCAGGGTGAGGGGAGGGATGGGAGGGAGCGAGGAGGGGGTAGAGAGTCGAGAGTGGAGCTGAAGGTACGGTCAAAGAGAAAGGTTTTGAGACCGGCCTTGAAGGAGGAAAGGGAGGAAGCGGCGAAGGCACTGGGGGATGGAGTTCCAGAGCCTCGGGGCTGAGAGGCTGAAGGCCCGACCACCAATGCGAGGGCGATTGGGGCGGGGGACGTGGAGCAGACCGGAGCCGGAGGAACGGAGGGTACGGGCAGGTAGGTAGGGGGTAGGTAGGTAGTGTAACCACTGAGCTACAGGACTCCACAATGGGGCAGAGGGTGTGAGGGCCGAGCAGGAGGCTGGTGCCCGTTGAGCGGAGGTGCCGGGTGGTGGATTGGGGAGTGAGGAGGTCGGAGAGATCGGGAGGTGCCGGAGAGTGAAGGGATTTGAACACGAGAGTGAGGATCTTGAAGTCGATCGGTTCAGTGATGGGGAGCCCGGGCCAGGACTGGTGCGATGTGGGTATGGCATTTGATCTGGATATTTTGAATAGTGAAGCTGAGGAGACCGGCGAGGAGCGCGTTGGAGTAATCCAAGCGAGAGGTGACAAACACGTGCACAAGGCTGCTTTGTGCGCAATTGGCTGCTGCATTTCGCCCACAAATATTACAGCCAATTCACTTTATAGTAACAAAACACAAAATACTGCAGATGCTGGAATCTGAAACAAAAACAGAGAGTTGGGAAAACTCAGCAGGTCAGGCAGCATCTATGGAGAAAGGAAAGTGAGTCAAGGTTTCGGGTCCACTACCCTTCGTCAGAACGGTCTTTCTGTTTTTTCACTTTACAGTATGTTCTGTGAAGCGCTTTGAGAAGTCTAGAAGACGTGAAAAGCGCTATATCAAATGTAAGGATTTTTTTTAGATCCGCAGGAGTGAAGAAGTTGATGGAAGCCAAGGAGTATGGCTTCCGTCTTATCCACATTCAGCTGCAGGAAGACATCCAAGACAAAAAAAATAAAAAAAATAACTGGCAGACATGCTGATCGCACATCGGCAAACCTGGAGTTGGTACTGGAGGAGACAAAGTAGATAGTTTCACAAACAATGAGGCTTCTGTGTTGACATATCTGTGATCAATACCAGAAATTGCAATACCCTCTCAGTTTTGTATATACTGTCACACTCAATAAAAATTAAGTCAAGGAACCAGCTATTTGCATATATCTTTATTGTTTAACAAACTTAACTGATTTTACAGTTCAATCCGTTTATGCAGTACAGTTCTAAACCTTTGACTCTATGTTTGAGGTAAATACTATGTGGTGATACACACTGGAATGACCATTATCAACATGGTTTCCAAAGTCATCGTGCCACAAGAAAACAAATATGTAGCAAACAATGTAGTCAAATTCTGTCAACATTTGCACTCATTTCAAAATGTACTCTTGAAGAGATTAATCTTTTCATTAAAACGGTCAACTTAACAGTAGGAACTTGTAAGGCACACCATGACTCTCTTAAACGTGTTTTCTTAGCTATTACCAATGTACGAGAGCTAAAAACCGTAGCTTCCCATTCTTAAGTATTTTGGAGGAACTTGATTAAGTGAAAGAATTCAATGTAAAATTATGTACACGATCCATGTATGAATGCCAATTAAAATAAGCTGCTAAGATACCAACTGAAGATGTGTACTCTGTATAGTACAAGTATGAAGGGGTGAAAAATGTTAGCATAAACGTATACAATCACCAGCTCTGAGTAAGTAGTTTTTTTTTATTGCACCCCTTCATTTTCTGGTAAGGGATTAAGAGATCTGGAGGAGAATCGACTGTGAGGGTTACGATACTGAAGATAGGCTGTATCAGCATCACAAGACTGTTCTATCAGAGGAGGAGGAGGAGGAAGCTGGGCATAACTGGACCATCTTGATCCAGCCCGAGCAGGGTCCGAAGGGGGAAAGAAACACCTGAAACGATGTAGACAGGAACACACAGGAGAGAGGAAAAAAATGAGAAAAAAAAGACAAAGAGAAAAAGTGGTGAATATAAGAAAACTAAAAGATACACATGCTTAAAAAAATAGAACTAAACAGTGGGTCTTGACTCAGGAATCAGTGGCCATTAAAGCAATTTCATGCAACAGTTCAACCTTCAAAAAGAACGGTAGTTTCAACCCAATCTTACAAATTTACATTTACTCAATACACACTTATCAATCCAAAATATTAGAAGTATTTTCGGGAACTAGAAGAAAATGTAAAATATAAATATTGAAAGGAGAGGCATGCACATGCGATTCAGTATAGAGGTGATCCTTCAACTTTAATGCATTCTATTGGAATAAAACGGAATTCTGTTTCCACTCTGCAGGAAGAACACATTTACTGTCGTTTGGAGTTTCTGGTTAAATTCCAGTCAATATTTATTATTTTCATGGCTAAGTTTGTAATGCCCAAAGCACTATTTGTGTGCATGTGCCAACTATATGCAGATCCTATTTAAAATGAAAATTTCACAGCTCAGAATAAATGTTGTCAAATTAATTCACCTTGTATTTTACAGTGTTTTCTTTAAATTCTTACAAAATAACAGGAGTCAGTGTAATAGTTCTGTTTTTTCTTGATACATGGCGACAGAAAATGCAAAATAGATTAATTTCAAGCCTGGCACTGTGCTCAAAAGCAACACATCTCTCTTTTTGAGTTCTATACATTTGATGCCAACGGTTAGGAGTACCAGAACAAAACTGATAAATTTGAAAAAAAAGCAAATAAAAACAATTAATTAATTTCATATAAGCTGTATGTCCAAGATTAGTAGTAAGCAGGCTGCTGGTGGTCTTAGGAGATCAGATGACGCTGGGGAGGGGAAAAGGGAGTTCGCTTTTCATTCCTGTGTGCATGCAACAAGCAGCAAAACAGCAAAGTTATTCCAGTTAGCTTGAGATCAGCTGTGCTTTCTTTCTGTTGAAAGGACATAATATGTAGAAGGCAAGATGTATCAAAATTTCCTTAAAAATCAACATATACTTGTTTTTATGCAATGAAAAAAGTCACATTTTAAATGTGTAAGTATTTGTCAGTATTCTCATCTTTTGGATTCAGTTAAATATTGTTTAGGTGAAAAGAGAAGGATTAAGAATTTCACTAACCACTAAAATCTTCCCATTTGAGATTTCCCACCTGAAGTCAAAACTATTGACCAAACAGGCACAGGAAAGCGCTGGCAACGATGCCCCATGATTGCAAAAAGATGGAGAACTAGTCTAGACAGCTTTGTGTTTGGTTACAAAAAATGCAAACTTAATTTTTTTTAAAAAAGGTATATTTTGCAGCCAAAGGCACTTCTCGAGTTGGATATGGAGTTGCCTCAGGTCTCCACACAGCAAAGTTATATGTCCAAAAACAATGTGGAGAGACTGAGCGTTAAGATTGAGGAGTATTCTGTCTGCTTCCACTCCACCCCCCGACCCCCCAAGAATGGGGCAAAAAGAGCGAGAATGAGGGTGACTGAAGGCACAGTCGAAGAGGAGATGGGCCTTGAAGGAGCCAAGGGAGGGGCGAGACGAAGGAACTGTAGGATGGAGTTCCAAAGGGTGGGGACAGAAAGGCTGAAGGAAAAGTACCCAACCCCAATACCACCAAAAAATGAATACAAAAGTACTGACTAATAATCCCTCCAAAAAACCCAAAACAATAATAAATTGGTCATTTTCAATCTACGACTGTTTGTGGGACATTGCTGTGCGCAATTGGCTGCCGCGTTCGCCCACAAATATACAGTCAATTCACTTTACAGTGTGTTCTGTGAAGCGCTTTGGGACGTCCTCCCGACGTGAAAAGTGCTATATCAAATGCAAGGATTATTATTATTATTACTAACTTCAACTCTGTTGAAAGTAGAGAATGCTGACAAAACCACACGATCAGCCTACCTTTAAAGGATGGCCTGTCAACTTCCGCCATTGCTTAGTGATTATTGAGAGCAGTGAGAAAATGCATCTTCTCACAGCAGTACCAATAAAAAATGATTTTTGTACTAAAATCTAGTTCATATTTAACCAAATATCCAATAAGCTAAAACTGAACATCTCAATTACATTCAAATATGTTTACAAACTGCTGTTTGTGGGACGCTGCTGTATGCAATTGGTTGCTGCGGGTCACCCACAAAATATACAGTTATATTTATAGTATATTCTGTGAAGTTCTTTAAGACATCTCAATGATGTGATAAGGCGCTATATCTAATGCAAGGATTATTATAAATAAGTCAAAAGTAACAAATAGGCTGTTAATGCTTTAAAAATATATTTTAATATATTGGGGTGGGCACAAATGTTAAAATGTAAATATGATTCACTAAAACATCCCTGTTATCTCCATCTTACTTTGATGTTCCTCTCTCACAAGTGCACAGCACCATGCAGCCTATACTGAAATGTCCTCGTTGAGGTGCCTTCAAAGCGCAATCAGGATTTACCGTGAAGCGTAATAACTGTATATTTGTAGGCAATTGTGGCAGCCAATTTGCTCACAGCAAAGCCCACAAACACCCATAAAGCGAATGACCAATTTTACCTGTAGAATTGTTAACCAGGAAACCGGGAGAAACTCCCTTCTCTTTTCCAAATGGTGCCATGGGATCTTTCACTCCCACCTGAACAGGCAATACTGGGCCTTGGATTATAATCGCCTCCAAAGGATGGATTATAACTGTGTGATAAGTGACTTGAGCTCTTTACCTTTACCTCAAAACACAATTCAATTATTCCTTCTTTAACTTATCAAGGCTTTTAAAACCCAAGTTTTGCATTAACTATCACTACTGCTTCTCAAATATCCTGTTTTCTCCTCCATCTATTTTCAACCTTAGTGCTGTTCTGCACTATGGACCTTCACCTCGGTTTCTCAATATCCTTATGGTAGATATTCTCCTATCATTCCTTTGGATAACAACACCTGCGAAATGTGAACCCAAGCTTTTTTCTTTTAAGCTGATTGTTCTCTATATCTCGCCAATCGGGCATTCTTCCTAAGCCTTGCTCAGACGTTTAAAATAAAACTCCACCTGGATCTGGTATTACTTTCTTTTCCATAAATTTTTACAACTATTACAACATCTTAGTTTCATGGAGGCAGAGCACAAGAATTAATCTCGCGTTCTGGAAGGCAGGTGTCTGCCAACATATGAAAAAACAAATGCTTGGTTGGCTATGGAACATGTACTGTTGTTCTAATACCTGACCTGGGCACAAAATCTCTCCCAACTGTGTAGTAGAACTTTGGGGGTTTTTTGGTTGCAATTTTTGGTCGTCACCTGGTGAGCACATTCGCCATTCAGTAACAAGATCTTAATTCAAGGCACCGTCCATTCACCTACCTTCCAGAAGATGTTCCATTAACAGTGTTCTGTAAAAGCAGATTGGCTGTTCCTGAGGCAGGGTTAAGAATTCCCATTGCCTGCTGGGCAGAGCCACCATTCACAGGACTCCCATCTCCTTTCAAAATGCCAGTACACTTCCAGTTGTCCATATAATTAGCTGTGGGGAAAAACAGTCAACAGTGTGAAGAATTTTAAACATTTCTGCATCTCTTCCCCCCACCCCCCCACACACAAACATATTAATATTCAGCCATTTGGTTGAATGGTTTATAATTCAGCAATGAGCTGAAATAAGGCCTTATGTGGTAATTTCATCTCCAGGGTCGTGTGACAACTCCGTGTGGTACCAAAATGTGAGGTTACAACAAAGGAAAACCACCAGAAGGATATATCAATCGCTTGGTCTCCATTGCTCTAGAACAGGGACCAGCAACTGATTGATCGCCCCTCGCTGGCGTCGCGTGCATCTCAATACCAACAAGAGGCAGGAGAGATATTTACCGTAATTTAAACATTAAAGTTTATATGTTTATTTGAAGCAGCGTGAACTTCATGCATCTGGCTTCATATTCGATTTGACTCAATAACTACAAAGTTCTCTCACTCCTTCCTCTCGTCTTTTTGATCAGCGAAACAGTGGCAACTAGTGGCGATCGACCACTCCCCTCCTCCCCACCCCGGCTCAAGTATAATTGAGACACCATAGTATTTGATTAACCTTTTCAGTTTGACAATGATAATCATCGCTTGCAATTACACTACTTGCAGGTCAAAATTATTTCAAGACGTCACCTTTCCATAGTCTAACACATCCGTCATCCCCAGAAGAGGCCAGGACTGTACCGGTGATATTCCAACTCACTCGCCACACTTGGGAGTTGTGGTTATCAAACTGACCCACTGTTTGAATTTCAAATTTGGTTGGCCCTCCTGAACCACTTAATTCTTTTCTGGAGGGAAGAAAATATCTCATGAAATACTTATTGTTCAGAAAACATCAAGTCAGGATGATATACAACAAGCAGCAAAATATAACATATATATAGATAATTCTTGCATTTGATATAGCGCTTTTCACGTCTTCTAAATGTCTCAATGCGCTTCACAGAAGACACTGTAAAGTGAATTGACTGCATATTTGTGGGCGAACGCGGCAGCCAATTGCGCACAGCAGCGTCCCACAAACACTCGTGCATTGAGTGACCACATTTTTTTTTCAGGGGATTATTACCCCCAGAAAGCGATTCGACAATCAACTAACAATCGGGTTCCTGCTTACTGCTGGGTAAACAGGCGTGTGTGGAGTAATAATATATAATAATAATAATCCTTGCATTTGATATAGCGCTTTTCACGTCTTCTCGACGTCTCAAAGCGCTTCACAGAACACACTGTAAAGTGAATTGACTGTATATTTGTGGGCGAAACGCGGCAGCCAATTGCGCACAGCAATGTCCCACGAACAGTCGTGGATTGAAAATAACCAATTTATTATTGTTTTTGGTTTTGGAGGGATTATTATTAGGCTCTGTGTGGAGTAAGGAAACTTGCCCAAGGTTTCGCCGTCTGCCTGGAATTGAACTCAGGACCTCTTGCTTGGAGGTGAGTGCCCACACACAGTTGTGGACTCAGTGATCAAATTATTATTTTTTGGAGGGATTATTACCCACGGAACTTTTGTTACATTAACCTACACCAAACACATTACACAACAAAATTTCCAGCACTATTTTACAGGCCTTTTGGAGGACAACTCTCCCTCACTACAAATTTAAAAGAATCTTAAATTCAGAAACATTCCTCTCAGTAACTCAGAATTTACTGGATTATTCTAAATATCAGAAATAGTGAAGCAATTTCTCATTGTGTAGAAACTTAATTTTCCATGAAGTGTTGCTAAAAATAGACAGTTTTCAATAAAGATTCTTTGAAAAATATCTTGCTTTATGTAGCTACTTTCATTATTAGACTAATGTGAAAAGGCCAGTACCTCTCACTCACACTCCCAGCAAACAGTGTGCAATTTAATATTCGCCAGAGTTGCACTTGTAGGCATGTTAAAAAGTTACTGCTTCAGGGCAAATAATAATAATAATAATCCTTGCATTTGATATAGCGCTTTTCACGTCGGGAGGACGTCCCAAAGCGCTTCACAGAACACACTGTAAAGTGAATTGACTGTATATTTGTGGGCCAACGCGGCAGCCAATTGTGCACAGCAATGTCCCACAAACAGTCGTAGATTGAAAATGACCAATTTATTATTGTTTTTTGGTTTCGGAGGGATTATTATTAGACGTGTGGAGTAAGGAAACTTGCCCAAGGTTTCGCCCTCTGCCTGGAATTGAACTCAGGTCTCTCACTTGCAAAGCGAGTGCTCTAACCACTGAGCGACAGGACTCCAAATACATACAAACAGTGTTCTAGACAGATTCAGACCAACTCAATGGGATGAGAACACAAGAAAAACAGAGAAGGCAGAAATAAATCTTACCTTAAGGGTTTTAGTGTGAAAATCCGTACATCTTTATTTGCAACCGCAAGAATATGGAAAGACCTTCCAAGGTTTGGTGCAAATGCAATGTCATGTACGGGATCAGTAACAGTCATGAGTGTCTCTGCCTTTGCGTACTTCCTAGAACAAGATACAAAGATCAACTGGAAATTCATTTTCTTCTCTCAGGACTCCCTTTTATGCTACGTTTCAGTCAATTGCATCCTCCTTCATCCTTGCATCCTCTTCCTTCTTACATTTGCCATAGCAACTTTGGGAGAACGTCCCAAAGTGCTTCACAGATTTACTCTTGAAGTGGAGTGACTGTATTTGTGGGCAAACATGGCAAACAAGTTGCTCATAGCAGTGTTCCCCAAACATCCAAGAAGCGAATGAGAAACTCCCTTCTCTTTCTGAATAATATCGCGAGATCTTTAACGGCAGATGGGACCTTGATTTAAAGTCTCATCTGAAGGACGGCACCTCCATCAATGCAACAACCCCCAGCATTGCATTGGAATGTCAGCTTAGACCAGAGTCATTCAGTGGTGAGTCATGAGTTTCTTCATAAGGATAAATAACAATAACAATCCTTGCAATCATTTTCATTACTCACTGCTGATATTTCACACTGAGTTTGTCCTCTGGACAAAAGGCCATTTAAAACATAAATCAGAGTTGCCCATGGTTTGGAGTTTCACGAGCTTCAATATACCTAATGTAAATTCAAATGCAAATCGGCGCGAGTATGTCAACACCTGGACTCTCATCACCTGACATTTTCCTATTGACATCCTTACATAAAATAATCCTTGCATTTGATATAGCGCCACTCACGTCTTCTAGACGTCTCAAAGCGTTTCACACAATATACTTAAAGTGAACTGACTGTATATTTGTGGGCGGAACGCGGCAGCCAACTGCGCACAGCAGCGTCCCACAAACTGTTGTGGATTGAAGCGTCCAATTTATTATTATTATTTCTTTTCTTCAGGGATTATTATCAAGCGTGTGGAGTAGGGAAACTTGCCCAAGGTTTCGCCCTGCCAGGAATCAAACCCAGATCTCTCGTTTGTGAGTTAGTGTAGTCGAACTCAGATGTGATGAATGCACTGCCTGAAAGGGTAGTGGAAGCATATTCAATAATAACTTTCAAAAGGGAATTGGATAAATAATAACCCTTACAATTGCTGTGGCGCCTTATTACGCCTGAGACATCTCAAAGCACTTTACAGAATATACTGTAAAGTGGAATGACTGTATTTTGTGGGCAAAATATATAAAAGAAAAAAATTGCAGATCTATGGGATAAGAGCGGGGGAGTGGGACTAGTTGGTAGCTCTTTCAAAGAGCCGGCACAGGCACGATGGGCCGAATGGCCTCCTTCAGTGCTGTAGGATTCTATGATTCTGTAGTACAGCATCCTCAGAAGACATCTTGTTGGAAAAAAAAAACGACAGGTCCATCAGATTATACCCCACCCAGTCAGCACCTTTCAGGAAAGGACGTAAGGGAAGAAGACTGGGAAAGTAAATGTTTTGCTTGCACATGTTCACATTTACCTGGTATTTTCATTGTATTCATAGACCTGAACTTTGCCGCCCAGATTCGTGCTACTATCATCACTTCCCACCGCTATCATCGGGGAGTGAGAACGGGAACTGTAAAGGCAGACAAAACATTTTTGAAAGGTTAAACAAACAATGACAGAATTGACAATGTTACTAAGAGTAAATTATGCCCAGAAAATAACAATATTTATACATTGCCCAGGACGTGGGGCAGAGACTCGGAGCTCAAATCTTGTGTTTAAAGTTCGTATTGCACCCTTACCGTGTTAGCAGGGGTTTTCTTATTGGTAATAAATAGAAGAGGCGAGAGGAAGGCTTGTGGCATGACCGCAGTTTTCGCATGGCTAACCTATGAATATTCATTATGATAATAATAATAATAATTATAACATTTGATATAGCGCCATATCATGTCGTTGAGACTTGATTCAGTGTTGGCAAATCAATTTTTTTTCAATTTAGATTTTCTTTATTTAATCATTTTAAATGTTAAAATTTTGATTCAATTTTGTTGAGATCTTGATTCCGCAAGTAATAATTAACTCAGGGCAGCACGTTTGACCTATTTTGCAATCAGGAGTTGTAAACCTAAATTTCTGTAGTTAAAGCGAGGAATGTCAGAACTGGGAAAGAAATTTTTGTCACCCAATGAACACTTCGAGATTGTGTACTACACAAGTTGGAACTACAGCAGAACTCTTTACTTCGGCCCAACAACGTGCCCAGTTTCAAAAAATCAATGCAATGTGAATTTTATGCCTTAATAATAATAAACATCCTGATATAGTGCTGTATCCCGTCTTCAAGTCGTCTCACAGCGCTTGACAGAATGTACTACAAGGTTGATTGACTGTATATTTTTGGGGTGAAACGCGGCAGCCAATTGCGTACAGCAGTGTCCCCCAAACAGTCGTGGACTGAGTGACCAAATTATTATTATTTCACACCGTGCTGGTTTTCTGGTTGGTAATGTGTTACATGGCAGGCTTATGCTTCGACCCACTGGGAACTTTGTTGAGACAACATTGTTCTGTACAGAGCCAGTGCTTCGAAGTGTGGTAAAGTGAAGGGAGAGCAATATTCTGCCCCTCAGTCTAGGATGTATCAAACCATATCACAGAGGTGATGGAAAAACACTGACAATACACCTCCCAAAACTTCCTCAACTTTATAAGGTCATGAACAGTCTTTCTTTTCTCCTTTTTAATTCAGCAATATACATTACATGTACAAATACCATGTCATTACCACTTAAGTCATCGTGCTGTCAATATGCCGGACGCATTTATTTATGTATTCATACATGCGCCTTACTTGCCCCTCCTGATAACTCGTCACTGAGTCCTTTTGCCTTGGATCAACCGGTCATCAGGCGTTTACTGTATTTTATCCAAAAATTGTGTTATTCTGAACTAAAGCACTATCAATCTGAACATAGAATCATAGAATTATACAGCACAGAAGGCCATTCGGCCCATCGTGTCTGTGCTGGTTCTTAGAAAAGAACTATCCAATTCAATCCCACTCCCCCGTGCTCTCCCCATAGTCCTGCAAACTTGTCCTCCCCAAATAATTATCTACGTCTCTCTTAAAAGTTGTTATCGAAGCGGCTTCCACCGCTCTTTCAGGCAATGCATTCCAGATCTCAACAACTCACTGTGTGAAACAATTTCTCCTCATCTCCCCTCTGTTTATTTTAACAACTATTTTAAATCGGTGTCCTCGGGTTACTGACCCACCCGCCAGTGGAAATAGTTTCTCCTTGTTCATCCTATCGAATCCCCTCATAATTTTGAAAACTTCTATTAAGTCTCCTCTTAACCTTCTCTGTTACAAGGAGAATAATCCCGGCGTCTCTCGCCTCTCCTGATAACTGAAGTCCCTCATTCCTGGTACCGTCCTGGAAAAACATGTTTCTCTCACTTTGCTCTCACCTTGAGGGGTTCCAGGAAATGCAGCTGCAGCTCAATTTACAGGAGATCTCATGCTGCAGTGACCACTGACTCAAGTTCATCACGTCGGGGGCCTCGTATATCCGGACCACCCCGTCCGCAGAGCAGGTGGCTAACACCAGGCCCATGTGCTTTGGAGCAAACTTTACATCAGTCACCGAGGTCCTGCTGTCTACCAGTGTAGTCCTCTTCACCTGTCAGGGAACAGAGAATTACAGGCTGCTTGTCATACACTGTATCCTGCTGCCAGCAACATTTGGTTGCTTGCACGAGGTCCACACTCAGGTTCCACTGGCACTCTTCCCCACAACAACAACAACAACAAGATTCCACTTATAGAGCGCCTTTCACGTCAGGAGGACGTCCCAAGGCGCTGCACAGTTGGGTCATGACCCGAGCAGGGGGGAAATGGTCAGGGTGAGGGGAGGGAAGGGAGGGAGCGAGGAGGGGGGAAATGGTCAGGGTGAGGGGAGGGAAGGGAGGGAGAGAGGAGGGGGGAAATGGTCAGGGGGAGGGAAGGGAGGGAGCGAGGAGGAGGAAGAGAGTCGAGAGGGGAGCTGAAGGCACGGTCAAAGAGAAATTGGCTTAATGAGTCCTGTAGCTCAGTGGTTAGAGCACTCGCCTCACAAGCGGGAGACCTGGATTTGATTCCCGGCCGGGGAAACGCTGGGCAAGTTTCCTTACTCCACAACCTTTCCCACGATTCAAGGCAGTCGGCCAGTAAATACGCACACGGCGATTGGTAATTATTATTGATAAGGTCGTCATTTCCCGCATTTCTAGGCCTCCGCTAAAGTGTGGGAGTAATGGAGGGTAGGGAGGCGGCTTTACAAGTTAGGAGGCGAGTAATTCGAGTGGTATAAAGAAATTGAAGTGGTTTTGATAAGAAACTAAATGGTTCTCAGGTGAATGTATGACTTGGGAACTTATAGGATTTATAAAAGTAAGCCTCAAGTGAGTTTTACTGTATACGTATATGACCCAAACTCACCCAGTGACTCTGTCCACGCAGTTTGTCGTTGGACTCTCCCACTATCTCCTCCCACACAGCCGCAGTCCGATCAAAGGAGCAGGAAGCCAGGACCTGTCCAAATTCAGGGTGTGCCCACGTGACTCTCCACACTGACCCACTGTGCGTCTGAAAGACACAGGAAGAGCATCTCAACAAGGTGTTAGGCGCTATATCAAATGCAATAACTGTTATTATCATCATCTTGTAAACTTGATTCAGTGCAGGATTGCGATCTATCCTTAGTTCAAACACCTCCGGTGTTTCTTAAGTAACAATTTCCTCGATTCATACGCAATTTTTATGCCATGCACATAAAGTAATTCCCTACACATTTAGGATTTAATTCCCTCGATATAACTTTCCACAGGAGCTCTTAGCAGAACTGCAGTTCCCACATTCCAGAACTTGCAGTGAGGTACCGTTCCCAGAGACACACAGATTGCCCCCAATGCTGCTCTCTGCCACCTACAGAGCAGCACTGGGGGCAATCCATGGGGTAACCTCCAGGAGAACTTAGCACAGAATGGGCAAACCTGGTCTGTGTGGCTCTGATGTACACCTTATCCCACTGGTCAGTCTGTACGGCTCAAAGCTACACCTTAACCCACTGATTTTTTTTTGATCAGCCGTGTGTAACAGTAACAATTTCCTCAAATTTAAGTGTTGTGCTGCATTAATTCATACACATTTTGGATTTAATTCCCTCGATATAGATTTCATCACCGCGCTTAAGATTATTCAAACCCAACTGAGATTTCCATGCATCCCACCTACAACGACGACAACAAAATTACACGTGTGAATGACTTGTGTTGTTTTATTAAAGACGCTCTTTTCCCATATCCTTTCATATCTTTAGGGTTTGCCCAAACCCCCAGTCCCTCCGCCTCGGCCCCTCCATCCCCTCTTTTAGACGAAGACTGAAGAGCTTCCTCTTCGACCGTACTCACGGTCACCTCTTCCCTCCCTCCCCCCGGCTCAGGGTCAGGCTCTAAGACGTGTGAAAAGTGCTGTACAAATGCCAGTTATTGTTGGAGGAGGGATCTTGTGAGGAGTAAAGGACACCGAGACAGTGCAGGAAACACAAAAAGACATCCACCACTTGACATATATGGAAATCGACGTGCGGCGTAGCTTTGGGGAGGGGCAATGAGTCAGGAATCCCCCCCATCTCAGAACCAGAAACTCTTTACCTTCCAGCTGGCCGTGCAGTGCCATTCCCCAGATTCACTCTTGTCCCAGACCTGCCAAAGCAACATGACACCATTAAGAAATATTCAGGACGTTTAACGCAGACGTTTAAGAGAAGAAGAGACGACTCACAATCCCGAGGTGCGTATAATACAGGTATTCTAATCACAATTATCATCATTCCGCCACATGTTTAAGCTGAACAAAAACACCGTGTTGTGGGGGGGGGGGGGGGGGGGGGAGACACCCTTTTCGGCCGCAGAATGTACAGTCAATTAACTTTACAGTATGTTCCGCGAAGACGCTTTGAATACGCCTCAAAAGTCGTGATAAGGCTCTTTATCAAACGCGAGGATTATTATTATCATTCGGAGAATTAATTTTCGGGGGCGCAAACACATTTCTTTTTTTTGCCGGTGAAGTGGACGCTCCGTAAGTTTGTAATTTCAGAATATTTAGTTATTATACACAAAGAAGGAAAAAAGCAGCATTGACGACAGGACTGTGACGTCATTTACATTCACACATCTACAAAACTGGTAGAACAACATGTGAGTGACAGCACTTTAGCTGCTGCTGCTGTTGTGTGAAATATAAATAGTATTTCAGGCCAATAAACAGACTCTGTTCCCATCGCGCAAACCCATCAGGTTG